TCCTGCAGGGCTAGCAACGTCACTTCGGTTCTTCTCATTTGATGTAAGTCCCTTGGCCTGAACAAATGCACTGGAGCGAACGTGGTGGGGATCACGTTCGTAGTACTTGTCGATTATGGGATGGACCATGACGGTCTGTCTGTGGATTGTCAAGATGGAATTTGTTGGTACGTTGACCCAATTCTCTGCTTCAAGTCAGTGTCTCCCCTTCAATACCCAGAGCATTTTGCACACCTCTCTCAAATGTCAAGGGCTCGCTTGCAACAAGCACAATGTCAGCACCTCGATCCTTGCGTTCCATCTGGTATTGCTTGTCGTTTGCAGATTGTGTTCGTGTTGTCCATTGGGTTCCGGAAGAATAGTACAAGCTGGCCGCCTCATCCTTAGAACTGCTAATGTATCGAGTGCAGATCACGCTATGACCATCGGTGACAGCAAAGTTGAGCAAACTTCTGGTATCGACATCCTCGTTCTGCAGTATACTTTCGGGAATCGCATCGGTCATCTCGTTGATCTGCGCGATCGTGCGCTTCATAGCCTCTCGAAGAATAGTCGGACCAAAGCCCGTTTCGGGGCATGCGCTTGGGTCGTGGCCAAGTCGCTCGAGGGTATCGAGGAAGAGGGCAAATGCCCACTCGCTGTCTGTTCCGCCTTTGACGCCCAAATACCACTTGTCAGCAAGACGCTCGCCAAGGCGGCGCTTGATGTATTTCCATCCACCCAGTCCACCATTGTGCATCCACATCAGACTACCGTGTGTGAAAGGGTGGCAGTTATCTTCGCTTAGGGAACCTTCGGTCGTGGCACGCACATGGCCAAAGATAAGGCGGGAAGCGGTCTTTGAAGCGATTCGCTGCAAATTGGTGCAATTCCAGGCGGGAATGGTCGAAGTGAAAAGGCAAGGCGCTGAGCCAAGCTTGGGGTCGGTGTAGAAGCCTATGCCGAAGCCATCTGCATTGTTCTGACCTCGTCTCGTATCCTGTAGATGGTTATGTGTCAGCTATGATATGACGTTCCTGTAATTGTCGGTCAAAGAAATTGGGGTTGACTCACGAGACGCAATCGAGAATCAAATGATTGTTTGAGAATAGAATGAGTAGGATCAAGAATCAACTTTGATAGGAGAATCTCGTCACTCCCTTTGTAGACCTGAAAAAGTCACGGTGTCAGTGTTGTGTTCTGCGTGCGACCAAGAAGCCGGCTTCGGAGGTATAGATAAGGGATCTTGATTGTAGGGGACTCACCAGAAAACGGCACATGATTTCGCCTTGTGCGCGCAAAGAAATCAATCTGGCCGGGGAAAAAGAGTAGATGGATCAGAAGGGAGGACAGGTGCGAGAAGGAATAATAAGAAAGAGATGTAGGGAGAAAAATGTCTGGAGAAAAATAAGGGATTGCGTATTACGGAGACGGGAGGACAGTGATTGTGAGAGAGTGATTATGGTGAGGGATGACACCATTGGCCTGGGAACTTTCAAGGGCTGCGTTGTAGGAGTGGCTATCGGTGAACGGGCCATCGGCTTTGGCGAGAGACAAGCCCAGGCTAGAGGTAAGACAAGGCTGAGAGGGAGGGGAGAGCGGCCAATGAGGGTGAGTGAAAATAGGGGCACTTTAAAGGATTAAAGGATTTGAGGATTTGACTGACAGAACCAACGTGAGATGGTTACAATACTACATGAATGCTATTGGTGCTGATGAGTTGTCATATGCGGTGGTACCACACATATGGATGTTTTTATAGTATGAAGTACCTGCAGTAATCACTGATGGCATCATTCACGAGACTGCTTCTATCCTTGCATTAGAGTTCAAAATTCCGGGGAATGGCCCGCTGATAGTGGAGAATATCGGCTCTCGTGAGTTGAATTGCCTTCAAGTCCCGTTGAACGTGACTCAACAACTTAATTCTTTATTGCCCGTTTTTCGCTTGAAATCTAATTATGACTCGACACTTCTCATCACGTCAACGACCCCCTGTGAAGCCGTGATATATGAAATGTCTTGGGTTAAAATGATCATTCAAAAGATATCATATTCAGGGGAAAAAGAAATTCCATTTCTGCAGCCACCGCCAAAAGCGGGAGTCGCCACATCCGCATCGTTGATCCTTGCAGCTAACGAGCTTTGAGCCACAGCTGACGTCGGTTGCTTTGAACTGGCTTCCTACTCCAAGTGTGGCGCTACAGAGAAACCCATTTTACGCGAGAACATCGCCCATTTACACGCTCCGCGGTTTCGCGACCGCGTCTTTGGCCTATGACATTCGCATGGTCCACTCTCGTCTCGCTTCAACCCCATCCCAGCCCGGCCTTTTGGCTCCTCTGGCAACCAAACTAAATCTGCAATTGGAGCTCGTCTTTCCACCATATTCAATTTTCGACATGTTCTGATTTATGTCTCTGCAAGAATTCATCTTACCAACTCGTGAACCGTGACCTCTTCCCCAGCATATATCGCGGTATACTCTCAGACTGTCAGACTCTATTCCCCAGCCTCTTGCGGCTTCAACAGGGCATCGTTGCCTACCATGTCCTCCGATGGCCCAGATGCTCTTCCAACGCCTGCGTCATCGTCGCGACCAAAAGGAACACCTTCGATAACACCTCGTCGCTTTAATCGCTTCTGGCAACCAAGACAGTTTCAGACTCAGCCGTTGCCAAAGTTTAGAACTGCTCTTGGGAGCTTGGACGAGTCAGATACTAACCAGCAGCCCATTTCGCCCCAGTCGCTCCTCCATAGTGATCCTATTTTACCTTCTTCTCCAAGTGATAGATTCCAGGATGAATCACGGAAGAGAAAGCTTCAGGCCGAAGCTTCTGGTGATGAGGCTGTCTTCAAGAGGCCAACGTTGAACTTGGATGATATGCCACCACTTCGATTCAACACCGCAACTACTTCGAGCAACACACTTCTAGGCAGTGATAATGAAATTCAAATGTCAGAAAGCCAAACTAGTCTGGAGAGTCTTGATAGCTATAGAAAAGCTACCCTGGTAAGCCCGGCTTAGTCTGATATTGCTCACGCGAACTCTACTTACACCATATCAGAGCAATTTCTTCAAGACCAGCCGTGGAGTTGCTCGAACTCTTAAAAAGACACCTTTCCTTGTTAATACACCCAGCATCGCCGAAGAACCTCGACCTGATAACGTATGTCGGCATGCCTATAGCCACTGGCGTCACTGACATCATCACTAGGAGCTAGCCAACTACGCACCCAGACCAATCCGAAAATTCGGCAATAGAGGCTTCGAATCCCAATTACTCAACCGAGAGCATGGACTTGGATATTCATCTGGTCAAACATATCTTCATACACCAGCATGCGACCCCCGAGCCGAGACAGCAAGCTTTCACAGCCGTTGCATCGATTCTTATGAATGTCTGACTCCAAGTGGTAGTCGTACCATCCCCTTCTGCCTTACAAGCACTCACAAGGCCCCCGTGACGGCTGTCGGTGATGAAGAAGGTTGTGTTAGGTTCTTCGACACTTCTCCAAACGATGATCCCAACGAGGAAAAGGACCTGGGTGTTCACTCAGTTCATGACAATGCCATCTGGGATATGGACTTTTCTCAGGATGATATGCGTCTTGCGACTACAGCAGGAGATGCAGCTCTGATTATGGATGTTACGACGAAGTCTATCGCTGCTAGACTCGCAGATGGTCATTACAACTCGACACGACAAATCGCTTGGCAGAAGGGTCAATCTATTGGCAACGTATTGACAACCTCAGACAAGGCTGGCCGAATTCGTCTATGGGATTTGAGATGCCCTCATTCTCACGTGAGAAGTTTCTCAACAATCAGTAGCAGTGAGACAGGTCGTCGAACTGTCACTATTAGAGATGAGAACATTAGGCCATTCCAGGCCTCGACCGTAAACACTCTTGACAACACCCATGAGCGTACTGCCCATGGTAAGACCTCACCTGCTTCTGTTACTGCAATCCAATGGCTTCCCGCTGGTCGTGAACATCTTCTACTTTCCGCTTCTGAGGCCGAAGCTGTTGTCAAGCTCTGGGATCTCCGGTACATCAACCGTCGTCACCAAGACAAGAGCACACCTCTTTCAGCTACCACGGTCCCCTCCAACCACGCCTGGCGTTCATATGGCATCACCTCTCTGTCTCTCAGCAGTGATGCCGCCCGTATGTACGCAGTATGCAAAGATAACACCATCTACGCTTACTCCATGTCTCATCTCATGCTTGGTCACGCTCCCGAACTCAAAGACCTCGCCACCAAGAGGAGACCCATTGCAGCCCAAGGCCTGGGACCTCTTTATGGTTTCAAGCATGACTCTTTCGCAGCACGAACATTTTTCGTCAAGTGCAGAATGCGACCTATGGGCCTCTCCCACTCGTCCGACCTCCTTGCAGTGGGTAGCTCTGAGTCTTCAGTCGTGCTCTTCCCCACAGACGAGCGATATCTTCGATCAGCTTGTGCCCAGCGCGCTCACCTCCTTGATCCACCTGGATCTACCCCTGCACCCTCCCGCTCATTCTCAGCTGCCGCAGGCGCTGAACCCACCTCTTGCACAATCCCCATCTTCCGCAATGGCACAGCTCTTGTCCACGGCCATGAACGTGAGGTCTCAAACGTCAGCTGGAGTTACGACGGTAAATTAGTCAGCGCGTCTGACGATTCTATCGTACGTCAGTGGCAGGAGGATGAAGGTCGAGCACGGTACTTCAGACAAATCGGAGATTTTGGTGGTGAGCGATACATGGCGGGCTGGGCCGATGTGGGCAGTGACTGGGATGATGAAGATGATGAGTAACGAGTTGATAGCATGCTGCAGTAGCACATAGCGTTTCTTTGACATTATACGATACCCTCCAGCCAACATGGGCGTTTCAAACATGTATGTCAGTTAGCAGAGCTGTACCAAGAGACTCGAGCACGGAAGCGGGTTCATAAAGGGCATTTACAAATAGCATTCACGAGGAATTGACATTTAAAAAGGCAGCATTCACGAATTGGAATTACAGTATAATCTTGTTCAAGGATATATCATTTAGGTATTTGTGACGTAAAGTGGCTATCTCTGAATCTAGGGTCGTAATCGTTTTCTTTGTATAGAATGCTTAGGGGCCGTGACCGGGTATGGAGTACAATCGTATGCGTGTGCTCTAGGTATAAAAATGCAACCGACTCCAGATATAGACGTGGTTCACCCAATGAGGGGTATCCTGAATGCCTCAACTCCATAAAACGCCAAACATAATGCAATCGCTGCCTGGAACAACTCTTCTTCTCATGCTTCAATAATCATTACTTCGCGGCCACGCCTAGCAGAGCATAATGCTCCCAGCAGGATTACACCAACAGTTAATATTATCAACCAGTTGAAGAGGCTCATGCTATCAAACTTCTTGGAGGCGACTTGAAGGTAATATTTCAACTCGTGCTCGGCTGTGTTTGTCTTGGCTGGCAGGCGCATTGGTCGCGGCAAGGTCTTGTCGAATCTCATAGACTTGGAAAAGGCTGGACAGAGTTCAATGGCTGCGGCATCATCCTTGGAGAGACCAGGATGGCCGATCGGGAGCTTGATCCCACTCTCTGGCTCCACCGGCGATGCGGTTGCACTGTAGTTCCAGATCTTCCAGACTAATTTAGTGCCGCTTGGTGCAAGCTTTGTAGATCGTCGAATTCTATCTCTTGCGATAGAAACACTATCCCTGAGACGAGAGCGAAACGGGTGCAATTGATCGACCAAGTCAAGCAGTGACGAGGTCGTACTGCCGCTGTCCTTGCGCGCTGGAGCATCACAGACCATGTCGAGCTGCTGAACCAAAAGTGTCATGTTGTCGAAAATGCAAATCGACTCTTGAACGATATCCTGCTTCTCGCGTGCTGTTAGTTGCCCCTCCATGCTAGCGAGTCGTCGCTTAAATTCCCGTTTCAAATCTTCCCCGTCCTCGGGAGTCTGGAAGTGGAAAAATCGGAGAGGCATCGTGTGAGTCGCATGGCAGTGAAAGTCGTCTATTGGGATCTCTTCGTCGGACAAGCCACTTGCACGCTTAGTTGGCCTTGATCTCTCTTCGCAGGAGAGACGGTTTGGCTGAACTGGCGAAGGTAACCGGTCCCAAAAGTCGTCTCCAGCTGATTCGAGTGTAGCTCTAATAAAACGGCCACCGGCGAAGAGTGCCATGAACAAGATATAGGAATAAGCCATCAGCGCATGAGGCCTATGTTGGACCGTTCTTTTGATGTGCTGTATAAACTCCCCCAATGGACCATTTTCTTCAACAAGACGTAACTGTTCTTCAACAGTATCGTTGGACCATCCCGCCAAATTCACAATGTCGGCCTTTAGACGATCTGAACGCATTAACCCCGGGAGATACAATTGTTGAAGTATCGATTGCATCCTGCTGCAACTTGACAGCTCGTGGAGATCGGAGGCCGGGAATGCAGTTTCTGCTGAATTTGGTGGAGTTTCCTGTTCACAGGTCTCGTCGTCTTCCCCGGGCAAATCTACAGGCAAGCCCGACTCGAGGATATCGCGCCATAATGCCTCGAAGGTGACATAAATAGGTGTAACATGGAGTAAGCCAGTAATATAAGCCGATGAATCGGTAGCAAGAGGAGGTAACGCAAGCGGTAGCCGGGCGATAATAAGTTTGTTAAGCTTTGCGTGCACCGATCTTGTAGCAATGGCGACAGACTCGGTTAAGGAGAGGTCATGTTGGCGACGTTGAGGTTCGGGCTGGGGTTGAGATTCGGGCTCAGGTTGAGGCTGAGGATGTTGTGAGACGTCGGCTTGAAGCGAAGCCATCTCCTTTGGGGTTGCGGGAGTTTTTGGGCCAGCCTCAAGCCGGACTTCAAGAAGAAGTTTGGGTTTGATTGTACGTTGAAGTTTGGGTTATTGGTGCGAGACGAAGGAAGTAGTACTTGGTTAACAAGGTCGAGGTAGGGACAGGAAATATTTCAAGTAAAGAATGAGGAAGGCAAGATGACGAGGACTAGGGTCGAATCGGAAATAGGTCAATTCAGGTTAGGCAAAGTGAATGTAGGGTTATGAAGGAGGAGGAAAATTCGATTTCGGTCTGGTCTGGGTCGAGATGGAGGAGGACCCTGCAAATGGAGATGAAGGAGGCAACATGAACGATATTACAAGCAGAGCAGGAGCAGGTATGATGCCATGCCTTCCTCATGGAATATTTTACGACAAGAGAATGTTCAAGAGCCTCTAAATCTTGAGTCAAGTAGTATTCACCGTTCCTTATGATTCTGAAAAGCTGTCTCTAAAGCTTAAGCTACCTATCTTCCACAGTGAGCTGCTTATCAAGCCACACCACGAATATTGATTCACGCATGGAAAATCAAATCAGGCATGATGCAAAAACGCCGCGATTCTCTCATTCCCGCCAACGCCACATCAGGAACAAGGGCACTGTAGATCCCCCTCATGACAAGGGCCCATGACACGGAGTGCTACTGAAAAAAGAAGCTCCCCCCACTTGGAGACGTGAAGTCATGATCGGAATTTTGGCGTGTCATCGGTAACGGACCCGCTGGAAACAGGGATCTGACGCCAAAATGCTCCGGGGCTCTGGGTCGGACAGGAAGAATGTTCAACGGAGCTACTCCGGGCTAGTACAAGCATTCTATTGTTTGAGACCAGAAGATACAAGAATCAAGGAAGATGAGATTTATGAAAGATCTAGTCGATATGAGTTTTGATTATATTTCAGGGTCTTCCAGCTTTAAACAAGCAAATATGTCCACGTATGATTACGAGTACTGCTGAGTTGTCGCTGTGCTGCAAAAAGCAAAGAAATAGACGAAAACATCAGCCATCACCAGACATGATACAATTTCCCACATCTTCCATATCTAAGTGACATCCTTCACAAAATGCAGAACAATTTGACTATCGCATCTTCAGACCCGGCTCCCCAAACCCTTCCCGGGTCCGAACCCCGGTCCCGGGGCGCATGGTCCCCTCCAAACTCTCGATTCGATCTTCACAGATCATCGTACATACCCAAGATCGAGAGTATAAGTAAGAAGTTAAGGGTCCAGAACCACAGGACCCTCAAGACCCTGCACGATCAAGACTTATTTCCTGCAATTTTCTAGATCGGGAAATCTGATTCTCTAAATAAAGTTCTTAACTCCTTATCTCCATGGCTGAACTGTTCCTGTAGCTGTATCTTGCGGTTGAAACGCCTTGCATCCTATGCATAACTTGTTCCTGCTATCCCGTAACTTGCTGTTGAAAGCAACCGAAACGCCTCAAAATTCCGTAAGCTCATGCATGTCGTTATGTTCATGACCCGTACATTTAAACTCCCACCGATCTCTCCAAGTCGTCGTCCTTCTTCGACTCCTCCCCATCGTGGCTCTCTCGGCTGACCACAATAAATGAAACAAAAACAACTGCAGCACCGACCCAATAGGTAAAACTCGAATATTGCTGATATTGTAGGATTTCGCCAATCAAAGACAACGGTATTGTGAGAGATAGGCCAACTGTCACCACGAGAGGTGTCGTCATAAGCAGAGCGAGAGCCCATGAAATATCGCTGATGAAGGAAGACACCGCATTGAACTGGTCATGTGTTAGTTTGCTGGTATTTCGGCGTAACCAAAAAGACTTACAATGATGATACCCCAAAGTGTACTACTGGGTGGTAATTCAAACTGGTCACGGTTAGCTCACAGTCACACCACCACAGCTCGGAAACAAACTCACCGGTTCCAAGCCCGTCCAATGCAAGACAAAGAAGATAGGCCAAAGTAGAACCACGTTGAAAACACCAACAAGCCCAAAGAACAGCTGCATATCGACCTTGTCCTCATTTGGAACCTTGCGCTTCATCACCGTCACGTAAAGACCATAGATAACGGCACTCAGAAGCGCCATTGAGTCTCCAACCGCAATTTGCGTAGGTGACTTGTGCGGGAACGACCCTCTATCCTCATCGCTTTTGCCGGACAGATCGACAGTCGAGATAAGAATTACTCCTGCTAGAGAAGCTCCTACACCTAAGATCTTGGCTGTCGAGAACCGCTCGATTCCGAATAGGGAGCAAAAGATAAGAGTCCATACACTGCTCGTGGATGTCAAGATCGTAACGCTCGCGACGCTTGTGTATTCGAGACAAGCGGACGCAAAGTAGTTCGCTGAGAACCAAAGCATGCAGAACTCGAAGCTCAAAACAGCCGTCTCCTTAAATGTCAGCTTCTCCTCAGAGGCTGCGGTTTCCGTGCTTCCATATCCTTGCGATATCAAGCGCTCGGTTGCCTGTTCGTCTTCGGATTGATAGAGTGACTTCGTATTTATTCTGCCATGCTTGTAGTCGGACCATAATTGTGTCGCATCATGTCGCATTCCACTGACTCCGTGTTTCCGTAGGTATTTGAAGAATTTGGGTATTAATGAGATGGCGAATATCGAGGTATTGAGGTAAACGATAAAGAAAGGCTTGTTGTATGTTTGATCGGAGAACATGTACTAGAAACATATGTTAGCTTGAACTTCAAGGCTATCGTTTTGATGCTCCTACACTGGCGATGAAATTGTATAATGTCCATAGGAACACCGTAAGTAATAACAGCGCAAAGCCAAGGGTTCTTCTCGCAACACCGCCCAAGCCCAGTTTCGCCCTCAACCCAGCTGGTGATCTTGATCTCGACTCTAGGAGCGGACTCGAAGGTACCACCACATCGTTCTCGTCTTGTCCATGCTGTCGCTCTCGCGAAAGCGATCCCTCGTCCGATAAAGTCGACATAGCTGGTGCCATCTCTTATCTTCAGTGCGAAATCAGTTTCCCCGGATGCGCGCAACTGTGCGCGTCTCGGCCCGAGTCGCGATAAGCGAAGATGTTGGTGATATCAGCGCAAGCGACCACTACGGCGTTGAATTATTTCGATGGCAGTGTTTAAAATGTGGGAGGGGAGATAATATTAATATGGTCGCGGATGTCGGATGGTTATTGAATTCCAGGGTCTTGAGCACGCAATTAATCGAAGCGGGGATATTGGTGACACTTTGGGGTAATCATTCGCAAGTTTGAGATAAGGGTTCTATTTTTGAGCCGGTATCGGGGGTGGTTTATTCCCGTCAGTGAAACCCATTCTGATGTCACTAATACTACCATCATATGAACTTGTGAGACTCTCGAATCAGATCTTTTTCTAACATTAGATAATGGTTCGAGTAACGACCTTGAGCTGATGCACATAGATCCTGGTCTCTAATAGACTGGATTTGACACGTCTTGAAGGTATCCATATGAATGTTTGCTCAAGAATTTGTTTAGCTGGTATATACCAACAAGTCAGCATTCATATACAAAATTGAGAGCATCATTAATGCATGCGAAAGGGGTGACGATCTGCGCCTCTATTTAATAGGTAAAAAATCATCAATTTCCTTGCTAGTAACAGCCGTAGACGATATATAATGAATGCGGCATATGTATTCGTGAAGGAATACCTTAGGGTAACTTGGATGCCATCAAAACTATTGCAACAGGTAGACATGTTGTCCAAGGCCAATGACCAATCATTGGAAGCAGATTTGAAACAGAGAATGCCAATATCCCTAACTCAATGAGTTAGTCGATCTTCAATTACGTATCATCCTTCCAACGGTGTTGACAGGTTGGTGATACAGCAAACACCGGGACGATATCTTAATATAACCTGACGGGTGTGTCTAATTTCTCCCTTCTTCCGGATGGACCAACTGAGCACCTTCCTAAACTTCCTAGTCTCGAAGTTTTTTAATGCAACTGCATGTATCCGTCGTGCTTGTCCAAATACACTCAAGTTCCCGCTTGGTTTCATCAGGACGCCAAGATCGATTCACTGGCCTCCCAGTCATTTCCAACACTGGCAAGCTGCGCCAGCAATTTTCTTTCAAAGTTATCCAATCAAAGCACTAAATCCTGCTATATGACTGTAAGTTTCGGTTTACTGCATCAATTCTGCCTATTTCTTTGACTCATTCTCGAACTTTGTTGATTTGCGTTTAAATGGTCGCTCGAGTTAAAGGAGCAGTCATCGCCTACTCCTATAAAGCAACCATGTCACGGAGGAAACCCAAAAAGCGCAAGAACGCCAATACAATGATAAAAAATAACGGAATCTCGACAGAGAAAGAAAGTTCACCCCCGACCCGAGACCGGCCTTACATCACACGCAACGCGTCTCACCGTCTCCTTCAATCGAAAAGAGACAAGCGAACCTCGACGCTCTGTGTGCCGAAGGGAGACGACATGCTGAGATTTCCAGTTAACGAAGATCGTATGAACAGAATATGCCCTGCGTGGCGCAATTTCGAACTTCTTGGCGGGCGCAAGAGAATGGCCGTCACCAACGGCATGGACTTCGAGAATGAGAGGGCTAAGGACGCTCTTCGAATAGTCCTAGAAATTATCCACGGCAAAGAAGTGGTGGACTATGAAAATTCCAGCCCTCGCCTTCTATTCTACATGCTTGAAGTTCATGCCTGGTTGGGACATCCGAAAGCCACTTACAGCAGTGGTATGGATCCAACCATGGTCGGAACTCAAGAAGCTCAATGCTCTCCATTCTTTCACAAGGACGCCATCTCAGGGTGTATCTTTCAGATGGCAAAAAAGGCTAAGTACTTGTACCGAGTGAAAGACTGGATGCTTCTGGCTCTAGTCGCCGAAAAGCTAAGACTTCACGATGTTATGCAGTTGGTTCTCGACAGCTTAAGCCTTTTCTGCAGACCTGATAAGAGAGAGTTGCCTGAAGAGGCAAGGGACTGCATCAAAGACAGAGATTGGGCCAGGATACAAGACCTCAGACTTATCGGTAAGTGATATCAATATTATAGTATCTTGAACCTTGAACTAATTGCGCAACAGACAAAAACTTGCTGAACAGGCGCGAGTTTTACGTCGACCAAATCTTCAAGGGACTACGTCTTCTTTCCCACCAAGTCCTCTATTTCGAGGGTGGCATTCTTCCCAACGAAAACATCTTTAATACCTACCAAGACTATAAAGTTGCAGCATGTTCGTACTGTCGATCGCTTTCGTCCGATGAATTCCATCGGGAACTCATTTCAGTGCATCTATGGCCCCTGTACGCAGAGACATACAAGGAGCGTGTCATCGATCTGATTTATGCAATTAGGGATATGGAAAAAAGGACTCTTGTTGGAAGACACTGCAACCAGTTAACCCATCTTTACGATCACCTACGACGGATGTGTACGGGTTCGGAGCATTAGGGAGACGAGGATTGATTGGTGAACTGGGTAAGAATTGCTATGGGCGAAATGGTAGGGCAGGGAGCAAAAGATCGGATTGACGAATAGCCATAAATTTGGAGTTGCTAGTTAGTAGTTCGTGCTACTTGATCGGTCATCAAGGTCAGCTTATGACGAGAACACCATGGCTTGAGGCTCCATGCCCTTGCCCTCAACCAAAACTCCAGCTTTTCTCAAGATGGAAACAGTGTTTTGAACAACCTCAGCTCCAACACCCTCAGTCTTGGTAGGGAACCGGACAGTCTTGAGCCACTCTCGGGCGTCAGGTTCCGTGTATCCGAGGCTGCTTGAGATGTACGTGACGGCTTCCTCCTGATTGTCATTGAAGTGCTTGATACCCTGATCCAGCTTTCCGAAAAGGCCTTTAACACGAGAATCCAGACCATTCTGGGTCAACTTCGTAGAAGCAACGATCTTCCAGCTGCTCCAGGGGGTGTAGATCTCGCCAACGCGACGAATCTCACCAGAGTCGTAGAACTTCTTGGAGGTGAAATGCTCCCACATGAAGAAGTCGGCCTCGCCGCTGTTGACGGCATTTCGAAGGTTCTCAAAGTTGTTGAGAACAACTGTATCGGCGAAGGGTTTCTCTGCCGCGCCGGGTGTCAACCAGCCTTGTTGATCGGCTAGGACGAAGCCCATCACGTAACTTCCTGAGCCAATGCGTGAGACGCCGATCTTGCCGCCCTTGAGGGAGTCAACTGAGGTGATTTCAGGGCGCTTGGCACCAGTTGAGATAGCCCAGCCTGCATATGTTAGTGGTTACTTCACTGTGAGGGTGAGAAGGACCTACAAAGGGGTGTCTCAACATATGTGCCAACGAGACGATATCCACCATCACCCTCAACACCCTCCTTGCCCAGACCCGCAATCCAACCCTCAGTCAAACCAACAGCTACATCGATCTCACCAGCCCGAATAGCAGTGACCATATGGCCGGTGCCTGAAGGGAAGGGAATTAGCTCCGCATCGAGACCGAAGTGCTTCTGAGCAAAATAGAGGGGAGTTGAGAAGTGCTCTGGCACGTAGCCAATACGAAGAGGAGAAGACATGACTGAAATACTTGGTCTGTGAGTTCAAAGAGCCCAAGTTGATACTGCACCGCGATAGCGTTTCGAGTGTCGTTGATTCTTATAAGGTAGAGACCGGATCCGGAGAGACGGATGGTACGGATGCGGGGTTTGATATACGGCCCCGCTACGGCAGTTGACGGCCATGCGAAATAGAGTTTCTATCCATCACGGCATCTACCATTTATTAAGCGGTATAATTCATGATACCTTCCGCCAAAACATCAATATCCATTTCAAATGTGACGTTCACAACTTCTTTGAGCCCCTGGCTATTCTCGTCACCTATGTGTAACACCTCGGTGCGTAGAACATCAAAAACAATGCACAATACGGAGCCAATTCCGCATTGGAAACAAAGTGTGTAGCCAAGGAATCCGACATGATACGCGTACCCGCACGGCCCAGGCTTAGGCCACGCAACAAAAACAGCCCTACAGAGGCTCAGCGACCAAGAACAAGGGGTCATCGGTGGCTTTCCAACCCCTGAAATCTCTGAAGTTGTTAGCCAAGAAGCTAAATCTGGGGATCTGATACTTGAAATAGCCTAGTCAAATTTCAAGTTAGCTCAGCCTCCCTTGATTACTCTGACGTCTTCTCAATTTTCTTTCTTTAAAACCAATTCCAGCCATATTTGGCTTTTCCAGGCCGGATGGCATTGTTTTGAGTCGTTCCTTGACCTTTTCTATCAATATGGCACCTCAGTATCATCGTGTCTCCAGTGAGGATGTGGAGCTGGAGTCTCATCTGGATGCGCCTCTGCTCGATCTTGAACCGCTAGAAGATGACGCAGTAAGCGATAACGAAAGCCTGCATTCACATTCAGAACCGATTCCTAGTTATCGATTTTCACGATGGGGCGTTCATTCACCGAAACGGATCGTTATCTTGATTGCCACCATCAAATTTGCTGTTGTTTTGAGCGGGATGTTGTTACTTTTGCCGACTGCGCGTTTGATTGAGGATATGTTCTGTCATATACACTATCAGGATACATCCACGGACATCATCGATGAGATGAAATGCAAGGTTGATGAGGTTCAATCTCAGCTTGGATACTTGTATGGCTGGAACAGTCTCATCACATCTATTGTTGGTGAGTAATACTCTAGCCGGATAACTTACCAAATATCCAGCGTCTAATGTTTCGCAGGTCTTGTCGTAGCCTTTCCTTATGGAATGATGTCCGATAAGATTGGTCGTAAACCAACTGTTATGTTAGCATGGTCTGGCATCGCTGTGTGCTTTCTTTTTGCTCCCTTCAGCATGAAGGCGTTTCAAGGCGAGCTTCGAGAAAAGCCATATCTTTTGATCATGGGAGGCTTCTTTCAGATATTTGGTGGCGGCGTTCCGGTAATGTTTTCTACCCTCTATTCGATCGCAGCCGATGTCAGTTCGGAGGAAGACAAGTAAGTGAACAGGAGTCCATTCTCTACGAGCATGTACTAATACTGCTTCTAGGGCCAAGCATTTCTTATGGCTCACATTTGGTGCTACTTCGGGAGGTATTTCCGGCCCTATTATTGCAGGCGTCCTCATGAACAAGTACGGACCTTGGGTTCCGGTCTACTTTGTCTTTGCCACTGTTCCCATCATCGTGGGCATCCTCTGTTTGCTCCCTGAAACCTTGACTATCAACCTCAAGCATCAGAAAGCTCAGGCGGGTAAAAGCTCTCCAACCACCTTCAAGGAGCATATATCGCATGCAATCGAAGATCTCAGGCATTCAGTTGGCATACTCAAGGACCCAAGTGTTCTTATGATCATGGTGACATTCTTCGTGACGAATGCACGATTTACGGCTTACACGACAACCCTGGGCCAATACATAAGCAAGCATTTCAAGTGGAAGATGGCTGAAGTGAGCTTGATTCTATCTCCTCTGGGAATTCTCAATCTCATCATCCTGGCCGGCTTGCCCAAGGTTTCGGAGATTCTGGTATCCCCTCGATTTCGAATGTCGGCATTTGGCAAGGATTTATTCTTGACGCGCATCTCAACCGGAACACTCGCAGTCGCAGCCTTTTGGCAGGGTATCAGCCATAACGCTGTCATGTTCCTTTTTGGTCTCTTCATTGGAACATTTGGTGCGGCCGACAGTCCTCTGGCTCGCGCAACGGTTACACATTACGTGCAACCTGAGTATACTGCTCGACTATATGCCTTGATAGGTATGATTGAGGTGATAGGGTCTTTTATTGGAGGACCGGTTTTGGCTTGGTTCTTCGATCAAGGTCTTAAGCGAAAAGGCATATGGATTGGACTGCCTTGGTTTTACATCTCATTCCTCTGTTCGCTGGCTTGGATTGCACTTTTCTTTGTTAAGCCACCCAAGAAACGCTCAAGAGAAGACCCAACAGACAGCGATGGCTACGAAACAGATGATTATATGCCGGATGATCCATTGCGGCTTCAGTAGTGTTGAGTGCGGAAGTTTGGATACTTGACAGCCAGCAATGCGATTGACCATAGATCGGATATGTCAAATTTTAGAAGAGATATTTATACTATATACGATTGAAAGATACCCAAATAGAATACCTTTGTTACTACAATAATTCGTAACGCTGGAGTTTGTGAAATACTAATACTCTTCCGACATAGGAACAATGTCGCGACACGCTTATCAGCTACCTTCCGAAAAAGGCCATGTCAAGGGACTTTTGTAAGTCGACCAGCAAATGATAAAAGTCAGCCGAACTCGCAATGGAAATTGTAACAACAAGGATTTTGATCTGTCTCCTCCTTTTAACCGACTCTATTCGTCCGAGATGCTCATTATTTTGATACGTGCTGACCGATTCTGCGAAAATCAAGTCTCGGATGCGGCACGACCTTTTTCGCTGTATGAATATTAACGTGGCGAAGTCATAAACTGCAACAAAGGCATTCTAGATTATCTGCAGTAGTTGCAGAGTAATCATAATTGCGTGCGACTTGTAGGATCTGTGCCATTGGGGTTGATGCATGCATGGGCAGGGTGCTACCACGCTATCGGGTCTGCGGATATAAGGTCTCAGGGACATCAACTCGATTGAGATTTATCTTGGCTTCACCATCTCGCATCCCAAGAGGCCAAGAAATACTCAAGCTTGGCCTTTGTCTTGGACTGCGGGCTTCTGGAGATAGTTTCAGCCGTTATGGACGGCTACAACTCCACGGCCTGTGGCGATAGCCTCTTTGGGCCCAGCGTTTGGACCGAAGGTTGTCGCGGTGGCTTTGACTTTACTTGTGAGCACACCAGAGAACTTATTGCGAGCCATTGACTAAATGTGTCTCAGTATCATTCCAAGAGAGTATCCTCAGCATCGCTCCGTCTGCTCTTTTTCTTGCAATTGCCGGCCCACGAGCCTTCTACCTCTTTAGAAGTCCAGACAAGACCAAGCGTCACGCGACATATACACCAAAGCTGGTAAGACCACTCTTGGTTGAGGACTCTTCCTTAACTGTTTGGCTAAAACAAACTACTCAGATCACTTCCGCTATATATGCTGCCTTACAGGTGGGTTTATTAGCATTGGTTCCATCCGCCAAGAAGCTCAATACTCGCTTCTCGCTGGCTGCGGCCATTCTCAATCTCTTAGCAGCTTTCGCCATTCTTTTGTTGGCTCACGTCGAGCACGTCAAGTCTGTTCGACCATCATTCATTCTCACTGCCTATCTATTTGTCTCGCTTCTGTTCGACGCCGCCCGACTTCGCACAGAATGGCTCATGTCACTGAACATCGCGTATGCTGCAACTCTTTCAGCCTCGACAATATTCAAACTGGCCTTGCTCGTACTGGAAACAATTGAGAAACGCGGGATATTAATATCAAGCGAAAAGCAAATTTCAAAAGAAAGCACAAGCGGCCCCTTTAGTCGTGGATTCTTTGTCTGGTTGAACTCACTACTCATCTCAGGCTGGGCTACTGTTCTGACTAACAATGATCTGCCAACTATCTATGAGAAACTATCCTCCGAAAAACTCGCAGTTCGTTTCGGAAAACCATGGAAGAAAGGTGTGATATCACAGCAAGATGAAGCTACCACTTCTAATTCGGGACTACAGCCACTTCGAAGAGCAAGAAACCTTCTCTATTCCTGACAACCGTGACTGTTTTGAGATGGGAACTTCTTGGTATAATACCACCTCGTATTGGCATGATCGCCTTGAGTATCTCTCAACCTTTTCTTGTCAGCAACGCGTTACGATTCCTCACGATGCCCGAGTCTGACTCGACAATGAACTTGGGTTATGGCTTGATAGGTGCATTCGCTTTCGTTTTTATCGGTTCTGCGGTATGATCCCTCGAGGCGACGGAAGTACCACAAGCTGACATTATATAGCTGCTCACAGCTTGGTACGAGCATCTGACATTCAGAGCTGGCGCCATGGTTCGTGGTGGTCTCATGACCATGATTTACAGCAAGATGATGACACTTCCTACCGACGACCTCGGCGAGTCTTCAGCTGTCACACTCATGGGAAATGACGTGGAAACCCTGATCGAGAAACTTCACATGCTCTTGGTTGAATCCTGGGCGAATACTCTCACAGTTGGTATTGCTATGTACCTGCTGGCAGCACAGCTTGGCGCTGTTTGTGTTGCTCCTATCGTCACAGCAATCAGTGAGTACCTCCATCATCTGATACAATAATTACTAACTGTGTAGTCTGTCTCCTTCTCACGGGCTCCATTGGCAAGATGATGGTCACTCGCCAGATCAAATATCAGAAGGCTACACAAGACCGCATCAATCTTACTTCCGAGGTTCTCGGCTCGATGAAACCAGTCAAGATGCTTGGACTCTCGGAAAGATTCAGCAGCCTCATTTCTCAGAAACGGGATGAAGAGATCAAAACCGGTAAACATTACCGCTTGATCAATGTTTATCTGAACTGTATCAGTAAGTTCAGTACTGGCCTGGCAGACATGCTCTTTACTCATTCTCTTAGCCAACTGCAACGTGGGAATGACTGAAGCGATCACTTTTGGCGCATATGCCCTTGTAGCAAAGTTCGGGAACGGCGAGCCATTCTCTGCAGCCCAAGCTATCACGGCATTGTCTATCTTGGGTGTCATGATGGATCCTCTATCGCATCTTCTTGGAAGTATTCCAGGATCTTTCTCAGTCTTTGGCTGCTTCAGGAGAATGGAGGATTTCCTCAATTTGGAAGAGAGAGTTGATCGCCGACAAATTAATGGCCGCTTCAAAAACATCTCTAGATCATCTGACGAGAGCTCGCAACCCTTACAAGAAACTATTGAGGCAACGCCAATGAAGGATATACCGGTTGGGGCAGACGGAACTCGAATCGTGATCGAGGACGGCAACTTCCACTGGGGCGAGAAGGCCGTTCTTCAAGACATTAACGCGTCTTTCCCGAGTCACAACAATGGATCGCTTACCATGCTTGTCGGTCCTGTTGGTTCAGGAAAGTCGAGTTTGATGAAGGCTATTCTGGGCGAAACAACTTCTTCTATGGGCAATGTATCTCTGAGCGCATCAGAAGTCGCCTTTTGCGACCAGACTCCCTGGGTTATGAATGCGACAATCCGCGCCAACATCATCGCAGAGTCCAAGGGCTACGACAGTGCCTGGTTCGAGGCAGTTGTCAACGCCTGCGACCTGACTATCGACTTGGGACGGCTGTCTGAAGGAGACCTTACCCAGGTTGGTGAGCAAGGAGTCAAGTTGAGCGGTGGACAGAAGCAACGAATTGCTATCGCTCGTGCCCTATACTCTAGGAAGCCTGTGGCCATCTTTGATGATGTGTTTAGCGGACTCGACAAGGTGACTGAGCAAACCATCTTTACTCGCGTCTTTGGAAAGGATGGTCTTCTACGAAAGAATGGTACTACTGTTATTCTGGCTACACATGCAGGTAAGTTGCTACTAATAAATCCTGCTTCAGTGGTTTAACGTTATTTTAGTGAATAGGCTCCCTGAGTCCGACTTTGTTGTCGTACTTGGAAAGGGCGGAAGACTTGTTGAACAAGGAACCTACCATGAGCTGCGATCTGGAGATGGATATATCCACGATCTTGACATTTCGAGCCACGACGATCACGATGACCAACCTTCAGCCGAAACCAAACCTGTTGAGGAGACTGACAAGACTGACAACAAAGACGTGGTTGAAGATGAGCCAACGGAAGTGCCGAGTGATCGAAGCGTGTTTATATACTACTTCAAGGCTAATGGGATACATAACATGCTCACCCAGATACTCCTCATCGCTAGTGCAGGGGTTATCACGTCCTTTCGATGTAAGTTATTTTTTTCTTTTTAACAAAACCTGCACACTACTAACGTGCATCAGATGTTTGGGTCACTTGGTGGGGTGACGGAAAAGGTCGTGACAGCAGAGACATCGGGTACTGGCTCAGCATATATACCGTCCTATCTGCTTTCGAGGGCATTCTTATTACGCTTGCCATTGCGTGGGTAAAGCTGACTGTAAATATGAGACTTTTGCTGACAAGAACTTAGGATGTTCCTTTTGGTTTGCGGTCCCGTCAGTGGAAAATTGCTTCATTCACGACTCTTGAACGCCGCTATGAGGTATACAGACCACAGACAACGTCTCAATGTGAACTTGGCTAATGATTCTTAGCGCTCCTCTATCTTTCCTTCACAACAGCGCGGCGGGATCTCTGATCAATAGATTCAGTCAGGATTTGCGCCATGTTGATATTATCCTTCCGATGGCATTTTCCATCTTTCTCTTCGGTAAGATATCCCTATATATCATGGCTAATGTTAACTAATGTTCTTTCAGAGGTTGCCGCCTGCTTTGGTGCTGCTGGTCTTGCTATGGCGGCTGTCAGCTGGTTCGCCATCTCGATTCCATTTGTGATCGTTGTGCTTGCCCTCATCCAGCGTTTCTATGTCCGAACATCCAAACAACTTCGTCTTCTGGAGTAAGATAGGCGTACTCTTGGTTGGTTGAGTAATGTGCTAACGCATTGTCTAGAATCGAACACAAGGCTCCTTTGTTCTCACACTTCCTTGAGACTATCGACGGACTCGCCACAATTAGAGCCTTTGGTTGGATTCAGCCGTACACTGACAAGGCTCTGAGTCGAATTGATGATGCCCAGAAACCATCTTATCTTCTCAACTGTATTCAGCGATGGCTAACTCTAGTTCTAGACATGGTGGTGGCCTTTTTGACAATCATTCTCGTTGTCTTTGCCGTCACCCTCCGCGAAAAGATTGATCCTTCACTTCTTGGTATTGCGCTGGTCAATATGATGAGACTTGGTACCAACATGAAGGGTATTATTCTCAACTGGTCGATCCTCGAGACATCACTGGGCGCTATCGCGCGCATTCGCATGTTCTGTTCTTCTGCGCCAAATGAACAAAAGACAAACGAAGACGATGACCCAGGGGAGTTATGGCCGAGACAAGGCAGTCTTGAAGTTAAGAACGTGGATGTTCAGTATGAGTAAGTGGGATCCAAACCAATAATGGCTTTGTCCGATGTGCTGACTTTACAGGCAAACTACTGAACCTGTGCTACGTGGGCTTTCGTTCAGCATCAAACCCAGACAAAAGCTTGGTCTTTGCGGTCGAAGTGGCAGTGGGAAGAGCTCTTTCGTCCAAGCCCTTCTTCGCATGGCAGAGGTCGTCAATGGCCAAATTACACTTGATGGGCAAGATATCTCGACTGTACCCCGATATCTGATCCGCCAGCGTTTGAGCTGCTTGACTCAGGATCCATTTGTCTTTAGCGATACTATCCGAGCTAATCTTGACCCATGTAATACAGCGTCAGATGATGAGATCAGAAATGCCCTCGAGCGAGTCGGTATCTGGTCGGTTATTGAAGCTAAGATTGATGAGGATAAGAATCCTCTTGATGAGAAGATGGATGAGAACTTTTTGTCTCATGGTCAGCGACAGCTTTTCTGTCTTGCAAGGGCCTTACTAAAGAGAAGTTCACTGCTTATTCTTGATGAGCCGACAAGCAGGTAAGTCATCTCATAACCCCTGAGCTTTTCTTACTGACACTGTTTGTAGTGTCGATACACAAACAGATGCAAGGATGCAAGAGGTTATCCGCACAGAATTCTCAGACTGTACAATTATCATGATTGCTCATCGCATTGATACACTGCTAGACTTTGACAAGGTTGCTGTTTTAGACAGGGGCTCTTTGGTTGAGTTTGGAGCTCCTCAGGAGTTGTTGAAGGATGAGGCTGGTGCGTTTGCCAGATTGTATCGGGCGAATAAGGGGAGGAAGACCGAGGAGCAGTGAGTGTGTGACGCATTTGGGGGCGAATTGTTTTCCACTGTAGCACTTCGGTGTTTATTCAGAGCATGCTTTTGTGGTAAAGAATGCTTAGCGTCAGAGCTTCGGCTGGTTGAAGACAAACGATACAACTGAATCTCTGTCACGGAGACGCAGCAGGCGAATCACGGCCTCTACCTAGTGAAGAGAAGAGAAGAGTATAAGTCTATTCCCCTCCCCGCCGTTCTGCCCTTCACTCTTCTATCGCACCGTCAACTTGAGCTCTCAGCTACAATCACTAGATCGACTAAAAATGTGCCAAGGGGTCATCTTTTGGGCACGGTGCCCTGTCTGCCGCATTCGACACGAAGTATCGCGAGCATACCGCCCCATGTGTGAAGAAGCCGAGAACACTGAACTATGTACCTACGGCGCTTGTGTTCTAGGCGTCGACTGGGTATTCCGACAAATAAGCCCTACCGGATGGGGCTGGGATCGATATTGCAGAGATTGTAGGCCTCCTCGATGCAGACGTACTTCAAGTCTGAATAGGAGGCTAGACAGGACTGGAAGAGGGGTGAGGGTTCATAGAGTTATCTATGCGCCACCTGGCTTGAGTAGGCAGAGTAATGAGGATTTGGAGATGAGGCTGGAAGAGCAGTGAGATACTATCAGATCGATAAGGTAGAGTGGCTTGTTGCAGACAGGGTTGATCAAGGGCTAGTTTGGATAGTGGCAACTGGTCAACATGTCCGAAATATGATATGTCTGTTGCAAATTTCAATTCACAAATAAGATTATGGTATTGTTTTAGACTTACGCGGCGTCATTACGTTATGTTCTGATATTATTTGTTCATTTTCAATAGTGTCTAGTCAACACGACGCGTATCGACCTAATTGTATTCTTTTCGTGACAGATCATACAGAGCGCCTCATATTCCTGTTCCTACGCTGTTACTGTTCTTTGTCTGTACAATCAGTTGTGAGTCACGAACTCCTCCTAATAGATTTGAACAAAGGATTTCTTTTACATTATGAGACAAACGTGTTCGGTTGGCTTTAGAACGTTCAATTTCTTGAACTATTGAATATGGAGCTGCTCCCTCCTTGGTGAATGACCTTGCTACTACTATATATTCATCCTCAAAGCCATTATCCTTTCAATCCTTTTCACATCACTACAAACCTCAATCCCGAAGTAACAAAAGAAACAACCCAACACTTTTATCAATTCTTTCATCGGCTCTATCATCAATCAACAACCATGTTCGAAACCAAGATCTGGTGTCGCAAGTGTATCGTCTGCCAACGCATCGATGAGATCGAATACTCCAACCATCAGGATGGCTGTGGATCATGCGCTGTAGTTCGCACTACTCTTCCTGACCAGTCTCTTCAGGGTGTAGACGAGAATTACCGCTGCCGAAGCTGTCGTTCCAGACTGGCTTATGAGAGTCATGAGCTCAACAACCAGATCATGGAGGCTCGCGAGGAGAACAAGTATGGATCTTACAGGTAAGTTATTTTCCTAACATAAAATCAAAGTAGCAAAGTAGATCATGTGATGGTATAGTCTTTTGGTGTACCATCGCGGACATAGTATCACTTCAATACAGTATCACAAGTTGCCTTTGAACACTACTAATTTCATCATTTTGCAGTGACAGAATAAATCTAGAGATTACCAGTGCCTTTTAGGTCAAATTACCCTCCGATTCACTGTCCCTCGGTGCAAACAGATTCATCATGGCCGCGCGTCAAGGTCGTTTGTTCACCGTGAATCCCCTCCTCCCATCTCTTTTCCACTCTTATAAATACCTCTTTATCCTCTCTTCCCTTTTTCCTCTCTCATAAACAACTCAATATCTCAAATTTCCATTTCCTATAAATACTATCGACGTGTCTATCCCTTGCGAGATCTTTCCGTCGAACTTTTCAACCTACCTACTTATACACCAACATGTGTCAGACACTTGTCTTCTACCGAACTTGCGCGCACTGCGATGGTCAATTTCGCCTCTAGGAAACAGCGGAATTCCTTCCAGACTGCGACGACTGCGGCACCTTTGGGCGAGGTGCTTGCAATGATGGTGTTACTCTGGCGCTAGAGCCTCATGCCGACGACCCTTTTCGCACGTTTGTCTGCGATGACTGCGGGTTTTATAGACGCCGTCACCAAGCGATGCTCTGGTTGTCGCGCATGAGGCTGTGGCCCTAGAAGATGAGTTGCTGCGGAACGGGCACCTCTGGTGGAGTTTACATGGTTGACTTGAAATCAACTCGCGTGGAAGACTCTCAACCAAGCAAATATTTCATGTGCGAATATTACGATACTCGAGGGAGTAACAGAACAAGGAAGGGATGTGCCCGAGAGCATCTCAAAGTCGACTCTTGAAGCAACTACCGACTGATTGGATGCTTGTAACAATCTTGCACCTACATAAGGTAAGATAAGGCAGCTTAACAAATTCCCATATGCTGACCGCTGACTGTTTACTACATTAGGAGTTCTTCACCCTTACTGACGAAGACACACAGATCACAATAATTTGATTTGAACAAGACTATACATTTCCAGGAGCGAGCAACCCAGCTGTTGCATCAAGACTGAAGTTTTTGTTGTCACTTGGGAGAGTTGGTGGGGGTATCAACTAGACTGGCAGGACTGGTCATGAATAGAGGTCATACGAAATAGAACACTATAACAGAGATAGAGCCCTTTTTTGTCGAATTTCCTAACGCATTCTTCTTTTTTTTAAATTTTTTTTTAGGATGAATCGTGATCAATCGTTATTGGGAATATATTCTCCTTAGTATATATATCCATGCACGAAACGAGCCATCTACCATGTCGCCGCTCAATGTGAACCATGCATCTCGGTGTTAATGGAGTTCTATTCTTTCAAGCTATCATAAACCTTGCTAACTATTATCACCGTCGTGACCCAATAAGTGAATAGTGTCCTAAGTTTGCAGTGAGACCGCTCATCGTTGCATCTTTTTTCAGCTGGTTTCGAGTTACGCAATCAGTTAACCTCGGTGTCTTTCCCTGTCAACTGCCTGACTTCTTGAGAAGGTATGTCTACACATCCAAAGCTATCGTGTGACTCTTGTTAACAGCTAATTGACGTTGTTTGATGTCGTGTAATTCTCTCATCCGAACTTGCCTGGATCGAGATTTTGGATACAGAATGGTCCGGTGCTTGGTAGAGCCAACAGGCGAGTGGCGGCGGCGATGCCTTCTTGGTCTGTTCCCGAGTGTCATCATACCTGAGCATGAATGGCTTTTCAAGTCTGAAGTGATATCTGGGCACCAAAACATATCAAAGGCCTCCTAAGGTCGTATTGACTTGACCCATCCTCTGATTTCTTGGCACTTGCAAGATGTGGTTAAAATATTGATATAGGATATCTTGCTGATGAGTGGTTCAGTGAATGATCACTTGTCTTTGATCACTTGTCTTTGATCACTTGGCAGAGGTTGCTACACCATTGCGGCGCTCAATTTGTCTACATCTCGATGGAGCATAATACAGTAGTGTGTGATAGTAAAGCTGAAGATTATGTTGAGAATGAGGTGAAGTCGGTCTACTTATGATCTGCCCCCTGAAGTTTTGCATGGACTGTATTTGTCTCGAGGCAGCATGCACATGTCTCGTTTGGCAAGACGTCACACCGAAGAACGCTCTAAAAACAGCTTGCGATCATTCATAAGTTCTATGTTTTTTCCAAGCAATTGTATGGCAGTGCTATCCAAAACACGGATCAACGCCTTCAATGATTAATATACAGCTGACAATCGGCCACTCGTGAAGCAATTCCCTGGCAGCAATGTTTACCCCTTCCACACACGTATTTTTCCTTCTCTTACTCTTCATGACTACCCCGCATTATCGTAACATGTAAGAGAGATCCGGCAGATCTCGAAGAATATTCGCGACGATCTCGTCGTCTTGAGAAGACTCAACGACCGTTCTTGGTCGCGGAGGGACAGGTAGTGATACCGGTCGTGGCTTTTTAGGAGATGCCATGTCTTTGAGTGTGTCAATTGGCGTAGGAGCTTGCAGCTGTTGGTTTGCAAACATACCATCTTCTCTGGGTTTCACTGGCTTGTTGAAGTCATCGAGCAGACCCAAACCCCAAGAGTCCCATCCATTGACTTTATTTGCTTGCTCGATTGGTGATTTGGCCTTGTTTGACATCAGGTTTGCGGATGCAAGACTTGCCAAGGGCGACCGAGGTGTTCCCAAGTCAACTGTTGTCGATCTTGAATGATTGGGGATCAAGCTCTTCATAGGCGAAGCAGTCAAATCGACAGTAGTCGATCGAGAGTGGCTCGAAGCTATGCCTTGCAGTGCTGAAATGTTCCAGGGGTCCGTGGGCGATTGAGCGTGGTTAGGCGCAGAGCTTTGCAGCGGTAAAGGCAAAGTATCCATAGAGGATCGGCCTTTGGTCACTATTTCGGGGTGCGACGTACTCTGGATTGTGTCATCCAACGGACTTTCAGCTGTAATCGAGGGTTGGCTGGTATGGTCATTCTTATCATTCGAACTGGAGTCCACAATGGCATCCATGGAAGTAAAGCCGCCGTTTGTTTGAGCCGTAGGCGATGAAACCATATCGCCCCAATCCTCTTCGTCGTCATCATCGTCGCCCCAGCCTGCGTTTGTTGGAGGTTGTGCTAGAGGGGATGTTGGTGCTTGCGATGCCGATACCGGTCGGTTTGTTGATAGAAGCGAAGGAGGATTGAGTGGAGACTGGGGCTCTGAGATTGTAGGTGACGCTGGGAAATGCAGAGGTTGCGTTATAGAGATAGGTCGGTTCGTAGGTTTTAATGGTGTAGGCTTAATAGGAGAAGGAGGCTCCTCGGTGATGCGTGGTCTTGGAGGAGATGCCAAAGGAGGTGCTCTTGTCTTTGACACAGGGGATGTTTTCGTGGTCTCAACTGGCGACGTTTCAACTGATGACCTTGGTGCACTTGTGGTCGAAGTGCGAGGCGCAGAAGGGGGTGCAGCAACAGTTGGCGAAGGGACGGGGTTGCTACCCCATCCAAACGCTGCAGCCGTAGGCGATGCGACAGTTCCTTTGGAAGCTGCTGAAGTCTGCCTCGAATGATTCTTCCTCGCCAAGAGTTCGGAGATTGATATCTCGGTGGATGGCGCCGATGAATCCCAGTTGAAGATCTTTGCACCAGCTGCACCACCTCTTCGGCCGAGAACAACACGTCCCGTGATCGAGTCTTCCTCCATCCATCGTCTGACAATCCCGATTGCTTGTTCACGCACATGGGAGTTTCCCCAGCCAACGCGAACATAGTTTTCGTCGTCTCCCAAATTGTGTTTCCGCATTGAACCAGGTCTCGACATGAGATACCATGCTTTGCGCTCTGAGATGGAAGTGAAGCTATCGTCGATAATGACATCAGGGATCGGCTCTGGGGATGGGAAGCTCGTTTCGACTGATGGGAAGATATCATCAAGCTTTGACATGTCAATTGTGAACGGTACCGAGGGTGGCTTCGGCCGAGCTGGTATTGTTTCTTTAGGCGTTTCCTCATGGCTCGTCGTCTCAGTTGTCGTTGCTATCGGCTGTTCTTTGGGAACTTCGACTTCCGGTTGCTTAGTCTCGTCTTGCTGTGCCTCCTTCATGGGTGATTCGAAATCCGACCATGAATCCGATTCTGTCTGCCCTTGGTCTTCATCCTTGGATGACTCTTCAATTCCATTCTCCATCACATTCTCCTCTTGATCCAGCGTTTCTTCAGACACGATCTCTACTTTCGTTTCTGGCTCAGGTTCAGGTTTCGACTTCTCTTCCACCTCCGGTTCCATCTCTTTCTCCAGTCCAGGTCCAAGTTCTTCATTCGACTCTTCCTTCGCTTCCTCCTCCGCCTTAGCCTTCGCCTGTAATTCCTCCTCAACCTCATCGTGTTCGTCAACCTTCATGTCAATCGTGACATCCTCTACCGAGCTATTATCCGAGACCTTTCGCATGGATGGATCAATAGGCGAAGCGCTATGGCTGCTCTTTGCCATATCATCGTACATCTCCACCAACTCAGAAACCTTATTAGACGGTTGTCGCAAAGCAGGCGGTCTTGTTCCACGCTGTAAAGCTGGTCTGGGAACTCCACTCGGTGATTCCGGTCGGCCTTCATCTTCGATCGGTAAAGGACTTAAGCTCCTATTCGAAAGCGCCGGGTCTGATTGCTGCCAAATATCTGCTGCGTTCTCCTTAAGTGACCGCGCAGGTGATGGTGTCCTCGTCGCAACACGCCCTACAATCGGTCGCAGTCCTTCACCAAGACTGATCGCTGAATCTCCGTTATCCTCCTTTCGTAGTCGTGCTGTATCAAACGTTGGCGAACGTCCCCATGGATCCGGGGTCGGCGATGGTAACCTCGAACCAGCTGGACTACCCCCTATAGGGCGTAAGCCAGGACTTCTGCCCCAGCGCGGGCTACTATCTTTACCCGTCTCGGCCCATCCGCCCCATGCATCATCGTCTTCGTTCCATGGCGTATGAGCAGGCGAAACGCGCTGCGAACTGCCCGAGTGGTCTGCAGCAAAGTGCGCATGTGGCGGCGGCGCGGGAAGGTCTAACTTTGGTGGCTCGTCGTTGGTCCAAGGGGAACCCCAGGGATCCTCCATGCTGGGCGAGCGCACATGTCGCGCTGCCGATAACAGGAGAAGAAAGTGAGAGAATTAGTGCGAGCGAGGGGTGTTATTGTGATCGGTTTATCATTGCGCGCAGTCGAAGGAATGTGGTGGGTTAGCTCGAAAGCTTAGAGTTCCACGGCGCAAGAGGCAAGCTTTCGTAATCACCTCCAAAACCTAGGCAGTAGGAAAGAGGGTTCAATGATTGAGCGCCACGGATCGAATAGATATAGATACAGTTTGATTCGTGGCGTAGATATCAGCACGAGGCGTTGAGCTTAACGAGATGTAGAATAAGTCGTCAAGTTGTTTTGGTTTGGAGGAATGAGGAACAGTTGCAGAAACACGTCCACTATTATTCGTGGATCCTGAATCTTCAGGGGCGCGCGGTCCCCCAGGTCTCTAATTTGGCCCCGCAAGCTTCCGTCATCACCATCAGGAGCTCTGACAGAAATGAGACTCTTATTGCTTTGAAATTCAAAAACAGTCACTAACTTTGACATAATGCAATAATTGTTGCTAGATTGGTAATCTTTTCACCAACTCGGATAGTATGAGGGTATCTACTCCATGCCTATCGCATGCAACGTCAGATACCTCAACATCATCCTGATGCTTGCTGTAAAATTGTACATCAACTTCCTTTTTCCATTCCATCAATTCCATGAAGCAATCCCAAGCAGACCTGTCACTCCGACGCTAATATTCAGTCAAAAAATTATCATGTCGTTCCGATTCTCCCAGTCAATACTCATGAGGCAATCTCATGTCCACTCTTCAGCGCCCACTCCTTGGAGCGCCCTTTACCGATCTTCTCTGCCACCAACTCTACCGTATTCTTCACTTCAGTACGAGACACGTCGTCCCGAAATTGATGGTAAAGGAAGTCGATAATCCCAACCTTGGATAAAGCTTTGTTGCTCAAAATAGCTCTCTTCACATCATCAAGTAGCTCAGACTTGACAAGCTTTGGTGCATCACCACCAGGGTTGCCGTTGCTGCCTGTCAAAGCTGAAAATGCATTGGCGGGTGTAGGGGGAGGGGGCATCTTGCCGCCACTATCAGATGCCGCTGTGGTTTTCGTAGGCTTAAGTGTCTTGTTCTTGACTTCAGGTTCCCAATACTCCGTTGAGAATGGATCAATGCCCCAGGTTTGCTGAAGTCCATCTAGAAATAGGTCAGTATATGCTCATTCCTCTCATGTCCAATCGACTCTTACCATGCATGAACTCCATTCTGTGTTCATAAATAACCTGATTCGCCACAGTGTTTCCATTCTCAAAACAGATCCCGGTGCTGTCTGGCTCAATGGTGTTTGCAAAGATTCGTCGAGATAGACCAGCATCTTCCGAATCATCAAGAAATTCATCCATGTCATCTTCGTCATCCATCTCCTCTTCATCGTCATCGACATCGAGATCCTCTCCTTCTTCCTCCTCCTGCCATTCAGCTTCCGAATCATAGTCGTAGTCAAGTGGCAGCCGTCTTGCTGTTGGCGTTCGAGCCAACTGGCTCATGTTGAGCTTTCCAAGTACGAATGGCTTGAAAGTCACCGTTCCATAGTAAGGGGGCCGCACATCCTGTGAAAACGAAATCACCTTCATAGGCACCTTGGAAAGCTTCTGACGGGTGTCTCGCATGATCTTATCAGCATGCTCAGGGCCCGCGTTTTCCGCCTTTTCTGTCTCCCTGAAGACTTGTTCCATGATGTGCTTAACTGGGTGATGGAGCATGCCTCGTTTTGGGGGCTTGTTAGGCAAAGAAAAGAGTCGAATTGGGTCGAACCGAAAGGGATCCAATTCTCCAGCTCGCTGACCACCGACGCATTCATCTAGGATATTTGATTTAACCTCGCGCGTTTCGTCGTCCATCTCAGGCCCAATATGGGCAACTCGTGTGTTGTCCTTGATGAAAAAGGGCTTAAATATCTTCTCGTATTCGGTCTTTGGTGGTTTGCTCGCAGTTTTTGCTGGACTAGGATCTCCTGGCGTGTCATTTTTAGGTTGAATATTGTCGACAGCCTTCTTAGGGGTGCTCGGAACCTTGAAGAAAGAGCCGAGTGTTCGTTGCTGCCGAGCCTTCTTTTCCTCTTCCTCTTCCTTTCGCTTCTTCTCGTCGTCCTTGCGTTTCTTTTCCTCTTCCTTTTGACGTCGTTTCTCGTCACGTTCTTTAGCTTTAGCGGCCTTCTCGGCATCAATCTTAGCTTTCTCAACTGCTCGGATAGCTGCTTTCTGTTCACGTTCTTCTTTGAGTCGAGCAGCCTCCTTCTCCTTTTCTGCCTTTAACCTGGCAGCTTCCTTGTCCTTCTCGGCTTTTTCAGCAGGCGTCAACTTCTTTCTCTTTACCAGAGCGGTGGCAGGTTTCGATGTCGAATTGATAGTCGTCTGTGTTATATGTGTCTTGACTGGTGTTTCAGGAGATGGAGACTGGCGAGGAGGAGTGCTTGTACCAGGATCACTAAGTTCTGATGAAGCTGGCGATGGGGCTCTTTGCCCAGAGGAAGGGGAAGGCAATGCTATAGATGATTAATATTCATCGCAACTGATGCGTTTTCCCGACTTACTTAATTCCCCATTTGGTGGATCGGAAGCCAAAGGCGGCAGCTTGATATTTTCGGAGGTGTCTATTCCATCATTATTCCCTATGAATTCATCGTGACTTCTCTTACGGCCAGTAGCCTCAGATTCTTGAATGTTCGGTGAAAGTTCGTAAAGGGGCATGGCGCTTTGTTGCGAGCTGATCAGCTCAACTTCGATTCGCTCAAAGCGAAAAGATTGTCGTGTCGTGCGAAATACGAAGGTGATAATCCGTAACGTTCTTGAAAGGTGCTTGCTAGGTATCGTGAGTAGGAAGAAATCATGCGATTAAAGGTCAATTAAAAAGAATTAAAACAAAGGCACAATCATTCCGTTCGATAATGCTTTGTTTGAAGCCTGAGGTTGTTTGGAGAGAAGTGAATAATCTCTTGGGTAGGTGCACGAGATCCGCAGGTGGCATGAAGCAACCAAGTTGAAAGGGAAGCCTCCTCCACAAAGGAGACCAAAGTTAATGGAAAGCGCGACCTGACGCGTCGATTTGGCGCCTTAACTTTAAGTGGGCAATTAAGAAACGCGCTGACAGAGTTGACCTGGTGAAGTGACAGGGAAGGCGCGGCTAAGCCTCGGCTACGCAAAATTACAGGGTCCCTGTGGCTGTGCCCCGCGTGGCAGCCTGAACGCCTCAAGCGCTTGCGGCTAATCTGGTAATTCAACGATCGACATGCCCATTTCAACAAATTGCCATCCACACCCAACATGGGGAATCCCCAGTGATATCATTAAGGGGGCCCGGTCTAGTAACAGCAACCGAGAATAAACGATTGGCGCCGCTAAGGGATCAGAGTGAAACGACCAGACAACCAAGTGGACGGTAACGTCACTGGAGCCCTGACATACATAATAGTTTACTAGATGTGGACAACGCGAGAGGGAGCCGATCTGAATTAGATCCACAGAAAATTCAACTTCACAGGGAGTAAGGCACGGGATTGTCATTGTTGTCTGAAGCCCCTTGTTCTCAGATGAGATCATGGGGTGGTATCATTAAGCATGCTTTTATCTCGATCCTGGCTGGGGGGGGACACAGAACTTGAGACTCGGATTGGTGGTAGATCGCTGGTGGCCAGTCTCACGTTTTCTGTCCCCCACAGGCCTTGCTATAGTAGAGGGCAGAGGTATCTTTCAAACATTATGTCCGTCAATGACAGTGGAGTCCCCGCTCCAGATGCACACTTCGTCCATTCAAGAGGTGTAGAGATGATAATAGCGAGAGATTGGAAAAGGAAATTCGTAGGGTGTGACGTCCCTGAAAACGATAGGTGGCGTAGAAAAGCAAACGATAAAACAATGCTGGAACGCCGACCAATGCAAGCCACCTCCTGGTATGAAGTGTGCTGTAACGAATGATGGAGAAAAGAAACCTCCTCTTGGCTCATCGTGTCATAATATAGTGATTTATAGCCAGTTGGGGTTTGTGCCGCGTGAACTATCATCTTAATCAGGGTTGGCGATGAAAAGACGGCCAGAGGTAAGGGTTGATGTTCGCTCGTCGACACTTCCACGTCTCCTCAGCTCATCAGCTGACTTTACACTCTTCTCTCGAGTGAGAGCCGAGTGCATGAGGGAGTTGGAGGCCAATCTAGGGGCATTGCTCAACTCTCCCACATTGTCGGCGCGTTCACCACTGCTGCCGCTCGCCATGCTGCGAGCCTTGCCGCTGGCAGCGTCATCGACAATGTCTTCAGGTGTAGCCTCCACCAAGCTGCCAGTGCGTTCAGGTGTGTCACCAGGACTCCACCTTCGGCTATGCTGGCTGCCCATGCCACCTGATGTGCGGTAGGCAAGGTTTCGGCGGCTGCTAGTTGTGCTGCTTCGTCCGCTGCTCCCCGTTCTACGGTGATGAGGGCGGTTTCCGGCATTTTCGTCTTCGCTGCTCTCAGCCTCAACTTCAGTAGCGCTAAGTCGCATTGGCACACCGCCAACACCAACGTGGTTCTCGCCAGGAGCGTAGCCGACAACTGGGTTCTTTCCATGATGTCGAATCTTGGGAATCTTGGCGGCGACCTTATTTGTAGTACTGAGACCGGTGCTCGTTCTTGCTCCGGCTCCACCGGAAGCACTGCGTGATCCACCGACAACCTCGAGAGTTGCTCGCATCTTTGCAGCACGTTGTTGAGCTAGCAGTCGTGGGTCTTCATATTGGGAGCGATCACACCATACGGTGCCCTTTTGTTTCCGGAGAAGAGCGACATAGCTGGAGGGTTGGCTGCTGGCTCCGCCTGAGCGGCTAGATGTGGAGCGACGAAGCTCGGATTGTGAGGAAGAACGGTAGGCGGCAGGAGGAGGAATGCTCGAGGCGGTGCTGAAAGTATTCACAGAAGGTGAGCGACGGTTCTGTGAGAGATTGGGCCCCGGTTGGGCAAGGTGAGAAGTTTGAAATTGCATGGGAAAGGCAGTTGAGGAAGTGGTTCGTGTTCGAGAATGTCCGTAGCCGACTGTCTGGTCGATAGGCCCTCTCATGGCCTGGGGTTCCAACATGACCAAGGGACGAGGCGGCGTCGAGGGGGGACGCCAGGTACTTTATGTGTTTGCTGATCGCGGGTAGCGGCGTCTGTCCGAGAGTAGGGAGAGAGTTTGACCCGTCGGGCGCGGCTGGGCGGGTTATAGAGGGAGCCGAAAAAAGTGAGACTGAGCTGAGTAGCGCGCCAGAAAGCGGGGCGTTGGAGCCAAAAGGCGAAGGACGGGAGTGTGAGTGTGACGAAAGCAGTGAGTAATAGAGATGTCCCAAGTATCGTGAGTATTGGAGGTATAGATATGACTGTATCAATATGGGCAGATTTGGTGTTTTGTTGTTTGTATGTGAGAGAAGAGGAGAGAGCAGAGGTGGATGGTGGGCAGAGGCGCCGACTACTTACCTAAAGAAGGATTTCGATTTCCCGTCAGTGAGCACTGGCAGTGGCAGCCAAGCAGTCCAACGTTGCATGGGCCATGGAGGGGAGCCAAGCGGAGGGTACCTTAGGTTAGGTGAGGTCCGGGTGGGCTTAGTGGGTTCTAGCACTAGTGGGTGGTCGCCTGCAGGTGGATCACCGCTAGCAGGCGGACACTTTCCATGAGGTGAACATGGGCATGAGGTCGAAGGGTGAAGCACGTTCAGCGCGAAATGTGCTGGAAGCGGCTGTCTGTACGGGAATTGAATGTACCTCTATGATGTCGAACTGTAGATCGCCAATTCTTGGCTGCCGAGACCAGCTGTCTTGGCCGATTGCAAAGGGTCATTGGTCTCCGGGTTGGGGATAATTACAGGACATAGATTGGAGGTTCAGTTTTGGCCGGAAAGGAATTGATGTTTCGTGATGATTGCTTGTCAGAAAGGGAAAAGAATGTGGAACATGGGGCGTTATCGTGACTGAGGCTGCTGATGCTGCTTCACTCTTGTTACATCCGTCTCGTCACCGACGCTTCCCATTAATGCTGAATAACTTGATTTCTATCCAATGCCTTGGTCTGCAACAGATTTGTTGGCATGTTATTAAAATGCTGGTCCTTAATCGCCCATCATCAACCTCTTACATCGTCTCCTACACTCCCCAGTTTCAACTCCAACTCGAGCAACTCGTGCTAGAACAAGTCAGCCCTGGCGTCCCCCAAACGTGGGCCAGCTGAAGGCACACCACCGAAGAAGAGCCTGATGCGCTATCCAATCAGACCCTGCAATCGACCGTGATGTCATGTTCTCGCATGCAAAGTGGGTAGACACTAGCTACGGTTGATGTCGACAAGGCCTGGTCTGGCCGGGCTGCTCCAACTATCCCCATACTCGTCTCGTAGGGCAGCAGCTGCTTGTTGCTGAGGCGTTTTTTTGTCTCTTGTTCTGAATTGAACTGAACCAGACTAGCATTGCATTAGCAGATAAGCGACGGGAGAGAGAATACCTAATCAACGAATGCGATGACTGGGGTTGTGGTATTCTCCATGTCGCAACCAACCGTAATTGAATTGAAGTGATTCATCTTTGCAAGAGAAAGAGTCAAATATTCCATTGTTTCTTGGTTAACTCGCCATCCAGCGCCTCTGTAGAGTCACTCAACTCACACACCCCTGGTCCCCTGCAACAAATCTGTAGCGGCTGACAATATCACGCCCACCGGGGGAGACCATTTGCAGGGACGGGACGCTGACGAGACCAACAGTCAGGGTGATGTGAGCATCTCGAGACATCAAAGACGATGTCACTTTCATTGTCGCCTTCGCGGAACTGAAGTTGCTAGGCCGACATAGGAGCCCCTACTGCAGCACGCATTGAGCCGCGCCAAGAACTGCCCTTCTTTTGCAATCCCTAGAGCCAGATGCAGGTGGGGGTTTGGGGTCGCTTTTGTGTACTCGTGGTACAGTCATCAAAGACATAATCCCGCGAGGAAACCTAACTTTTTAGCAGATCGTCTTCGTTGAAACTCAGCTGCCATAAGCGGTTGGCTCAAACTCTCGTCTCTCTCACAACAGTTGTAGCCATCTTTGTCTCAATAGTTGTAGGTATCCAAAGAAACCGTTCCTGTAGAGGCTCTCCTTGCACTTGTGCCCCGCGTCAAGGGTATCTCAGGAATTCGATAACAAACAAAGAAGCTTCAGAACTGGAACATATGACCCAACACAAAAAAGGGTAGCACGAGAAAAGTCGATGTGACCCTTGAGGAACAGCCATGCCGCCTGGTCAATAGTAGGGACAGCTTGGATTGGTCAAACGCACAAACATCGGCATGGTGATTCATTATCAAGCCCACGCTCATTTGTATTGTTACTCCAGATAAGGGAGGCTAATGGAAAAGCATACCATCAAGAAATTACATGAGCCAGCTTCATTGAGACAAAAATCCAGGCACAGCACCATCAGAGTTGATAGAGGTGTAGAGCCATAGCTATTGGATGGACCCCGAAAGGCATGGGCTTCAACTAAATTCCCATGTGATCCAATCGTCTATTCAAGCGAGTGTCTTAACCATGTATGCGGAAAGTTCCTAGACTCAAAAGGGCTTTCCAGAGGGCATTTTGGCCAATCTCAAGACCCGTGGGCCTTGAAGTAACTTTCCATCCATAGATCCAGTGCAACCTCAACCTGTGTGCAGGCGGCCGCAGTACATACATAATATATTGTAAAGCCAACCTATCGCTCGGGACCGAGATTTCAGTTTGGCGTGAACTATATGTGGGAAATTTCGATTTTGACAACTGGCGTTCAAGGGTGAGGAATATCATAACGAAGTGGCTTTTGAGGCTTGTTTGTCAACGGCTGAGAGGACATGGCGTTCATAACAGTTGATAGCTTCTATGTAATTACCTCCTCTGTATCTTACCGACAGATGCAACACCCTTGCATCAGTAGAGAACACCACTTACAGTAGCCTAGGTTTACAAGACCTTACTCAGACCATGCGTGGGGTTCATGTAAGCGCATTGGTGAGCTGCCCTACAGATCGACCCTTGTCGAAGAAAAAGAACCCCTCCAGGGTGTCGGATGAACTGATGTTTCCTGGCAGGAATTTTGGGGTACAACCTCGCTTCTATGATATGGATCTCATCTCAATTGTTAACTCTTCTCTTCTATTCTCTTCTCTCAATCAAATCTCGACCAAAGTATCTCCCCGCTTTCTCTTTTGCATATAGCGCAGCCCTGTAGAGCTGAGCTTATTCTAAACTCTCTCACCGGGTTTTTTAGACCTGCTGCAAGGACACGTCTTATCTTGCCGTTGATTGACCTTCTTTGGCTTTGGCTTTTTCAGCCCACTCTACTGTTATCCTTCAGTTCAGCTCCGTTCGACTCCGGGGACTGGGGAAACTGCAAGCTTTCATAGACCGGGCCCGACCCCAAATGCAAGGATGAGCAGCGAGCGGGGCATCCATCGCATCACCGTAATCGTTGTAATGTACTGATCAGTGAGTACCATTGTGGATATCTGTGTGATCTGTCAATGGCTTCATTTGATAGGAACCGAAGCAAGTCAGCAAGTGACCTTGACGTCTGATTCATCAGATCATCCTGCATCTGCTTCAATCACCAACAAAAACCCCATGTCAAAATTCAAGTTATCGATGCAGCCACCGGTCGATATATCGGGCAACGGATCGGAAAACCATTCCCATGTTTCTGATCCCATTCATTGCATTCAACCCTGAGACGACTTATACAATTATACAATGCGCTGTTAATTAATTCATTGAAAATTATCTCCATTTCTAGTTACGTCACGTAAGCGTCAGCCCAATCCTGATCTTTTCCTTTCTAGGCGCAGATTTCCCTCCATTGGAAACCGCTTCAGGTTGTCATCGATAAAAAAATGCCCCGAAGCCACAACAATTGAGTTTCTGATTAGTATCCGTTTTCGCTGCCGCGAGGTTCTCCACGTGGGGTGCCATTCGGCCATGACCGTGTGGGCTGGCTGCTGGCTGCATGCACCAGAATGAGTTAAGAGACGAGAACCACCACCAACACAACAGTAGCAGAAAACTTGATATAGTGTCGCCTTGGCCGAATTCTCTTTGGCCCTTCGGGCTTGTGATGGAAAAGTCTCCAACAAAACTCATCCACAAAATGCGCCGTGTTGCCGACTCGCCAAGAATATGGAGACTCAAATCTGCAGATGCAATGCATGTTCCATCTCTTCGAGTCGTGAGTGTAAGTCCTTGTCAATGCCAAGGCTGTCAATGTTAAGGGCCTTCGTTTCTCGTGCCGCCATTGCACTTACATGTAGAGATCCTCACATCTTTCGATAATCTCATCAGGGAAATCTGGTGGCGAATCTCAGAGAAAAATCCTCATCTCGGTCCTTTATCGTCTCTCAGACCTCTTCTTGAGCGGATATATGGTTGCCGAAAGTCTGGAGCGTTCGAAATCTGTCCGCGCCGCTCCAATGAGCCCAGCAAAACTTGAAAACTATCAAGCTAACCTTGCGCCTTGAGCTTAAAGCTTTTAAGGAGCCGCAATGGATGGACGGCTAGGGTTTAGCTGATTGGTCTGATAACTCGACCTTTACTCTCTTACATCACGCGAGATAAGGAGAGTTGCACTATAGTAGTCAAAGCTCTGGTTTGCTTTGGTACATGTGCCTGAATATCCGTGATGGCTTCCTTGGTTTCCCGCTGCCAAGGCCCACAGAGTCTTCCAGTATCCTGGCACAACCTGGTCTCCGAAGCTTCCGCCAAGACCAATTCCGCGGATGAAACATCAGGAAGCGATAAAAGTCAGGTAAATAAAAGGAAATCAGGGCCCATTGACAGCTCGCGATCTCGATCTCGCAGCTTATTGTTCCATGGATTTCCGTTTCTGCAACTCAATGAACTTTCAGCGGAAGAATTCCTCCGTTGCAACTACGCAATCCCTGTCGCAAATCAATACTTCTTATTTCATGTTGATTGGCAATCACATTTAAACTTTCAACCAGTGGAAGCTTAACGAAGCTGTCACGTTTTCCATTTTGTAACACGGCGTCATGTAGGAATATCTGCCGGGTCTCAGCCCTTTCAGGAAACTGCCGTTCTAGAGGGTGTGTAAGAGAATTACAATCCCCATGTATAGACAAGGTATATGCCAACTTGTCATCGACATAAACCTCTGTTATAAGCTGCAGGACCCTGGAGCTTCGGGCGATGGGATACGCATGCAGTATCGTGAGGATGCGATGTGCAACATACTACGTAGTAAGCAGGATTAAGGTGGTAATGTCGAAACGCCACGCAGAATAACCAGTTTGGCTTTCGATGTTGGGTTTATGAAATCCTTTCATGATCGTGAGTTGGCAATGCTGACCGATGAACTTGAATGAGCTTAATCGAAGGCACCAGGAACAAGGAACAAGGCACCACAAGGCTTCAGCTTAAACAAGTAAACCAATATCGATAAGCCGTGTGTTGTTCGCTGAGTGGTCATCGAAAGCCCATACAGGCCTCAAGCTTTACAAGTCCAGTCCCCAAGCTGCAGTGACACACTGTCACACAATTTTGTCCGGGGATGCAGTTCCGCTTAAGCTGAAAAGACGCCCATGTCATAATCACCTAGCCACATGTCAAGCTTTGGTACGTGCATGATAGCTCGAGGTAGATCTTCACGGGAACCAAACTCGGCTGAGAGACAAAGCTTTCAATTCGCTAATAAACAAGTGTTTGTAAGTTGATGCGAGGTCTTATCGCAATCACACCGATTGATAGTTAGTGTGGGTGAACGGTGCGGGGGAAACTGTTTCGTTTCTCGCATTGGCAACCGGAACAGGCATTTTCCAGCTCCTCATTCGTCAGTGCTTCCACGGTTGTCGTGATGACAATGCTATCATGATGCTACAGTTTGTTTACTTTCTGCACAATTGACTCGGATGTCCGGCAATAATGCTGCGTTACCAGGTAAAACATGTCGATCATAACAAATGCTTCTGAGTTCCACCATGATGTAGTTTGTTTTCGTGATGCATTGGCTGGATCATGCGTTGTTGATATGTCTTTGTCTATCAAAACATTCATCTCTTTGTCATGACAATGGATTCTTGAGCATTAAGCCGTTGATCCGGTCCAGCCACCTCGAGGATCATGTCTTGGACGACACAGCACACGTGGTAATAATGAAGTCATCAATGTCGCTAAATGAAGGATCTGGATCGGACGGACTTTAGTGGATTTCTAGATGAGAGACTACTAGACTAGGGAAGTTCAAGCTCCAAGAGTCAATCAAGGGTTGAGCCGGTGCTTAGCGAAGGAGTCCGTATAAGCCAAGTCTCTGTTGAGGGAGTTAATAAACCCCTCAAATCTCGATACAATGAGGGAAATATTAATAAAGGATTTCACTTTTTTCAGGTCTGGAATGAAGCATCCGGTAATAACCTAGTAGCCACGAGTGGATATTTCGAGCGCTCCTAGGTGATGAGGCTCAAGACGACACTTGTAACTCGCCAGTGTTGACTCCTTGATCGCTTCGTCCTAATGGAGGGCCATAACATAACTACAAATTAACTTTTCTGTCTAGTTTGGCCTTAGAGTATTTTTATTTGTTATTGACATTTATTCGTGTTGATTCTCGCCGATTCATTGTTGCACACGGGGCGGTTCCCTGGGTATTATGAGTCAACAGTAGCACAATGTGTTCAAATACTTCAGGAACATCATCTCTTCAGCCAAGGCTTATATCTGATCATTTCCTCTTTCTGATATGACCTTGCGACTAACACGTCAGCAAAACTTATGTTTCGGCTGCGTTGTCCCTGATAGATCAGAGGTCGGTAAAGTCGGATACTACACCGCCAGGAGTTTACTCGAGTATTTCTAAAACTTCACAGGACATAACAATAAGGTTTGTAAGCAAGTTGTGTTCCACGTAGCATATGCTTGAGGGAAAGAATGAGACACATATCGCAACTTTAACTCTGGCATACACTTAGCATCCTCGGTGACAGTATTAACAAAGTATACATATATCCTCGCCTCGTTGGGTCAGTCAAGGGAAGGCAGTTTTGTGACACTACAATGGCTAAATATACATCGAAATACAGTCAGATATCTTTATGTAACATGATATCCTGCATCGCCATTTGAGGTGACAAGAAATCATTTTAAGTTCAACGTTGAGATAAGGTTGGGTGCACACGTTGAACGTCGAACCCAGATACCAACGGTTGCGCCGCATATTTCTAAAATCGGATTCAATTCTTATGTGAGGTTTTCCTTCTTTCTTCTGTATTTCTTATGATCATCATTTGTTCAACAACTCGGTATCAGCCACTGGGGGCGGCCACAATTCAGTCGTTGGATCGACTTGTGAGCCAGCTGTACGGACTCCGAGTTAAAGTTTGGGTTGGCAAGATAAGGGTTGATTCAGATATCTTCAAATCTTCTCAAGACTTGAAACCCAACGCATCCTTTTTCTCAGATATCATATCATCATCTTGCACCTCAAAAACAGAAACTTAAGCGTCTTGTGTAGGGTAATTCGGCACTTAACCCATGCTTATACGGAAGACATTCCCCGTCTTGGCTAGCGGATTCGTTTCGTTTCTCTTTAGTGAGGTACCTCGTGCACTGACGTCAAGCAATTCATTCGTTCATCTGAACTCAAAGCTCTTGACCTTAGTGGTCAAATCCATTCATGATCACCCGGGAGGGGCACGCACGTTGACGGATTCGACGCGATCCAACAAATTTTCCACGAGCTTAATTAAGCCCAAGCGTTTTTACCCCTAACCTACTTAGCGACCTCCATCCAAATTCTAGATGCTGCAAGTTTCTAGTCCTCTTATTGTTGGGCTGTGAGCAGCTGTCATGAAGTTCGCCAAGGAGCTCGAGCGAGAAGCTGTGCCTGGTAAATACCTAAGAATTGTCTTGTAGATTGGATAAAAAACTAACTTTAAACGTGCAGAATGGCGCATCAAGTACCTCAACTACAAGCAAGGAAAGAAACATATCAAAGCTGTTGGTAGAGCTCTTGCTCGCGCAAATGGAACACCTCGAGGTCTTGGGCAGCTTCGCACAGGCACATTTGCTTCGCCTGCAACACCGCGACAACCATTTACTAGAGAGAACACGGCTTTAAATTCCGCGACGATTCCATCCGTGTCAGCCGTTGCGCCCCCGAGATCGATCCCCACGCCGCGAAGCAGAACCGCTGAAAACGAGTCCCTCACAGATTCGGGTGATAACCGACACTATGGAAGCTTTGTCAACACACCACCAGAGCCGTCACCTTTGGCTGGCGAGACCAAACATGCCGAATTTCAATTACCTGCGCCTGCGCTGAAAGTTCATGATCATGAGAGCGATCTCCCAGGTTCGCCTGCTACGGTCGGGCCCTCCGATGTGATGCGACGAAATAATCAGCGAATTGATCCTCGACGAACATCATCAGCCAGTGTTGTATCGACAATTGCATCGCCGGACGTAACCAACTCGACGAAGAAACCATCAGAATCGGGTGCTCAGGATTCACCTTCTCACCTCCGACGACTATTTACCCACCAATCAACAGCAAAAAGCGATCGCAGAGTTGATATCAATATGCAACACTTCGACCTGGTTAAGGAGAGGGAGCGAGATTTTTTTGACTTCCTCGATTCAGAGCTTGAAAAGGTTGAGAGTTTCTACAAGATGAAGGAAGAACAGGCTGGTCAGAGGTTGGACATTTTGAGAGTTCAGCTTCACGAGATGCGCAACCGTCGAATTCAGGAGATGGCCGATGAGCGAGCACGGGAAGAGAATCCCCAGAAAAAAGGAACTTATGATAGCGCCAATGGCAAGCTCAATGGGATCATGGAGCCTATCAAGTCCAAGATATTTCCTATCGGACCTAACACGAAGGCATTGCAAAACATGAATACGACACCTAATATCAACGGTGGTGTCGTGGGTGACGCTGAGAGAGACTACATCCGTCGCCCAACCCAGCACGAAGTGTCATACCGCACAGCAAAGCGCAAGCTCAAACTCGCCCTCCAAGAGTTTTATCGTGGGCTTGAATTGCTCAAGTCATACGCGTTGCTCAACCGCACGGCATTTCGAAAGCTCAATAAGAAATACGACAAGGCTGTCAATGCCCGACCTCCATATCGTTATCTCAACGAAAAGGTCAATCAGTCATGGTTTGTCAACAGCGATGTACTCGAGGGACACATTCGTACGGTGGAAGACCTGTATGCTCGCTATTTCGAGCGCGGTAACCACAAGCTAGCCGCTGGCAAGCTCCGCAGTCTGAACAAGAAGCCCGAAGACCAGTCAATCGGCATGTTCCAGAATGGTCTGCTCATTGGCACTGGTGCTGTGTTCGCGATTCAGGGCCTTATTTACGGAGCACAACTGTTGTACGATGACGATGACGAAGTACGCGTGCGGACGAGCTATCTCATGCAGATCTATGGAGGCTATTTCCTCATGCTCTATCTGTTCTCGCTTTTTTGCATTGACTGTTTAATCTGGAACCAGAACAAAGTCAACTACCCCTTCATCTTTGAATTCGACCAGCGGCATCATCTAGACTGGAGAGAGCTGGCTCAATTTCCAAGTTTCTTCTTCTTGGTATTGGGCCTCTTCATGTGGGTGAACTTTAGTAGATATGGCGACCCGGACATGTACATCTACTATCCGGTTATTCTTATATTCTTTACTCTTGTTATTCTGTTCTTTCCTGCCCCTACATTATTCTATAAAAGCCGGCGCTGGTTTGCATATTCTCATGTAAGCCCTCCCCTAGTCGTTGTTGAAACCTGCTGACATGATCCAGTGGCGTTTACTCTTGGCTGGACTCTACCCAGTCGAGTTCCGTGATTTCTTTCTCGGAGATATTTACTGTTCACTTACATATGCTACTGCAGTAAGTGCAAATAATCAAGACCGACAACGAGGAATTACTAACAATGCCAGAACATTGAACTATTCTTCTGTTTGTATGCCAACTACTGGCAGAATCCGGTGCAGTGCAATTCTAGTCACTCACGGGCCCTTGGATTCTTGACTGCTCTTCCACCCATTTGGCGATTCTTGCAATGTCTTCGTCGATATAAAGATACACGTAATGTCTTTCCTCATTTAGTCAACGGTGGCAAGTACACGGCAACTATAATTGCTGCTGTGATGCTGTCTCTGTACCGTATACATGATTCCAACATGCATCTTGCTTTATTCATTACCTTTTCGACCATCAACAGTATCTATTGCTGTAAGTTGCTTGGCTCACTATTTGCAAACACTTCTGACAATAATTAGCTTTTTGGGATCTTTTTATGGATTTCTCTCTTCTTCAACCTAATTCGCGGCACTGGTGTCTTCGAGATATCCTTGCTCTTAAGCGTCGATGGCTATACTACTTCATCATGGTGATAGACCCTATCCTTCGATTTGCCTGGATCTTCTATGCCATTTTCACCCATAATACCCAGCACTCCACCATCGTCTCCTTCATGGTCGCCTTCATGGAAGTCACCCGTCGAGGCATGTGGACTCTCTTCCGCGTTGAGAACGAACACTGCGGAAACGTCTCTCAGTACAAGGCCTCCCGCGACGTACCCCTCCCTTATAGAATCGAGCCCCTCATCGCTCGTGCCAGTATGGACAGCACCGTCGCCAGCCACCAACCCGTCGACACTGCAGGTGTTACCTCGCTCGAAACACCCTCCCGCCACGGCACAGCCGAATCCACCGCTGTCTCAGCTGGTCAAGCAGAAGAAGGCTTGTCTCGACGCAGAACAGGAGGAGTGGCGCCCCCACCACCGCCAAAACGCACATTCTCACGTATGCTTGCCGAAGCGCACAAGCAGGACTTTGAGAAGAAGCGTCGCCCTCTCGAACAGACCAATGAGGATCCTGCTACTGAGCTGGGACAATCAGACGATGAAGATGATGCCGATGAGGCTGTTAGTCTGCTGGAGATGTCGGAGACTGAAGATTTAGCACGAGCGTCTTCGAGTTCGAGATATCGTTGATGTGGTTCTGGGCTGGTGTTCGATAGATTGGTTGCATACATGGTAAATTGTTCAGCATAGCTAGTTTAGATACCCCCATACATATGCTAGACACATTCACATATACATATCTTGTTTCAGTTACATTCTTTTGGAAATGGATTTTTTTGTATTGCTTTAGCTTTGGAGAAGCCACTTGAGATTGTGTGTTTTACCCCTGAGATCATCTGATAAGCGGATGTCAGGAAAACCCATACCAATATTATGCCGATAATCTCAACCATGGCAGTCTCTAGGCTGTTAAGGACTCGTTGGTTTCCCACTTTAACTTACATAGGGAACTTATTGTGTGGTTTGACCCCAGTTGCCTGGCTTGTGCATTGCAACGTCTCACAGACTGAAGGATAAGTTATGCTTGGGGTAGCAAGGCCATTAAATATTGAACGGCCAGATTCAAAGCACCTGTTGCATGTATGTAAGACTTTTGTCTTGAAGGTTCGATATCAACGCGATAATGTAATGCATTTATCATCATTGACGGTGTATATCACAACTAAACAGTCTATCTTGATATCAGTCGTATGTTATAAGTTGAAGCGAAGGCTAGCCAGGGACTGATTGATAGCGTATTAACCATCCATCTAATACTTACGCATGCTACGCCCTGGGTTATTTATTGTACGGGCAAGCCGACGCCAAAACATAGTTATCATGTAAATGATAATTATAGTAGAAGACAGCTCACATAAGATTAGTAACTTGAGTAAACCACATCTGAGTATATATACGAAAATGTATGGTCACAACGCTTTTTCTTTGGCTTCATATCCTCAAGACCTTGCCCCTGCCCAATTTTGATGACAATGGAATCTTGAAAAGGCAACAGAGCACTAAGAAAAGAAAACCCAAGGTCAGTTATTACCTGGGTAGTCTGTATCAGATACGTTACCTACGCTTCACGTCAGCAATGAGCCTTCCGAGAGTCAACAGACAGCACCTGATCCTGGCACTTACCCTACCTTGTAAACAGTAGAATGAAGGTGAGGCTTTGAGGCTTGTTCTTCAAGGCAATAGTATTCAGTAGAGGGGAAGACCTTTAGAAATAGAGTCTACCATCAAAGCCCATCTTGCATCTCCCGATATTTTCAACCATCCGCCCCTGTGAGATTTATGCCGTTCCCCTCTTTTAGCATTGCTAACATGATCACAGAATAATTCTGAGAAGACAAAACTAGTTTATAGTCCGCGTATAATTGAAAGAAAAGGCAGAATGGCTCATCGAAGCATCGAGATGGCTGCTACTCCCATCAAGGGCGTCGAGCTAGAAGACTTCCAGGGAGACTCCAGCACCACAATGCCTCGCGCTCCCGATGCAGTTATCACGCATTTCTGCCATCTAACATATCTAGAAAGGCACGGACTAAGAGACCTGCATATTGCCTGGCTCAAGGTTTCCCACAACACCACAGACCTTCCCAGCCTTTGCCCAATTACGCAGTCTCAACGCGAGTCCTTCTTCTTCAGTATCTTCTCTGACTGTGAATCTTCCAAACCTCTCTACAATCCAGAACTCACATTGGATCTCTCCACAGATGGAAAGATTGAAGTTGGCGTATGGAGCCAAGATCTCCCAGTCTCGCGCGAGGAACGCAAACGTGCCCTGGAGAATGGTGAGCGGGAACCGATCCGCCAACACACAATAGCCAGGCAGGCTGATCAAAAAGTGTTTATGCGTCCTTCAACGTATAAGGATGACAAAGACAACCGTGATCGAATTCCTATATATGGACGCTGATGACGAGCTTGGTGATCCAGAGTACGTAAATTTCGAGCCGCCCGGCTCGACTCGTGTAGATGCCTACACGCGAAGTATTAAGGATTATGACACGAGCAAGGCTTCCCCGGTTCATACATTTAATCTCGAGGCCATCATTCTTACTGCTCGCAAACGAATCGTCAAACATGCCAAAGCCGGCGTTATGAAAGGTCGACTGCCCACAGATACAGGCCACAGAGTCCCTGGGCGATTTGGTACAGATCCGATCTGGCCCAAAATCGAGAGTGGTGACGCCTGTTGGGGGACATGATGCGCTTGCATCAGCAACAGCTTGCCCTGCGCCAGAAGTAATCATATCTTGAAAAGGGGTTGTCATGGGCTGGCCGATTTGTGACTATTATCTGACTTCTTGATTCTATGTCAATTTTGGTCTGGAATATGCTCCTCCTATGTCCACTGCCAAAGTTTGATCTGAAACTCCCAGAGCGGAGATTAATCACTACGATGGCGCAACCCCATAAGACCAATGCTGCTGGTACGCCATTTCTTCTGCTTGTGTGGTGATTATGATACTGAATGTGATAGATTGTATCGCGCGATGCTGGCAACTCATGTTTTGAGTTCTGCGATGATCAGGGTGTTCGATGCTGGCTCACCGTCTATCTGTCATCGAGGGTCAATATGAAAATCGATAGCTACATTACATGTATTGCTGTATGCTTTTGCTAAGGGTGCCGCCTTGGTGCATTGCTTCAGTGTTGTCATCGATTCTGACGGAATGAAGGGAGAGGGTTAATTGTTTCTGCCGTGAACAATGAATAAATACAGTGTTGAGAGAAGTACCTGTTCATGACTGTTGAAGGTCCTCCCAATGAAAATTAATAAACTAGGTGCCTTACCTGAAGGAAAGGTCTGTATTTCGGTTGTCCTTATCTCAACACATGACATAGGTTACGCAGGTCACGTAGCGCTCTTATCTTATCGCACTGACCAGGTGATTGCTCCGTGGCCGTTGTCATAGCTCAACCTCACAACATCCATTACAACCAACCAAGCTTCGATAAATTATTACCTGTCACCGAGTCCACCTTTCGACCTTTGACAACAAGTCTCATTTCATCCTCCAGCTTGCGCATAGCTTCATCACCTAAAATGACTCAGGTTACACCTGCAATGCTGAGCGCCCGCGCTTCGTCACTCTCGTTGCGACAACAAGCGCTATCGTCGTCAGCTACGCTCAACAACAATGCGACTGCGCCCCAAAAGACCGAGCCCAAGCAAAGTTCCAAGAACTTCATCATATCAGATATGAAGGGCCGCGACACAAAAGATAACCGTGTATGCGCATCTTGTATTACCAAGCTTGCGCCTGATGAAGTCGGCCAGGTCAACTGGCACCTTGAGGCCGGTCAGGCCTGTAAACTGTGCCAGGTTGAGAAGATGGAGCCTGAATGTTTTACCAAGCCTTTCTGCGACTTTCTCCGGGAGAACCCTACGATTTTTCACACCGTCGATTACTTTGAGAACAAGCTCAAGGAGCTTGGATATGAGCAAGTAAGATAAGATACTTGTCATGACAGCGGCGTTACTAACCGAAGCAAGCTCTCCCCTCGTGATAACTGGTCGGGCAAGATTCAGCCTGGTGGAAAGTACTGGGTCACTCGGAATGGGAGCTCTCTTATCGCTTTCAAAGTTGGTAAAGCGTATAAGCCTGGAAATGGTGTTGCTATGATCGGTGGTCACATTGACGCTCTCGCCGCGAAGCTCAAGCCCGTTAGCACAAAGCCTGTCAAGGCCGGATACATTCAACTGGGAGCTGCACCCTATGCTGGAGCCCTCAATGCAACCTGGTGGGACCGGGACCTCAGCATTGGTGGACGAGTTATCCTCGATGACAAAGAAACCGGGAAGAAGACCGTAAAGCTCGTGAAGCTGGACTGGCCCATCGCCCGAATTCCCACTCTTGCGCCTCATTTCGGAGTCGGCATGATGGGAAACAACAATGCCGAAACTCAAGCCGTTCCTATTATCGGCCTGGAGAGTTCGCAGCGTGCGTCTACCGAGGCTCTTGGACCTGCTGGCTCTTTCGTCAACACACAACCCCCACGACTTGTTGAACTCATTGCCAAGGAACTCAACATCCAATCTTATAGTTCGATTGTCAACTGGGAACTCGAGCTTTATGATTCCCAGCCCGCTCAGACTGGTGGGCTGGATCGGGAATTCATCTTCGCGGGTCGCATTGACGATAAGTTGTGTTCCTGGGCAGCCCTCTATGGATTATTGGCATCTACCGACGACAGCGAAAAGGGAGGAATCTCCCTTGTTGCTTTGTTTGACGACGAAGAGATCGGGAGCCTTCTGAGACAAGGTGCGCGTGGTAACTTTCTCCCCACAGTCGTAGAGAGAACTATCGAGGCCCTCAATCCCGAAACATATGGGCCAGGACTTCAAGGACAAACATGGTCTGCAAGCTTCCTCGCGTCTGCCGATGTCACACATGCCGGAAACCCCAACTTCCTCGAGAAATACCTTCCTGAGCATGTTCCGGAGCTCAATGTTGGTGTTGCTATAACCTACGACTCCAACGCCCATATGACCACGGATAGCGTTTCCGCTGCTATTATGGAGCGGGTGGGTGAGCTTGGTGGATGCCGAACACAGAGATTCCAAATTCGAAGTGACTCTCGAAGCGGTGGAACCATTGGCCCGGCACTGTCTAGCATGATTGGTGTCCGAGCTGCAGATGTTGGTCTTCCACAGCTCAGCATGCACTCCATCCGTGCCACTACTGGTGCATTGGATCCCGGCCTGGGTGTCAAGTTCTTCAAGAGTTTCCTTGACAACTGGGAGAAGATTGATGCTGAGTGGCACTAGGGGTGGAGGTAAAGGCGTTTGATATTTGGTTCAGGGGCTTTATTTTCGATACCTGTTTGGATATTATGGTTGTAGAGATTGGCGATTTTAGACTAGAACTGTACACGAGATAGATGGATTGAGGACAATAAGGACTTTCGATCAATTCCCCTTTGAACCTACATGACACAAAGAAGAAGTGAGCTTGCGATAATTGGAAACTGTGTGTTCTTGGGGCACCAATTTGCATGGCCTGACAAAAGACCTTGATGTAATCATGTCGATTGAACAAAATTTCACGGTTCCGAAGCTGCATTAGCTTCGTGGATATTCAATTCTTTCACAATAGGTTGAGGCCAGGGGCCAGCCGATCAGGGTCTATTATTGGCTTGGCAACTCCTACATGGCTAGTACATCAATCCATTATCGACATCAGAACTCCCAGCACCTGTCACTTCCATTGCCAATTATACCTCGCAGCAACTAATCCTTGATATTTATTGAGCATGAACACGCCCTACACGAGCAACCCTTATATGATGGTAACGGTTAACTTAAAAAGACGTTAGTAACAAGTCAAAGACATAGTCCAGTGAAGAATGACTTGCCATTGGGATCTATCGTGAATACACCTCCGTTTTAATTCTTTCGATCCTTATAACCCACCTTGGGTCGTAGGGCCTCAAGGTCAGCGACAGCACAGTTCTTCAAATGCTGATTCTTAAAGTGTTCAAGTTCGGAGCCCGACACTCAACCCCAAGCTGGACGGGAGCTCCACCACCTGCAATCGCCCACTTCTGAACTCGTCGTCGAGCAGACTCAATGATGAGCTGAAGATTGTGTCCGCAGACTCTGTTCTTCTCATATGTGTCGTAGTGAGTCAAGACATTGTGCTTGGCTTGAATATCGCTGAGACCGACGAGAAGCTTTACGTGCTGAGTACAGACACGAGTTCCGCTTTTGTCTTTGTAAAGCCAGTTAATGCCCTCTGCGTCGAGATCGAGTGACAGATAGATTGGAATAGTGTTGCACTTGCGAGCCTTGGAGCTTCGGCGTCCATTTTCTGGTTGGTTGCTGGAGGCATCGATGGAGTAGTAGCCGACCTGGATGTGAATGTCTGACTTGCTACGCGCAGGCAGAGATTGAGTTTCGGAAACTGGCATTTTGGAATTCCAGTTTTTGAAGAGAGTACTCCAGAAGAGCTTGTAGGTTTCATCGGCTGAGAGATAGACATCCCCCTTCCGCTGGACGTACTCGTACAGCTTGATGAGATCGTGTAACCACATCTTCTCTTTAATGATGAGCTGGTTGTGTTCGGAAACACACGCGTCTGCATCTCGGGATTCAACTACATCCTGATCTTCCAGGAGGTTCTTAAAACCGACTTCATGACAAATTGGATGTGGTGAGGCTGCTGGAGCAATCTGCTGAGCGGGATGTCCAAGTTGCTGAGGCTGCTGCATGGCCAAGGCATTTCCAACTTCAGCGGGGTTGAGAGAAATACCTTGGGCAGACTGATGCTGAGGTGGTGGGCGGCCTCGCTGACCTTGAAGCGCAGCATACTGGTTCGGATGAGCCTGGAGTTGTGAGCCCTGCTGGAAGTTTTGCTGAGACAGATAGGGGTTCCCGAACTGTTGATTGAAGTGGAACGCCGACTGAGAGGGAAATTGCTGTCCCATCTGAGGGTATTGCTGTTGACCAACATGAGACGGATACTGGAAAGTATGCTGAGAGGGATGCCCATATACATGCTGAGCGAGGTTCGTATTGTTGGGCTGCTGGTGGAAGGGATTCTGCTGCTGAAAGGAGAAACCAGCAGTTGACTGCATGTTAGTCTGATCGGTAACGAGATTCTGGCCATTCTGCTGTTGGCTGGGAATGTGGGTGACGAGTTCATCGACATGTTCAATGAGTTCGAAAGGAGCTGGAGGATATTGAGCCTCATCTTGAGACTGAGGAACCTGAAAAGCTTGAGTATTCTGATGAGTTGTAGTTACTTGTTGAGCATGAGCAGCTTGAATATTGAGGACTTGGGGTCCTGTAGTCGAAGCTGTCGCCTCGGGGCTATCGCTCGAGGAGACGTTGGAAGACATGCTGACGATACTGCAGTCTGAATGTTTGAGTGACGAAGGAAGACTGATGAAGAACAAAACAAAAGAGAAAATGAATGAATTAATGCAGGAAAATGATTACCGAAGCAACCATCAGTGTCTGTTCTCGTGTGTGTCATGGCCCACATTGGTAGTGCCATGGTGTGTTCGAATATCAGAACAGTCAAGTTGACACTGGCAGTGGCAGTGACTTCTCGATCCCATTACATCCATATTTAGCAGTGGCTCTTAGGACCTTGTAGTCACTCGTAAGGAAAAGGTTACCAATTCCTTCATCCTCTTCCTTCACCAGCATCAATCCTTGACTCCTTTCTACCATCTACCAAATAATAAGTTGCTTTACTCAAGAACCATCAACACATAACCACCAGCCCTTTAAGCTCCCTCTGCATCCCAATATGCCCTACTACACAACAGACTATCTGCATTATTGGGGTGATGACTGGGTTGCCCGCTGGTCAGAAAGCCACTGGGCTTTGGAAAACATAGCAAGGTGCAACTTGAAATACATCAAGATTTATGCAAACTGGTACGTTTATGCTGGGCTGTTTAAATCTCGACCATATAATCCTACCTATACTACGACCAAGGACGTCAGATAACATACAAATACTGCATGATGCAGACCAAAAGTTGCGGTTGGTCTTGTATACTGCGCAATCACACTTGAGAAGCATTTCTCAATCTAGATGAGGAATACAAATACGGTCAGAGCTCATAAATTTGACTGGACTTGCAGATAAGCCACCCTCAACTCTCAATGGGACTCGGTACTGTCAACTTTGGACAAGTTTCTACTCACCGAATTCCTTAGGCATGTCTATGCTGACCTTTTAGTAGCTGGTTCTCCAAAGTGCCTCTAGTTTTGGACATCCACGGCAGAAAAAACTGTGAAAACCTCCCTCGTCAGCCCCTGAGCCGCCAGTAGGCCTTTGAGGAGTACTACTGCAGAAATTACACCTAGATGCCACAGGCCTCTACGGCTGTGACAATGAGTACAAAGTCGAGGCCAGTGAATAAGTGGTTGCATTGGCGCCACGATGTTGGGGATCATCGATCTAATCGATTATGTCGATTACTTGGAAGAAGAGAAACATGAAGCCAGGGCTCGAGTCGCTACCCATCGTCGCCGCCGAGTACGAATTATTGCGGAAGAGGTAAGAACTTCCTTGTGTTGAAGTCTTGAAAGAACTATCTAACCAGTGCCAACCTTAGCAGGACGCCTCGACTAAGCAATGAATGGTATCGGAGTGTGGGACTTTAGGATAGGAGTGTCGGCATGTACCATACCTAGGAAGAGCCTAATTTGTATAAGTTATGACAATGTCATGCCTCCACATGATCCTAAGTCCAGTAAGAGTTATACACATCTTGGGATAAATGCAATACCTCCCTTCATTATTCAAACTTCGTAGGACTAATCCTTAGAAAACTGCTGTATAAGAACGCTAGAAGATTATTATCGGCTTTAAATGACCGTCAGGCTGCAGTCATCACACCAGTATAACTGAAAGATGGCCATTGAAGAGAAATAGTGGCTAAGAGGAAGGCATGCGTGCCCTTCTTGCAGTCCTTCTCTTTCTAGACCTCCGGATTCCATTGCATTTGCGCCTTGTGGAGTCAGGGGTGACTAGGTGTCTACCTTGTTCCGTCATCTTCTGACTTGTGCTTGGGGGAGGGTGGAAGGCTGTTGATCAGGCTTTCGCCTGACAGACACTTGGCTCATCTCCATCTTTGGAGGTTTGGGACGCTCAACGAGCCTTAACGGGCCCTTAGTGTCAAAGGACGGACTCGATGTACTGGCACCGCGTCTCGATGGCCAGTGGCCCATTGCCCTTTTTTACCTCCCTCAGTGGAGTGAGTCAAGGACTGGGAGGTATATCCAGACGATGCTTACCACGCACCGCGAATCTTGAGGAAGAAGAAGAAGAAGCGGGTTTTCCCATCCTGTGAACGCTGCAACATTGGCTTTCAGGAGGGCGTCTCACTGTCGTTCGTCATCTGCTGCATCCTTGCGTTCCATTTCTCTGGTAATATACGTTGCACAATAGAATGGAAGAATGTAACTAACCTGGGTGGGACGGTATTGCGATTACACTCCCCATGGAAGGGCAAAGCGCTGGCAGTGATGATAAATTTACAAGGGCGTTACGATCGTAATGTCGATCTCAATGGCAATGTGATGAAAAGAGCGAGGAGCACAAGAGTTGAGAACTCTCTTAGTTCAATCAGGGCAAATTGATGGCTGCATGAAATATCACAGCTATGTACCTAATTGACCATACTTCTTTGCCATACACTACCAAGCTCGATACGTTTGCAATTAAGCTGAAGCAGCACGTTCTTGTTGAAAAAGGGGTAAAAAACGGTGACCATATAACGTCTACGATAAGAAAATATGAGAAACACACCGAGAGAAGTTGTAAGTACTTGATTTTATGTCCAAATTCTAACGCAGTCACTTAAAAAAAAAAGGCCTGTCTAAGAACCTACGGATTAAGAGCTTGCACTGCTGAGGTGTCGAGTTAAGGTGAGTTGGCGAAGCTGGCAGTGCCAGTCACTGACGCGATCTATAGCCATGACACCCCATCAACATCTTCGGAAAGAGCGAGCAAAAATATCAGTGCGGGGTCCCCCTTCACTGCGCGTCTAATCAGTATGAAACTTCGACCTCACACCTCGTTCCCTCTTCTTCTTTTCACATTATCTCCTATTCCGAGTGCCGAACGAAACCATCAACACTGTCAATGGCTTTAGTGTAAGTTCGACTTTGAGTATTCGCTTTTTGCATTAACTAACCCCCAAAAGCCCACCACATATCGCCACTGCCCATCGAACCATGGGTGAACAGGGCCCTCCGAGGTTAATTTTGGAGGAGGAAATTCTCAACGATGACAAGGTCGTCAAATCAAGAGCTCCTGGCACGGTCCTACGAAATCATCGACAGCTTACCAAGGAAGACAAAAGTCGCCCGAGAATATGCCTGGGTTCTTGTTCATCAGCAAGGACGAACTGGAGCAAGTTCCAAACAGCTGATCAGGAAGTACTATAATGCGATCTTTAATATGTGGTCCACCACCCACAGACATAACGAAACTCCGGGGACACCCAACAGATCTTCCATTTCAAAAGGCATCCAAGTTGGGACTCTGAAACAGAACTACCAAGCTCTTGGCAGAGGGGAGAGACCTGAGGCCCGAAACGCTGGCGAGCCTGTCGTTCTTAGGTTTTCCATGAACAAAGAGGCCAGGTGCATGGAATGGAATCTTGAAGACCAAGACGGAATTCGAGTCAAAAGCTCAAATGTCAGCTACAACATGGGCGCTGTTCAAATGCGAATAAATGCCACTCGAAATTACGACAATCTCGAGCGGCAACGAGTCAGCTCCTACAACCTAGAGCAGATCGTCTGCGCTACTCGTCGCCTTCTCGTGAGTTGGGCCCAGGACGGAAGTGAATGCGACCGCACCATCGTTGGGAAGACACACATTTTGCAGCTCACAGTTGCTTCCGACTACGCTCGCTCAATGGCCTCCCTATTCACCGAGGTGATTGAAGGTCTCGACGATGGCAATCAAGAGAAAACTGAGGACTCGGATTCGGATTAAGTTATTCGTCAATCTACGCGACCCTTCATCTACATCTCAGTGTTCCTTAGTACTTTCGTTCTTGTCTCATCATCGAGCTACCATGGTTGTCGACACACTGGTTCGTCTTGTGAATTGAAAGCTATGTCAATTGTCTTTACATTTCTGCAACACAAGAGTTCTTAACTGCCTTAAGGGCAGTGATCAGGTCAGAATATACAGTCATTCGTCTACGGTACTTCTGTTTCCACAACGTTACTGTAAGTTGTGGTTCTTCCAGAATAGAGCTCTGATCAATCAGCTGACATGTATCAGACGCGATACACAATGCCTAAAAACAAACAATGAGATATTACTGAGTTTCGGAGGACAAATATTGCAGCACATGAGGCAACAGGCCCGTCCATATTTGGGGTCTCGCAATCCGACTAGTTAGACAGGAAAAATACAAACTGTGTCATCCCAGTACGTTTCAGTCTTATACCTAAATAAACTTAACACACAACGTGTTGAAGTTTTACTGAAAGTTATGAATGTACCTATATGTCTTCGTTGTTTTAATGTTACCCTGAATCTACTGCCAAGTTGAAGCACGGCTGGCACTTGCCAATGCTCATTGCCCCTGAACATGCCCCTATAGCCTTGACGTGCGACGGATCGCACATGTGAACTCAGCTACTGCCGTTTTCATATATGGAGAGCTCCCTTGCCGATCCAGTGTTGAGTTGTCTCTGTGAATAACAATATTTATTCATGACTGACACTAATGCCGTCAATAAGTAAACAAGGAGTTGAGTCAATACACAGAATCATAAGAAAATCGCCAAATCCTCCTGAAAGCTTACCGTTGATTTCCGACGGTCAGTTGTTTCGGTGTTTATTATTCCCAGTCAACGACAGACTCAGAAAGACAGCCTCGTCTCTCGGCCTTTGCAGAATCTTCACACGGCCAAGCTTTCAACAGCTACTGAGCCAAAACGTGAGATATTATGAGAGCTTATCGATATGAGCCCCTTTTTATTCCAGAATAATGTCCATCGACCTTAACAGCACGCGAGAAGCCTTGAGAGAGCCGCGGACTTGGACTGTGGCAGCTACTCGATACGTATCGTTTTATGCTCAGAGGTTCATGTTGTCCTTTTCATATACCCAATTTGATTCGATCTCAAGCCTCGGAAATTTTCTAATCACAACTCCACGAGCCATAAAAATATGAGCCCATGCTAGCCCTTCCAGTAACGCGCCAAGACAATTTGATTTCAGAAATGTGCTAACAGCCGAATGAAACACAAGCCTCTGAAGGAATTAGTGGTGTGGTCTACTCTGTCTTGCTTTTATGTTGGTTGATATATCTCCCCATTCTAAGGAATATAAGTCAACACTCAACCACTTTTGTCTAGAACAAGGCGAAACATACTGCTTACGAAGAGCTTTTTCACGACCATGGAGGTGCTCTCGCATGTTTTTGGCTTTAGAAGCAGCTTTGGTAATTCCTCTGCGGGCCAGACCCATCTTGGCCTTCACTCGCTGCCCGTAGTCCTTGATGGGCTTCTTAATATCCTGTGAAAACCGTGACGATCCTGGAGATTGCTCTGATTTGGAAGGACTGAAAGATCTTGAAGGCCACAACGGCCACGTCCATGAAGACCGTGAAGATCCACTCATTGTGCCAAGAGAGGATTTTGCGTAAAGTAGATGGTGTTACGATGAAGGGGTTGTGAGTGTAGTAAAGACCGTCACCGTGAGGAGTGAAGGGAAATGCGTTACTGAAGAGTGAAAAATAAATGTTCCGAGTCAAGGAGAGACCGACTCCTTATGTACGTGTCTTCAGTATGGGAAATATAGTCAGGCCACAGAAAGATCGCCGTGAAATGTTTACCAACTTTGATTCTATTTACTGTCCGTTATACCTTAAGCGCCTTATGATACTCCCAATGGAAGGCTTCTGTTGCTTTCCACTTAATGAACCCAAGTTATGATTCGCCCAGCAACTAACCTAATGCCGGCAACGATTGGTAAATGTTGCGTTGTTAGGAAAGCTAGGGCTTGTTTTCACGCTGCTATCAGAAATTAAACCTCGTAACAAAGTTCAGCACGCGTTTCATGCGGCATCCCTTCTTACAAGACCCCACGTCTGGTTATTGGACAACAGTATCTTTCAGTGATGAGATGAGGAGAGGCCCGGAGCATAGTTCACCAAACAGGTAGACTCTCTGGTCAGCGCCATCTCCGACAAGCTGGGCTTCTTGGAGAGTTAGTGCTGGATCATCCGGGAGGATGGATGAACGCTTCACGACCAGTACTACTGAGCTAAATGAATGAAACGACGACGAGCCGCGTTAGATGATGCTTAATGTTGGTTATTATTGACTATAGTACCGAGAGGAGAGGCCCCAAGCGTTAAACCACGACAATATCGAAACTCATACTGTATCAACGATTATCCTCCTCTCACGTTCGATAAAGTGGCCCTGAATAACCTATTCCCCAGTTAATCACACCAAGATACTGTTGAATGTGACCACCTGCGCAGATTGTGTAGACGAACAGATATGCCACTTGTAAAGGAAGTTAGTGATGCATTAACCTTCAAGCAACGAATATAGGAGTAACCTATGTCGGATGGTAAGGTTAACTTGACGCCTACCCTTAATGCAACCATATGGTTCATTTTCTCATTGGATAACTTCTTCCAGTTTTTGCCCAGATAGCAATGTCACTTGGTCAAAATACAACGCCTCTCCACCTCTTACCCGCCATTAGCTTCTCCTCTTCGAACCCTTTCTTCTCGTTGCGCCCTTGTCAAACTGTAGGTTTGTTTCTATTCTTCTCAAAGTGCCGCATTAGCTTTTTTCATTTCATGTTGACTCTTGCGTTTCTGCCTGTCGGCTTGTTTTTGTTCTCCCGTCCTTGCTGCCCCTCATGCCTTGCTCGTTATGCGTGATGCCTCCTTTCTGGCCTCTTTCTGCTCCTCTGAAACCTTGGCGATCCATCTCTTTCGGGATTCTTTCTTTTGATTTGCGTAGGCTTTTTTCTCGTCCTCTGCCATTGCTGCCATACGCTTTTGGTGGTTTTCATGTTGCTGTTGTCGTCTCTTGTCCACTTTCATTGCTTCGGTATGCTCATTGCGGGCTTCTTCTCTCTTCTCTCGCATCTGTAGTTGCCGCCTCGGCGCATATTTGGCATGGTCTCTCTTTCGGTTTAATTTCTGTTTCTTTTCGTAGGCCGCTCTCTCGTCGTCTTCCATTGCTTCAATATGCCTCTTGAGGCATTCTGTTGTTTCACGGATGCGTTTTTGCTTTTCCTCCTGCGTCAAGTCCTCGTACTTCCGGTGAGGGCGAGGGGCACGGCGTACTGCAACGGGGACTGCACGAGATAGAAAGAGTTCAATAGTATCTGGGACATTTTCCTTGATCCATGGGGATATGGTAGCTGTGTCATGATTAAGAAGTTGACCAACAAACTGATCTATAACGGGGAAGGTATCCTCACTGAGTATTTCATGTTTCAGTGCCGATGGAACCTTTGCCAGTTAACTGCATACAACAGGATAGGTGTTGCGTGTGACGCCATGTTAACATGGCCAACATCCTTGGGATTTGACAGAAAGAGCTCTGTGAATCGGCTGTTGGTAGTGGTTGTCTTGCAGTATATCGAAGCAAGGTTGTTGTATTTTCCTGGAGTGGGTATGAGAGAAACGTCAAAGACTCTTCTCACCGACAACGACTTCGACTTTCGGCAATAAAGCATAAGTGGTTCCAGGAGACTACCTGAGTCTCTTGGAGAGGCTGACTGGGGACCGAGTCCATTGGCCAGGGTAGGCAAAGCAGGACCAAGTGACTTCTCGAGCAGGACCTCAGCGTTGGCTTTGACGACGTCTGCATAGAAACGGCGGAACAACATTCGGAGTGCCATGGGATTCGATGCAAGGTACCAAGCAAACTTGGGTCAAACTGGATAATGTCATCCACGCCGCCTCCGTGGCAAGCGACAGATTTGGAAAATGCCAATGTGCATTTGACATCTATGTTGAAAACGCGAGTAGCGATCGGAAGCTCAATAGCAGTATAGAGGCCAAGCACAGTTTGCTCGTCACCGGGACTGACAGCTGGGCAGCCTCGGTCATCTTTATTGCGACGACATTGCTTTCGAAGGTCAATCTTGATCACTCCGAAACCTAGTGGCCCAATGCCTGTTTAAACGATTAGATGGCAGTTTGCCATGTTAATAGTGAGCTTACAGTTTCAGTCCGGTGACGAACTCGTCAGTAAAACAAGTCTCTCCCGACTCAGTTGTGAGCGTCTTTTCTCGTAGAGGGCAGAGCATCAGAATGACAGCAACTTGCTTCCCTTGGTTCTTTTGGAATGTATCGATCAAAGGCCAGATCCATTGACATTCCGGGGGGCATCTATGTTCAAAGGCGGCAAGGAAGCCATCGAGTTCGATCATAGAGCGAGGCCTCGAGAAACAACTGGCAATCTGAACCAATTCGAAGATGCCAGTTACCGACTTGAACTCGTCGTCGAGAATAGTTGACTCAGACCAAGAACTGCGCCTTTGGTCATCGACAAGCTCGGTAGATGTATTTCGCAATTCTATAGGAAGTTGGGTGTTTGGTTAGATTGGGGGATATTTCGAATGTTATGCTGCTGTGTTTTGCGCAGAAGATTGATCCCGCATATGCTGACAGGGCTGCAGGATCCCTGAAACAGGTGATAGGGGAGTGCCGACCTTGCCTATCACACCCAGATGAGGACTCACATAGGGCGTGGAAGGAGGGTTGATTTGAGAAAATCCTGGGTCAAGGTAAGGGTATGCCTGTATCTCATGCAAGAAAGGCTCCAGTAAATGTTCGAAAAAGCTGTGATTAGTGTTCACTGTCCTGGATATTGGTCCTGCTACTGTCTCTATTTTCAGTGCTCCAAATGTCTAAGCAAGGAGCCCGAGGAGGATTGGCGTGAAAATAGTTGGTGTCTTGTGGATTGTAGAGCATGAGATCATTGAAATCTCGGGAATATGAGAGACTGTACTGTTAACGGTCCTGGATATTAGCCCCGCTGCTGGCAATATTTTGAGTGTCCCAAACATCCAAGGAAGGAAGGAGTCCGAGGAGGATTGGCCTGGGAACAATAGGCATCTTGTGGGTTATGAAGTATGGGGCCAATCACATCGTGGGGATAAATCCGGTGAGAACAATATGAAAATTTTCTATACTTGCGAGGCATACCATCTAGAGATTTGATGTCATTGCTACTTGGGAGAATGAATGAAATTGCGTGCGCCGTTTAGGGACGATGATGACCCCTTGGGCGTGCCTGATCCTTAAACATTCACTTACAAACATCTCAATCACAACAACAGCGGTATGTCTATCAGCTCGCAACTGCATATTACAAAGCTAACATCATCAGATGCCAGAGTTTTCAGCCGAGTACCTTGGCTAGGGGAGGCAAGAAAACTTAACAGGTCTATCCTAAGTGACAAAAAGACTTAGGTAAATTTAACATAAATTTAGTGTAGATTTAGTGGACCTTAGACTAGGTATTTTTGGCACCTAACCTCAAGGTCAGAAGTTTTCTTGCTCCCTGAGGGCCACCCTCCTGTTGATCTCCCTTGAGTTGGGCCTTCATATCTTTATACCAGAGACCGAGGAGGTTCATCACCTTAAAGCAGGCAGGTTTCTGTTCAAAGGCTTATTGAACGAGATAGTACTTCTCGAGGTCAAACAGTGTTACATTTGGGTGAGAAAACCAGTCGAGACCAAGACGAGCTAGGACGTCTTTCTCCAGGTTTGAATCTCATTTAATGAAATCGATGTTGCGCTCAATGTTATTGGCCCTCTCGTTCGCAGTGCGTTCCCGAGACTTCATAAGGGTGTTTTCGAATAGGCGTTGCAAGGTTGAGGCGAGTTCATGGGAAAATATGTACTGGGAAGTTCTAAACAGGCAAATTTCGATCTAACTGGGTGGCTTGAGGACTGAGAGGGTCAATGGTATACTCATAGTCGTCCTCATCGCGAATGCGAGCCCGGCGATAAACATCGATATCAGGAAGCGACCCCTTCACCAGGCCCGGGTGCTCTCTCCAATTTGGTGTTGGGCCAGGAGGAGGCTCGGTATTCTCCTTTTCTTTTGACCATGTTGATACTACAATAGAGCACAACGACTTGAGGAGGAGCCAAGAGTGGATGTGATATTGAGTGATGAACAGGTCAACTAAGTCTAAGAGTGTTAGTGAATACCAATGGATATGAGCGAGGCGGGGAACGAACCAAAAGCATGCAATGATTAGTTTAGTTGTAGGAAGCCTCGCAACAGGAGCTCGATGGGAAATATGGCGTGATGAGAAAAGAAAGGCTGAAGAGACTAAAGATTTGAGACTCAAGAAGCGCCTGCGAAGAAATGTAAAAGAGCACTGTGAATCGAAGGTTGATGAATGCAGTTTATGGCACGTGACAGCAGTCTGTCAGCAGTTATGAGTTAACGGGAGATTCAATGGCTGAATGCAGCCACATGCACTTGCCGCCGCAACACCTTTGGGTCTCTTTCCTGATAATTTGAGCCCGCTATAACAGGTGTCACCTTGTGCCTCAAGGCAAGCCGGAGCAAGTATGTTCTGTGCCAAAAGCTTTCTTGTGTCAAGAGTTGCTATAGTGATATATACGGAAGCAAGATGCTATGTGATATCAGGAAACGCCTTATATAGAAGAATAATGACGGATCATACTTGAAGCAAGTCGAGTTTCTTAAGAAAACATACAACTCGTTTGATATTCAACTACCATTACATAACTAAGGTAGTGTGGTTCGATCAGACGTAACTTCGGAATAAGATTACCACAACGATGTTAGGAGTGATGAAGGTCGGAAAGAAAAGTCTGGAGAACTTTTCTTATATTTGTACTTATTCTAAAGCTTCTGTAACAGAATGTCTGTATCCCAAATTTATGCCCAATATGTTACAAATCTGTTGTTGTCCTCCACGTTTGCCGGATTTGAAAGCAAAAATATCACAGTTTGCAGCAAGAGAACAATCATTCTAGCCTAAATATTTGATCCGCGAGACGACTCCCTATCTTTGTCTTTCTCTTATATCTTTGGATGAGTCAATTCTTTTGCAAACGTGTGTGTTTTCGTAAAGAGTCCGTAAATAACGGTGCCATCTCTTGACGGTAGCCTGTCTTATCCTTAACCTTTGGGAAACCCCTTTTCGACCCAAAAGGCAACTTTCATGTATTCAACAAATTTGATAAGTTACTTCCATGGGAGATTCTTTTCTTCATCTCAGCACGAGCTCGGTTTTCGGTGTTTGTGCGGTGCATGTCAATGTTCTTTGAGACATGCAATTCAATAACTTCGCTTCTAAACTTTTATCCAACTTTTCGTTTCGCCCCCTTTTTCCAGTACACTCTTAACAAGCAACATAGACCGAATAGACTTCCGTGGCATCTCCATTATGCGTGGCCGTTACATAGCCGTTGAGTGTCAGTACAAGCCCAAACCTCCACCCCAATAGAAACAAGTACAGCTTTGCCATCAGTCTCAGGGATACAGCACATCTGATTTAATCTGCCGAAGACAAGCCTATTCTTGTTTCCAGCTGAAGCCACAAACTTGGTTAATGATGATCTAACTTGACAAACAGGGACAAACATCGTTCACGAGTGGCAAAACAACTGACTCAAGACAACGTCCCTCTTCCGTTTTGGTACATGAAGCTTATCTTTTGGTCCAAAGATGAGCCGCTAACGGATAAACAATGGCTTTGTGGAGTTTGAGTTTATGTGCCTGCAGCACCTAATGATAGACTCTTACGGGGACAATCCACTTCCCAATCGTCTCCCGCGATTGCCGGGAAAAGCAGTTGTCATGGTTTCACAGGTAGTCTTTGTTCTTGTGTGGCCTCGGATTACCCAGCTGCTTGGCAAGTTTAGATCCAGTTGTGCGTGAGGTTGTGATACCCACATATGCCTCACCGCTGATGTCTTGTCAGGAAGTGATTTCACAATACAGTCACAATCAAAGGGAAAATACAGGTATGAAGATAACTGTTATACATTATTAAGGCTATTAATGCCAATCCTAGTAATACTGGCTGTTCAAAACAATCATTACCCATTCATCATCATTAATTCCATCTCATTGTTGACCAAGCTATCTCAAATTACGGGCTGTACTTCTCCCACTGGATCTTGGAAACATCCTTGTAGCACTTGGACTCAAGAGCGTACTTATGGCTGGAGTACGATCCCTTAGGAAGAGACTCCAACTCGGCACACTGGGGCACAAGGCGGATGGGAGCACAACCCTTGGGGATGTTGCGCTGGATCTTGTTGTTCTTGTCGATGGTAAGGTGTGCCTGCTCAATGACGATGAAGTGCTTGCCCTGGTAGTATTCCAAGCTCTTGTTACACGCCACAAAAGTCTCGGGCAACAGATAGGTGTAGGGGTCCTCGGGTTGGTTCAACTGAACACCGGGGGTGCCGGGCTCGAAGTTGAGAGTGGCACCAAAAAGGTTCTTATTCTTCTTGTCGGCCACGAGAGCGATGCCGTTGGGAGTCAAAGGAGTGCCACCGTCACTGATGACAGTAGCCTCGCCGTTTTGGCGCTCCTCCTTGGTACCATTTTGGTAGAAGATACGGCCGTCCTTCTCGATGACTCCGACGAGGGCGAGGCCGGCTCCGGTGTGGATGCTGGTGAGCTCGGTGTTGTGGATGGGAGGATCAAAGTCCTTGGAGTGGTCTGTGACGTTGACGACGAGCTTGAAGCCCTTTGATGTCGACCGTGAAGGGTATTGAGGGTTCACGTTGATGTGAGGCTGGACCGGTGAGGCCGCTGCAAGGCCGAGAAGGCTGAGGAAGAAGGTTGATGTGAGCATGGTTGTTGTGTAGAGTTTTGATGCAGGGAAAGGTAAAAATTGAGAAGGGAGGATGGGAAGAGGATGACAAGAATCAAGTAAATGTCTTGTCTATGGTGTTTGTAGTCTTTGAAATGAATTGATGATACGAGTAAACCAAGAAAAAAAGGGCGAAAGTCGAGTCTTAAATCGTCCGTACTGGTTCTCAGCTCAGCCGATGTAACGATGAAGTTTCCGTCCATCCCAGCTGGGCCGGCCGATCAGAAGTGGCTGGCTAGGATCGTGAGGTGGAGACTCGCGGGTCCTCAGTGGGTATTGAGCCCATCACTGGTCAGAGTGGATTCCGCTCCAGTGGATCGCAAGGTGTTTAGCGGATGGCTAGAGGGATCGCCGGTGCGGGGAGTCCCCTGTGGCCCGCTGCACGGCCAAGTCGGGGCCTTTAATACGAGGGGTTCTGCCGCGACTATTTCGTCATTGGATGGGTGTTTCTCTCCGGCCGATACTGCCAATCATCAATGGACAAGAGGCAAGTGCCATTCACGATGTTGAGGCAGATAGCATATAAAAACATTGTTATAATAACACTGATTACACAATCTCAAACACACCCAAGTAAGCAAATGAATATCGTCATGAAAAGGTCCAATTCTTCTGACGTCAAGAAATTAAGATGCTCAATCCTCGTTTCGAAACATGAGGGGATCCCAGTCCAACTATTGAAGATCCGATATCCATAATTAGCTTTCCCTTTTTTTTATCTTTCAAGCCATTCTTTCGTCACATGCTACGATATTCATTGGTTTTTTTCTCGCCGACAAAACCCAAATCTGTGGATCTACCACTAACGATTAGTTGGCTAACGTACATGCACAGGCGAGACCGATGCCAAGGAATAGGATACGATGGTCTTTGTTTGACAGGACGGAGGCTGGCCTCAGCCTCGTGTTACGCGAAATGGCGGTCCTCATGGACATTCCGTTTTGTTATACGTTGAGCTCCATCGCGTGGCATTGCACTTACAGGGGTTGAGGCTCACTAGTCCATTGTCTGTCAACGTTTATGACGTTTCTGCTCAAGGTCTCAACAGATCTTTACGAGATGGCGGTTTCATATCCCTTGAAATGATATCACCAGGGTCTCTTTGTAAGTGTCACTGCGATGATCTTTCGTGTCTTTGATCGTGAATTATATCATAAATGTGGTTCATATCTCGCCTACGCGTGGCCCCTTCATTTGAGATCACTGACATTCCTCTAGAATAGCATCATGAGAATCGGAGTTTTCGGACGGGCATTTTGTTCCACGTAAACTCAATTTCGATATCCTATCATGCAACTAATGGAAGCATAACGTTACTTGGCGGCGGCTTAGACGTGAAAACACCATCATGATCATATGATGCTAGTCAGTGCAAACCTCTCATGATTTGAAATGGGGTTTGGTTAGTCAATGTCTATTCTGGATAACCGTCTCCTCAATTCCTCCTAGCCTAGGAACCGGACTCGCTCATGGCTTCAACGGTGTGGTTTGGTTGTGGAGAATGTCTTCAGTCTAGACCTGGACGAGTTGACGACTTTCTCCATTTGTATTCCACTTGTTATAGTTTAGGCAGTTACTTTACCCCAAGCTGTGGCTTGATGACATCCGTGAGGTGCATTGCAACGTCTATGCGTTAGGTTGAGAGATAAAGCGTTATTTGTCTTGGTGTTAATGCGGTGAGGTAACCAGAAGTTCTATTCTCTTATCGAGGCTGATATCGTGAAAAACAGAGCCTCAGTTGGAGGCGGGTAAGACTGACAGGTGTTGGTTGCAACTTATTACACTTCGCCAGGCACAAGTTTAGTTTTTTTACTATCACCTCCAATAAGAAACCGTTGGAACTCTCAAGACAGATAGTCAAAGCACACCATTAAACCCATTGAGTTCACTCCAAGACATCCTCTCCTCAGCCCGTGCCATCTCAGTCAAAGTTCCCGCTGGCCCCGACCTCTATGTATGCAACCACATTCATGACCAGCCAATAAGATAAGGTAGGCCTCCCCTAGCAGGCATTTTTACACTTCCGACCAACAAACATGGCCAACCAAATGCCAATAACATGATTTCTGCCCTCGAATTGAGGGGTCGAGGGACAATCATTGGAACTTGCCGTTCCAAGAGGTTGCGAGAAAGCCCTATTCAAAGTGACATAGAGAAAACAACAACAGAATATAAAATGGCACGGTTCCTCTCAGGGTTTCTCTGTGCATGCGCCCTCTTTCCAATCGCATTCGCAACGTCTAGTTCATGGGTGATACTAAATCACTTCCCCAGATTCAGGACGAGCCTACGGAATTAAGTTTCGTAGGCTCGGACAATTCGCTCAGCCGTAAGTTAAAAAGTGTCAAGCTCGAGTCATTATCTTGGGGATACTCCACCGGCCGCTGTACTGACGTTGCACCGCCTTGTATCTAGTGTCTCCAACAGACTTCGAGGCCTTGTCCACAGTGACATACTCTCAAGATGTGGATCAGAGCCTCATGGGCCCATGGCCGCAGCATGCCGTTTCTCTTGGCCCTTTGATGGGTCAAGAGGACATTCTTGGCTTGACGATGGACTCCGTGCCCTCAGCCGTGGACGAGTTCTCCGATTTTGATTTCGCAGCGCCGATTATCGGGATGGATTCGCATCTCAGTGACATTGAAACAGTCCAATTCGACTTTTCTTCTTCACCTGTATCTCTTCTCGATCTTCCTGAATCCGCATATGAGGTGCATCCAGGGTATGTATCGCTCTCTGGCTCACTAGACCCCACATCCACTCTGTAGAGTGCGGGTTCTGTGTACAGCCAGTCGAACGATACAATCCTTGATGCATTCTCTCCTGTGGTTTTAGGAAGTGACAGAACTCAGATACAATCTTTCGATCTCATCTCTTCAGATATCAGTTCTCCTCCTGCTGAGACCTCGACAGATAACAGTTCATGTTCAGAAACAAGCAGCAAGGAAAGGTTCGAAGAAGATGCCGTAACTCGTTTGAAAAGTAACGAGTTTGCAAGAAATGGAATATATTTCTGCAATTGGCCCAAATGCGATAAATCCTTCGATGAGAATCGCAAGCGGAAGTGAGTCTTACAAACTCCTGATTCGATATACCCAGGTTACTAACGAGAACTTAGCAATCATCTTCGAACTCATACCAGACCTGTCCACTGTTCCTGGCCTGGCTGTGACTATACAGATGCTTGGCAGAAGGACATGCGTCGCCACTACAAGACCCATCGCTCCAGGAAGACCTTCCAATGTTTGTTATGCAATGAGTGGTTTACCCGGAAGTGCAACTTGAGTAGACATGAGCGGGAGGCACATCGTGGAAAGAAGAGGGAGAGGAAAAGTCGTAGCTAGTCGTTCCTTTTAATAGTGTGTACTGAGAATCAAGTTCATTTTTGTCTTTCCGTTGCTGGGTTCATTCTAAATATCCAATTTTTTATCACATACTAGCTGTTAACACATGTCTTAGATACATGCTCCTGTCACATTAAGCTGACAGTTCTGCGCCTCCATCCGACTCATCATCACTATCACCACATTCATCGCTGATGTCATCTTCATTAATATGTGCCAATGAAGCAGAATCTGTGCGTGCTGCTGTTAGTATACGGCTTGGCGACTGGTGTGACATGCGATGAACTCACCATCACTCCATCCATCACCACTTCCCAAGACTTCTTCAGCCTCAACCTCGCCAAGGCTTACACATCTCATAGTCTCGGTGATATTCGTCACAGAGTCCGGCTGCCATGGGGTAGGTCTTTGCCGAGTTTCGATCTGCTTTTCGACTGCTCTGCTCAGCTCACTACTGAGCATTCCCAAGGCCCGACGCTGATGTACCCAGTGCTCATTTTCCCACCCGCCTGGCAACTCAATAGGTCTCCAGTTCAGGTACGATTTTTGATGAGACTCAGGCTCCTCGAACCTTCCAGGGTGGTGCTTAAAGTAGAATTTACAGCATAGACATGCAAGCTTGCTGCACGCTATGAAGCGATCGCCACCGACGAAGCTGCGTTGGTTGCGATGGAATTCTTCTAATACCTGGACCTCCGAGTGCACACATGCTTGGCCTTTATCCTCGCCGTACATGGATCTGATGGCCTCTTCGAGTTTTAACGGTCCATCTAATCGAGCGAGGTAGTTCTGCATATCCTCGAGACGAGGATCTCCAGGTTGTAGGATCCTTTTCAAGATTGAGTTGAGGTTCCTGAGACCATCCGCTTTTGGAACAATTGCTGGGATAGGGGCTTGAACTTTCTTGATTTGATAAGAGTTGAAAAGTGGTCCTAACATGAGAAAATCTTCGATCAGGAGTGCTGGTATGCGGATTCTCTCGGCAAGGCGACCTATCAAATGTCTAACTGCCTTGATATTCATTGCAGTTTCTCGAGGTGCAACGCCGAGCTCTCTGCTCAGAGACCTGAGGGTCGCCATCTGAGGATCATGACGAGCATGGTAAGCAGTTTGACAAAGGGTCAGTGTGTCAGTATCGTTAGCAGAGAATTGAGGTAGCCACTCTATCAGGGAATTTCCTTCTGTGGGCATCCCTGGTTAGTTATGCCTCTTCCTGTTGTCATGATTCAACTTACCAGCTCCTTGAACAGTTGTGTCATCTTCTTTTAGATACTTTTCGCAGTAACTAGTAGCCCGCGACAATAGCTTGCACTCTTTTTTCAGCCTTGGGGCTGCAAAGTCAACGCATTTCTTTGTCAACTCCTCTGTCAGCTTGGCTCGTTCTTCCTCGGTCCCTTTCGAGCCCCTCTGTAGCTGTTGAAGAATATCGTTCAGAAACAGAATGACCTTGTCATTTGGCGTGAAATTCGCGGCGATCCAGAGAACAACATCATTTTTCTGAGATTCCAGAGCAATTGAGGTAGTACTGTCTCCGCCCTTTCGATAATCGCAGATGAAACATAAGTTTTTGAGGAACCTGCGCCTGGTACCTTGAACATCAGTTGGTGCATGGGCTGTGACCATGTGAGGGCCATCAATGCCTTTGAGTATATGAAAGAGTGCAAGATTCTCAAAAAGACGTGAGAGAATCTTCTCGTATTTATCTAGACGAGGCTTTCCAACGCCCATGGTTCTGGTTTTGACTCTAGACTCTGGTGCTGATGGTCAGTAGAGCAGTAGTATAGATAAGGACGTAGGAATTGTCCAAGAAAGTAAGTTAAGGATCAACTTTATATAATGTTGCTTCGCTCGGATATTCCAATTGAACTTTTATCTAGTCGAGGTTGTATAGCCTTGTGTTTGTACCCTCCATTTCGTGTTGGTCGGCCTCCCATTGTAAGTTTAAGGCAGAATGGGCCGAGTGTGGTCTACATTGAGGCTGGGTTGCCCCCTGGTTATCATAAACCTTCCATGACTTTACACAGTAGAGAGAAAGTGGAAAAATCACCAATGATATTCCAGAGCGCATAGGGGAGAATGTGTGCAAAGCCACCAAAAGAAATTTGCAAATCGATGACAAGCAGTAAATGGAGGGGAGTATCTCAAAGCCGCGGGATGGCCAAGCTTGTTAGATTTGTGCCAAGTAAATGAGCCAGCCCCAGGGATGAGTTGCCTTTTCATTCTATAACTCGCTTTAAATGTTTCCTCCCTTGTTTCCAATTGACACAGAAATATCTGAGCGCATTGATTCTATCATGGGCTCATGTTTCAACCAAACCTATGGAGCTCAGTGTCTTGACTAAAACAACTTCTACAGTAGTTATAACGGCAAGAAAGAAGTTTAGTTACATTGTTATGGGCCAAAACAAATACTATAAACTTTTCCCCTCCTTTTCCATCTAAAGTGCTTAATTTCTCTCGATGAAACAACCCAAGCTACCAAGTTATTGGGACCAAACAACGACTGGACAGTGCGTTGAACGCTCGTGCTTCAGTTGACAGGGACAGGGCTGATGGCGCTAGATGCGGAGCGAACTCCGCTAAACTACGTAAATCTCGATCTGGTTGGCTCATTCAGCTTTGGCGTGATGCGAGAGCTTCGCTAAACAGCTCCACTTCGGGAAAATCGAGAAATTCCATTGCCATGGATTATTATTAGGCATGAGCTACAGCTCCCCCTCATACTCACTCAGTCATACCCTAACTTTTCTTTTCTTGCATCATCGTCTTCTACAGGTCCCTCGCCGCCCAAGGTAGCTCTCCCACCATGCCTTCGCTGGACAGGCTGCCGAACGAGGTCCTCTGTAATATTGCTGGGTTCTTGGTCAAGAAATATGATATAGCTAGCTTATCGCGAGCCAACCGACACTGCTACGATATCGCCAGCCCGATTCTCTGGAAACGCGAAGCTCGATCGGACAGACCGGGTGCCATACATTGGGCCGTCGAACATGGAGACATCAATGTCTTGCGCCGTGCTCTCGAAGCTGGTGTTGACCCTTCACGAGTAGCCTTCACCCACCGACCCAAACCACGCATCGACCCTGCACATAAGTGGTACAATTATCATTCGACTTACTACGACGACCCTATGTGGAGGGTTCAGGATGATGACCACTCAGTTGACTTGGACGCATCATATGTGTTACACGACATGTGCGATTGCTTCGAAAGCGGTTGCGACGATGGCATATTCAGCGATTGCAGATGGGAGCCTATACATGTTGCTGCGAGTAAGGGACGGATCGATATGATCGAGATTCTCCTCGGCGCGGGTGCTCCTATCGATGCGCCTTCATGGGGCGTGTGCTTGTGTCGGCCACATCTGCCGATGGAAGCTTTCACCGAGTCCCCAGCTGTTGATGAAGGAGAACTCGAAGATCTACATGGAGGGAACTGGACACCTTTACATGTCGCTATCTGCCATAATCAATACGAAACGGCAAAATTTCTGTTGAAACATGGGGCGTCGCCGGTCATCTATCAGGGAATAGACTTTGAGCTGGAACCGCTCGCTTGGCGACAGGACGACACCCCCGTGGACTCGAGCAGATTCAAACTCACCGCACTACATCACGCCGCGAAGGAGAACATGATGGAACTCGTTGAGTTTCTCATTGATGAAAAATACCAAGAAGACATCGATGTCGAAGGTCCGTTTATGGGAACACCACTATTCCAAGCAATATGGTATGGACACTGGGACACTGTAGTCCCATATCTCCTTGAACATGGTGCCGATCTTGACAAAAGACTCATTGAGACGGGGTTGACACCTCTCATGATGGCGTGTTTCTCACGTCGCTTCGATGACGCTGCCAGACTCGTTGATCTGGGTTCAAATGTCACGACATTATCTGTACATCAATTCAGTATCCTTCACCTGATTCTCGGACCTCGTCACCTCCGGCCAGAAGACTTTTTTGACCCCCTCGGACCTCCTCCGAAGCCACCGAGCAAGGTTTCCGAGGCCGAAATCATTCAGAAATTCATCGCCAAGGGTTTTGATGTCGATGCTCGGGAAACTCTTCTTGGGATGACACCGCTGATGGTGGCGAGTGCAAGCTGTAACACAGATGCAATGCAAGCATTACTCGAAGGTGGTGCCAATGTCAACGCGGTAGACAACGAAGGTCTGTCTGCGCTTGCGAGGGTCGGCGAGACTGCCGAAGGCTCTGCTATTCTGGGTTTATACGATTCTGCCAAGATGCTGCTTGATGCAGGAGCAACATTGGAAGATTCGAGAGACGAGATCACTCCACTCAACATTATCTGCACACGGCAGTGTGAGCCCTACTTCAACCGTGAATGGGATAATCAGCACGCCACTCTGGCCAAGCTTCTCATTGAGCATGGTGCTGATCCAAACGAAAAGGGTGTTGCTACCAGCCGTCCATTCACAGAGGCCATCATTCATGGAAACTTGAATATCGCTAAAGCAATCATTGAGAATGGGGGACGGCCAGAAAAGGGCGATCTGGAAAGGCTTCTCTCAATATTCGTTCACGAATCGTATGATGATGGAAAGACAGACTTCATTCTGCACATCGATTACGCCAAGTACGGCATCTCGGGTCCCTCCGAGGGCTTCCTGGTGGATCTTCTCAAGACAGCTTTGAACAATCAGCTCTGGACACGAGCCGCCGACCTGATGAGGTCGGTACCAACCCCGAGTGTGTTCCGCAAGGGGTTAATCTACCGGTGCTTGGAGAAGCCTTCTCCGATTGCCGACGAACCATCAAGCCTGATTCAAGTGTTGCTTGATCGCGGCCAAGACCCGAATGAGCTATTCGAGGGCGAACCACCGTTGTATTATAGTTTCAAATCTGGGTCTTGTTGGCGGACAACACCTGTTCTGGTAAATGGGGGTGCTGACATCCATATGCCTACAAACGCCATGCCTGACGGTGCTCTCATGTATACCATAACTCATGGTTATCAGCCACAGACATGTCAACTTCTCGCGAAACATCCGCATGCGTTGCGTAACAAACCAGAGAGGCTACATCGAGAATGCTGGTCATCTCTTATACGCTGGGAGCCCCATCCAAGCAGGGTTCTGGTCGGAAGATCAGATGATCATGTACCACAACTCAACTGGACTTTTACAAGTCGATTAATTTCGGCTGGTCTGAGAACTGATGTCAAAACGCTTGATGATGAGGATGTCAAAGAACTCGTGGAGCAGGCGATTCCAAAAACCGAGGTCTTGAAAGTCGAGGGGCGAAAGGTCCTGGAGGCCCTTGACATAACCTATGTGGAACCCTCGGCATCGGAGATTCTCGATGCTACTATTGGACTGGGTGACGAGGATGAGGATGAGGATGAAGATGAGGAAGAGGAAGACTTTGAATATGGCTCTGTTAGTGACGAGATTGACGATCATTCAGATTACTATGACGTCGATAGTGATGAAGTTCCATTTGAGCTTTTCCCTCCCTACATGGGCGGAGTGGATGGAGAAGAAGACGAAGATGATGGAAATGATCAAGGGGAGCAAGAAGACGAAGATGGATGGGGTGAGGGAAACTCGAGTGATTTTGATGAGTATGATGATGGTGCTCCCATGCCGATACCAGCCCCTCTGTTCTTTGGGTTTCTGATGTAAGTACATATGTGTTAAAAAGGTACGGGTCAATGTTGTTGTATTTGCTTCATGACAACTGGGCAGAGTAGGGTATTTTATGATAGGCATGGGTTTATGGACTGGCGCTTTACGGATCGGATATATAGGTAGACGGATTCTGGGACGGCATCACGGTCTAGGGCTCGGCATTCAAGCAATATGGATGGAACGACATTCTCCAGGGGAAAATAAGGGCAATGGATTTCTTTTTGGTGTAACATATGGTTAATGACGTCTCGTGGAAAAAGGAGGAAAGGGTGTTGATTCCAACTGAAATTATTTGCCATAAGTCGAAGAGTGCGGTTAGACTGAAATCGCTTCAGCCATTTAAGTTATTTCGTTGAGCCTCATCAACCTCCAAACTCTCCTCGCGGGTGAAGCGTGACTCTCTAATCCGAGACTATTACTAGACGCCGAGCTGCTACGGATGCGAGCTAAATTCCCGAAGTCGGCTTCGACCTCCGGCGGCGGGGTGAAACGCCAACCTTAAAGCTAACGCCAGGGGCAACTTTGGCAGCCTCAGACTATGCTAACTTAGGTTTTGAGTGACAGGTCGGAGATGATACGGCGTTGTGGGACGCTTTCTGAATGTGATCACAAGGAGAGGAAAGGCAGGGGATGAGGATGAAGAACCTTGAGGGCTTAATAGAGGCCGGTTGTCCGGAGATACAGGGTAAGTATGTTACTATTGAAGATACGATAGTATAAGACCTATTATCAGGATTGTGTGGTAGGTTCCGTAAAGAGAAAGGAGTGTGCTTGGAAACGGGCATCTTGCTTATGTTAAGCTGTTGACTGTCATTATGCGATGCTATATACATGTTTTAATTGTAAGATATTCATCTATAATAAGTTCTCAACCTCATGAATATGACAATGCGGGGAAATGATCAAGGAGGCAAACGCACAAGATGCAAAACAACTGCATCAGCACCAGATCGAGTCCAAAAAAGCTTGTTTTTCTCGCCATCATCATGTGGCGGTTCTGGTCGAATCTTACTGAAGCTCCGGAGATGAAAGTGCGGAAGAGGTCACCCCGCATCCGCATCCGTGACCGTAGCCGGAGTATGGATCAGGAGGAGTTTCGGGGGCTAAACACGGATGGATGGCGGGATACCGAATAGCGACGGAAATCAGATTTGAGGCATATGAGTTGATGACAAGGTATAGTATGCAGTCATGAGACGACGGAAGTCTTAGGTATCAATCACAGATCAAGGTATACTAGAGATATCAATGATTGAGAGAAAGTGTAAATGAGGCAATCTACGTACGATATCAGAGCCTCAGTGGAGAGTCGGTCCATCTGTGGACAACTGCATCATTGATAACAGTTTCCGAGTAACAATTCCACAATTGACGATTCCGTAGAGATAATTGGAGCCCAATTACTAAATAGAAAAGTCGTTTAGGTACGGTTGCTGTGGTGTAGTTGTAGTTGTTACGGCATCATCCATCCATCATAGCATGTCCCCCACTTACACCATCGTCAGTATCACATCGCATCGGACATCGTTTCCCTAGAATATTCCATTCTTCTCCAAGACACTAACTCAACTTCTCTCAGTTGGAGTCCTTTGGAGACACAGCATCACCTTAATTTTTCTATTGACAGCAGAATATTCCAAAAGACGGAGATTTGTACCGTAGCTGCCGTTGACTTCAAGAGGTTGGCGGTTTTAACCCCGCTCTGTGGGTGCCGAAAGAGGCAACCTTGGAGACCCCGCCTGAAGCAAGATGGCCACACGTGATTGGTCTACAGCTCTAGCTCTTATCCCCCACTCTACCCTTCTCAAGCTCTCCCCAGTCAAACCAACACCGAACACCGAGATATGCCCCGTATCATGGAAGAGGAGCTTCTCGCCCATTTGCCCATACTTTCCTCTTCGAGTAAGACCCCTCCAAGTGTGTGGTCGCACGCGCTCCCCCCTCCCCCGCTCTCTTCGGTCGCGCGCGTGTTAGTTGGGACGGCATCCAGCGGGTTACAGGCCGGTCGCCGTGAATTACAGACCACAGACACTCAAAATAGCAGTCTGACCAAGTACCTGATGGAATTCACAGCTCGATATTCAATGTCCGGTCTCGTTACGGCTGCCAGTTTCGGCGCTTGTCGCCTCCACAGAGACTCTACCGAAATGGAGAATGCTTCCAGACTTTGACGCCCACAGCTAATACAGTACTCCATAACGTACACATGGTCCCCCCCCTCAGATGCCGACACCTTCGGGGTTCGCGGGATCGATGGAGATTCGCTGTCTGAGAGACACCGGCCCCTGCCCGTGCCACGGTTCCAGTTCCGTTCATGGCGAGAACGCAAGCATTACAGTGCTTGTGCGTGTGCGTGAGACGTGGAACCTTGGCTGTGCCATCTTTGTCTTGTCTCTCTAACTGTGGAGAGCATACATCGTTGTAACAGGCTCGATCAGACGCTGGTGCCCGTTACTTGGTGACAAGATACATAGCCATGGCGCGTTCATTTCCAGAGCATAAATATCTGGCATTGGACCCTCGATATTCTACTTTCTCTCCTCCTCACTCTCATCATCATCATCATCATCTTTCTTCCTTCTTCTCTTACTTCTTCCACTAAACAATAAACCCTTTTCACAACCGCCAAAATGGTAAGCATTCCTCTCCATCTATATCTCTATATCCTTTTGAGCCTCAACTAACACATCAAACAGGTCAAGGTTCTTGCAGTTCTCTACGACGGTGGCCAGCACGCCAAGGATGTATGTCTTTTAATATTTCTTATATTCCAACTCAATTCCTCTTGATTGTTCTGTCAACTATCTCCGATGGTCGTGGATTCTGCCTTCAACTCTCATATCTACCGACAACCACAAACAACTCCCCACACACCATTCCTCCGCGCTTGTCGATCTCAAACGCGGGGAAATGGTCTCACTACATGAGGATCAGCCACATCAGCCCAATGATGCGGGGCAATGTCTGGGCAGCATGCAAAGATTTCGAGAAGTGTCAGTTGGGTGGCATTGTTTGGCTTGTGCCTCTCTTGTGGTTTACACTGCATGGGTCTGAACAACAATGCAACCCAACTTACACCCAATGTCTCAACACTGCATCATCAACCCCCTCAATCACTCTTCAAATCACTTCTTCTTAGTCACTTGGTTTCATAGCGACTAACATGTCTCATAGCAACCCCTCCTTCTCGGTACCACTGAGAACGAGCTCGGTATCCGCAAGTGGCTCGAGGACCAAGGCCACACTCTTATCACCACCTCTGACAAGGACGATGAGGGTTCTACCTTCGATAAGGAGCTCGAGGATGCTGAGATCATCATCACCACTCCCTTCCACCCCGGTTACCTGACCGCCGAGCGTCTTGCTCGTGCCAAGAAGCTCAAGCTCGCTGTTACCGCTGGTATCGGCTCTGACCACGTTGACCTCAACGCTGCCAACAAGACCAACGGCGGTATTACCGTTGCTGAGGTCACTGGCTCCAACGTCGTCTCCGTTGCTGAGCACGTTCTCATGACCATCCTCGTCCTTGTCCGCAACTTCGTCCCTGCCCACGAGCAGATCGAGGCTGGTGACTGGAACGTTGCCCACGCTGCCAAGCAGGAGTTCGATCTTGAGGGCAAGGTTGTTGGTACCGTCGCTGTCGGCCGCATTGGTGAGCGTGTCCTCCGCCGCCTCAAGCCCTTCGACTGCAAGGAGCTCCTCTACTTCGATTACCAGCCCCTTTCTCCTGAGAAGGAGAAGGAGATTGGCTGCCGCCGCGTCGACACCCTCGAGGAGATGCTCGCTCAGTGTGATATCGTCACCATCAACTGCCCTCTCCACGAGAAGACCAAGGGTCTCTTCAACAAGGACCTCATCGCCAAGATGAAGAAGGGTTCTTACCTCGTCAACACCGCCCGTGGTGCCATCGTCGTCAAGGAGGACGTCGCTGCCGCTCTCAAGTCCGGTCACCTCGCCGGTTACGGTGGTGATGTCTGGGACCACCAGCCCGCTCCCAAGGACCACCCTCTGCGAACCGCCAAGAACAACTGGGGTGGTGGTAACGCCATGGTTCCTCACATGTCCGGTACCTCTCTGGACGCTCAGATCCGATATGCCAACGGCACCAAGGCCATCATCGACTCTTACCTCTCTGGCCGCCACGACTACAAGCCTGAAGATCTCATCGTTCACCAGGGTGACTATGCCACCAAGGCCTATGGTCAGCGTGAGAAGAAATAAATGTTTTGAGAGAATGGAAGAAATGATTTGTACATGATGATGAATAATTTTACAACAACTGCATTATAGACGCGGGTCAAAAGCAATCAGCGTTGCAGATAATACAATTTGTTAAAGTTCTCCCTCCTTTTGTCTTTTGTCTCCAGTGATTTTAGTATACCAACCAAGTGACCTGAATGCATGCTTCTTTCTGAAATTCCAGGCTTTGTATTTACTGATCACTTGAAGTCACTGAGCAGATTACGAAAATGAAAAACCATGTCAATCTGGCAAGCTCTCAACTATTTCAATAATCTCCATTAAGTAGCATTAATAAGGGTAGCAAAGTAAACTTAACCTAAACCTTTGAAACTTATGATATACTTAGGTAGATAAAGAAGGGAGAATAATTGATATAACACATTGGTCTACAATTGAGTTATCTTTGTCAAAAGAGATACTGTATGTTCCATCGTTTCATCTTCCTTCCTGGTTCGTATACATCCCAACACCGCAGCAGGAATCGGGCCACTTGTGCACTTCAGTAGCCATTTTACACATTCACTCACAAGCAATACAACCAAGATGAAGCCAAGCAGAAATGTTCCGCTGTTCTTTGTCTTTTTGCTTTGCTAATAATACAAAATTTCTCGCTATTGGTATGCTTCATTATGAGCCATCATCAGGCGCTATATCGCTGACCATAATTTCACCATTCATGACATGAAGTCGTTGCCATTTCTCCCAATCAATGCTATACTTTTAAATCATTTCCAGAACTGCCACCACTTCTTTTCCTCGCTGGGTTGTCCTCTCCGTCTCAAGACCTGCTCGTCCCGTCCTCTGATGCGCCAGAAATACACAGGCACACCAGCTACCACGAAGAATACGACGGCGATAGTCTGGAAAGGCTGTGCAAAGACAGCGCGGCTGAGGAGGAAGAGACTAACGCAGCAAAAAATAATAGGTGTGGTGATCCAGGTCTTGTAAGGTCGTACGAGCCCCGGCTCTCGCACGCGTAGGATGATTAGACCCAGGACTGTAAGGAAATAAAATGTGTAGCCTGCAACGCCATAGAAGGTGACGAGAGTGCTGAACTCGCCAACAACCACGTACCCAACTGTAAGAACAGCATTGAGAATGAGTGCATAGACTGGCGTATAAAACAGTCCAGCATCTTCATCGCCAAACATTCTGCGCATCCTACGCGTGAACCAACTTCGGGTACGCTGCGTGCTGAGCTCGTGCTCGTGTGGGCTGCCCCCAACACCAATAGTGCCAAAGATCGAAGGAATGTAGCCCTCTTTGCCAGCCACATATGCCAAACGGCTGGAGGTGAAAGTTGAAGAGTTGAGGGCACCAAAACAACTGGCACTGACGATGAGTGCGAGAATTAGTGAGCCTACGGAACCAAACACTCGGTTGCCAAACATGACAGCTACTGTGTTGGACCCATCCATGCTCTCGAGAGGTAGGACAAGGAAGTAGGCGATGTTAGCTAACACATAGCAGAGAATGACCAGAGGCATGGCTGTATGAATGACACGGGGTAAGTCTTTAGTTGGGTTTTTGAACTCTCCAACGACGTAGTTTGTCTATACTATGTTAGTTCTTCAAACTTGCAAGCCTGACTGATATCACTCACATTGTCCCAGCCATCATATGCCCAAAGACCTGCATAAAGGGCAAGAGCCCAAGCAGACATGTCGGTCGATGTGTTTTCAAACAGCTGATGCGGCTTCCACTCAACCTCTGACTTGCCCTTGAGCGTCTTCCCTGTGATGGCAACGACAACACCAGTAACGGTGACGCCCAACAGAGCGATAAATTTCATAAACATGAGCGTATCATTCACACGTGTGCCGAGCTTTGTAGACACACAGTTCAAGAACGTTACAATGAACAGTCCTACAAGCGCAACAGCCTTGTTGATCCAAGGGCTTACATGCTCAGCGTCAGGACCGATGAAGGCTCGAACAAAGTATTCGCCCATGATGATGGCGATAATAGCGGCACTACCGGGCTTAAGGACCAACATAGCAACCCATGTAAAGAGGAAGCCTATCACCTCTCCAAATGTCTTCGCCAAGTAGACTTGAGCGCCGCCATTTAGAGGAATCGCTCCTCCAAGCTCAGCGTAAGACGCAGCGCCTGTCCAAGCGAGTATACCCGCGATGATCCAGACGAGTATCGCTGCACCTGGCGACCCAACTCTTGTGCTCACAGATCCTGGTGACGAGAAGATACCTGAGCCAATAATAAGTCCCACTATCAGCGACAGTCCGTTCAAGTATGTTAAAGTCTTGTTTTTCTCCAATGATCCTCCTCCCAAGCCGCCGCTCGGTCTCGATCTTGATGTTGGTGCTCCAATGGGAGCATAACCTTCGGCGCCAGCCGTCGAGCTTAAAGGGAACATATTGGCGGAGAAGTCAAAAGCTGAGGATACTGAATACGATCGATTCATCCTGTTTGCAGGATTGGCACTGTCCAAGGGATCATCTTGTTCGAGCGACAGTCTTCGCGACGACGATATGCTGGGCCTCGACGAGATCTCTGTAGCCCCTTCTTCGTTGAGCTGACTCGAGCTAGCCAAGGAAGCGAGCTCCAGCGAGTCTCTCGTATTCGATGGAAGTCCGTAAGATGGCGCCATTGTGGTGTATTGTGTAGTTGTCGTTTCCCCCTCTTCCCAGCGACTAGTTAATCGGTCGATCCCCCAAAGTCGAGGAACCACGAGTATTCAATTCGAGTATTTCAGCTGTTAAAAACAAAGGCGCATAGGGAGTCGTTGTCGCGCAAGCTTGAAATGAATGTGTCGACCGATCGGCAGCCGAAGGATGTGAGAATGCGAGATCTGTGACGTAGAGATCTCGGTGGTCGGTAGTTGTTTTGAAGTCTTTTTGAAGCAGTCCAGATTAAAAAGATGGGGTATAGAAATACAATTAAGAAAGTATTCGTATTCGTCAACGATTGATTGATTGCTCATGAGGTCTTTTTTTTCATTCAATACCAAAAAGGGGCAATGTTTGCTTCGTAAGAGTGGAACAGGACAAAGAAAGAGGGCCAAGTTGAAAAGATAGGAGTCGACTTTACCCAACTCATCACAAGGAAGCTTCTTTGTTAATGCAAGTGCTGCTTCGCTTTTCCTTTCCGCGTATGGATCAGAAACACATTACCAGTCTAGCCCAGCCCCTTGCTCTTTTCAGTGGGTCCCAGCCACTCGCACCGCCACATGCTGGTTAGTCACCCGTATACGATCAACGTCAACCATGATCGTCGCCTATCCCGACAACTCCTCTCAAGCACCATAACACCATGGGCTCCGACGATTATGCTGCTGTCGGCGGCGGCGGTGCCCTGAAGCTCAAGGGCGCCAAAATCCATAAGAAAAAGAAGAAGCGCGACAAGACCGATCTTGAAAAGAACCTCGATACTGGAAATAAGGACGACGAGAAGAGAAAGAAGAGGAGGAAGGATGAAGAGGAGCAAGACCCCCACGATGAGGATGATGAGGACAAACCTGAAGTGCAAAAGACGGAGGCTCAAAAGCGCCATGAAGAGATAAAGAAGAAGAGGGCAAGTCCTTAAATGTCTTCTGCTATGGACACCATGCTAACAAGTCTTTAGCTGCTCAAACTTGCCGAGTCTTCAAGCGCGCGACCAGAACTTCTCAAGACACATAAGGAGCGCGTCGAAGAACTCAATACTTACTTGTCTAAATTGAGCGAGCATCACGATATGCCCAGGATTGGCCCCGGTTAAGGATATCAGGACGGAAGGCTGAGTTGGTGGCGAATATGTGTAGGCGGATGGACGGGAGTTGTTGGCGCTTTTGGTTATACCCTCGAATTAAACAAATATTCCAACACATGCTATCTGTTGCATTGCCCTGGCGTTATGAGAACCAGTGGCATGTATTGCGACTCGTAAATTGTCCTTGAGGCGCGTCATGTTTGTACCTTGCTGGGCTTGAAAGCATGTAAACCCTGTGTCAGGGGGCAAAAGTCAAGACGCGGCGCACGAGAAAACCACACGGATTTACTTCGAATAAGAAAACTATGCAAATGCAAATGCTTGTATTCGCTCATGTACTATGCATTTTTAAATACGATCCATGTTCGGCATATATGCTGGACGCCATTAATGAACCAAATCTCCCCCAAGACACAACCGTACGTGGAAGTTCTTGTCTATTGATTAATCCCGTCTGATGCTGCCCCAAGTCTATTATCCTGATTTTATACCCATGAAGAAAGGACCGTGATATTCATAAAGATGAACCCATTCTGAATTAACTGGTGCCCGCAAGGGGACCACAAGTTCGTTCGTCACGGGATCCGCGTGACGTTTTCGCTGGATGCGAGGGAAGGTCGAGTTGTTTATTTTCCGTTTACAGGAGAATGAAACCACCGAAGACCATACCCACAACTGCGGCAAGGACTGAACCGACGGATCGAGGAGCAGCGTTCTGAAGGTCAGGGTCGCTGCCAGCAGTAGCTTCGGCCGAGGGAACAACCTCAACCCAAGAAGTCGAAGTCATAGTGGTAACGCCACCGTCCTCAAGCGTGGAAGTGAAGGTCTTGGGCACAGCACTGGAAGTTCGTCTGGTACCTGTTCCGGTCACGGTGCTTCGATCAGACTTAGTCTCAGTCGCGCTTTCGGCATCGTCTGAGGTTTGTGAAGCCTCATCTGTCTGAGTTGCGGTTTCCTGGTCGTCTATCTCAATGTTAGCATGTACGTTCGGAAGGTAACCGTCTGCAAAAGTGTGTAGTCAACGCGGATGCAATCAAGGGTCAAAAGGCATCTTCAAGTTTTGGCGCACTTGCGAAAGTCACGAAGTTAAGGCATCAGGTTGTGGAGATGGCACGAAACAGTAATATCACAACAGGTTTGGGGAGTTGGATTCGCAGCAATGTCCCTGGAAAGAGCCTTGTTGCTGCTCGTCCGTCCCACATACCGGTGGTCGTCTCTGCCTCCTCTGAAGCCTGGGAGGCTGTTTCCGACTCTTGAGTTGGCTCAGAAGCTGACTCAGAAGTGAAGTCGGAGAGGACAGTGGTAGCTTCGGCGACAGTGGATGAGGGGACGGTGGCAGTTTCGATAACAGTGGAAGTATCATCAAGGGCGGTGGATTGAAGGGTCTCACCCGAAGAAACCGTCTCGGACGGCAATTCAGAAAAAGAGGAGGTATCAGGCAAAGAAGTTCTTCGAGTAGACGTACTGGCAGCAGTGGAGGTTGCAGCACTAGGAGCAGAAGGATTGGAAGTTGAAGCACGAGAAGAGGGAACAGTCTCAGAAGGTTCCTCTTCCGAAACGGACGTACCAGTGGCAGTGGCCTCGGAATCATCGGTGGTCGATTCAGGGGAAGAGTCCTCAGTGGACTCGGGTCGGTTCTCCGTGGTCCTACGGGTGGTTCGCTGAGCAGCTGTGGATGCAGGCTCAGTAGGCTCCTCTTGAGATTCCGTGGCAGAAGGAGATGCTTCAGTAGCTGAGTCCTCGGTAGGTTGGGCAGTGGCAGAAGGTCGGCCTGTATCCGGGTTAGAGGTGGGTTCCTCAGGTTCTGAGCTCGCAGGGCGCGAGGGCGAGGAAGGCTCACTGGTGGCAGATGGCTGAGTGACTGAGGGTTGAGCCTGGGTGTTTGAGGCCTCATCTGTGGCGCTGGCCTGGTCGGTTGACTCTTCGGCGGTAGCGGAAGGCTGGACAGCAGTCTCGCTAGCCTCGTTCGTGGGCTCCTCAGCCGTAGCAGTGGGTTGCTGCACGGTGTTTGAAGCACCAGAGGCTCCGCCTGAAGAGCCCCCGAGGGAGCATTGGAAGCACCATCAGAAGCGGCATCGGTAGGGTCAGTGGCCTGCTCTGTATCGGTAGGTGCGGGTGTGTTTTGTCGTCGAACCATTTGGGCCATGGAGTCGGAAAGATTTGGTCGATGGGCGTTCATGCCATGCTTTCCAATAACATCACCATGGCGGAGATGTCCAGGGCAGAACCGGGTAGCACCTCCAATGGATGCTACACCGACGCCCAAAAGGCAACAAGCGGCCAAAGCAATCAAGGCCTTGCCAGCTGGGGATATCCTTCTGGTCTTTGTCCGTGGAATGGTCTGGGCAGATTCCGAATCCTGGAGTAGTGCTTCCTTTGACGACATGATCCTCTCTTCTCGGTCAGTGCTCAACAGTCCTGCCTCCATACTGTAGTCGTTCTTGATGTCGACAGATGCCATGATATAGAAGTGAGTGAGAAGGTTTGAAGGACGGGAGAAGGTTGAGTTTTGTAAGTTAAGCAGGGTGATATCAGGCCTGAAGAAGACTGGAGACGGATATGCAGAGAACGTTTAGCGGCTGAGAATAGTCCAGAATTGCGGACCCAAGACAGATGGCAGCTTTTTTTGGGTTCGCTATTTGGGGACAGTACGAGAGACGACTGGCTGGGAGCAGGTGGTGAGGTCGAGGAGGCGAGATCCCAGACGGTGAGTGGTGAAGACAGTGCAGCAAACAAGCCAGGGTTCAAGAACGTGCAGACGACAGCCGGCAAGAGGGGTGATTCCCTTTATCGATGATGAAGAGTGTCGTGTGCCAAGCAGACAGGAGGTGGCTCTAGCGTCCGAGAGAGGAGTCTGTTCGGTTCTATGAATGGAGACACAGCTGGTGATGTGAGGATGAGAGAAAGCAAAAGAGACCAAGAAACGAATGGCGTGCCGCCTGCCGGTACTGTAAGCAATTGACAGTCGACCGAGCGCTGCGGAGTGTAAGCGAGGGAGTGGAGGAAGTGGAGGTAGTGGAGTGATGGGTGTTACACGAGCTGAGTCCGTCAAGTCAAGCCAACTGCGAGATTGAACTCAAGTTCAGGGCGAGAAAGAGGAGAGTTTGGTGTTAAATGCAGCCTGTGGTGGTGGATCGTGGGTAGATGAGGGGATCTGTCCTGCTAAAAGCCCCGGGACCTAAACTAGTCTTGGCAAAAAGAGGCTGAGCTGCAGACAAGTATCACAATGGTCTAAGTAAGCTGTTCTCTTATTTGCTGCTGTGTCTTTGTTATTGTCTGCTGAGTGGCAAAGGCCAAAGGTTGTTGGAGATCTAGACAAAATCGCTATGCGTGTTTCTTTTTTAGGCTTGGGAGGGAGCCGCTTGCAGTTTTTAACGACAGCCACACGGGCACTAGACAAAAAGCTAGGCCTGCCAAGTTCAGCCGGCGGCCGGCTACACCTCCGTCTACTGGAAACCCAGTAGTAGAGGGAGGAGTTGAGCACTGAGCAGCCCGGGGAGCCTGGAAGGGATGGGCTTTGGTGGAGTTTGGGTGCCCAAGGGCGGCTCAACAAGGCCTGTCTAGCCCTCATTTCTCGTAAGTACAGTAAACACAGTCCAAGACATGAGGCGTTTGCTGACTGACTGCTTGACCTGAAGTTGACCAGAGATGAGCTGAAGCACTGACTGTTTGATAGCAAGGGCACAACTGCTCATTCTTCGAACATCCAATTGCTATAGAAACTTAATAATGGTTTCAGCCATTTTTTAGTATTGGCCGATACAAGCTGGGCCTGTTTAACAGAAGTCGGTTGTCACAATTCCGATATTCCACTTTTGGTATGGTTGGTTCTTGGTTCTTGCTGCACAGGCGTTCTAATCCATCACCATAATCAAGTTGCACGGGTATTTTTGTCGATAGGGGCACCGTTACCACATCCGCGAGCCCCTGGTACCTGTCCTTCCGTTACTCAGACGGCGGCGCCTCATCAACCGTACGCCGCTAAGATAGGGACCTTCATGAGCTTTGTGATGTCACTGTGGATTTAACGGCAGACGGACGGACTTGTGTAAGAAGAGCATTGTGTGATTGTGTCCGTATGAACCCATCATGCTGCTCTTCGTATTCTTTAAAAAGCTCCTGAGACCCATGGGAAGTAAATTGTAGAGGAACGGTACAGTTGAAGGGCAAGAAGGGGTGAGAAATCGCCTCGTTCCTAGGAGAATACGAGGAATCGCCATAAAAAGCTGAGCATCGAGGCGGGTCAACATTCGGGCCCAAGCCATTGGTCCAAGATGATGCTTTTTTTTTCGCCCGCATGGCCCCGATCCTCATTCCATGTTTGACCCACTTGATTAGTCCCCTGAACCCTGCCCCTGACATTGGTGTTGTTTTTCCATCTTCATCTTCTCTTATCCAACCCTTTCGGTGAATTGATCATGTCTTGCAACTTGAGGTCGTGTTTATGAACACAATCAATTGACATGGCCTGGCGACATGATCACCCTTGTGCAGCAATGATGCATATTGACTTGTCAGCGTGAAACTCCTTGCTGATGTTTTGCTATGAACGTTTGTTCTATGACACGCCAAGTTAAGACTTGTAATGGTTGCTCTTAATTGTCAAGATAAGCGACCAGGTGTGATATCTTTCAACTTTGAACTTGATTATTTGTGCCAACTTCTCTGTTCGTGTGACAGATCGACAACTTGAAGATGTCCCAACCTCCATGATCTGAGCTGATCACCAGCTGCGATGACGGAGATGCGCAATATCAAATTGTAATACGATGGGGAATTTCGGTTGATCCTTATTTTTGGTGCTTTTTTCACCTAAGATGGAGTACGGATACGTGCACAGTTCTTGGCTACGGGCGGCGTGTCCGTCCAAACGAAGCAAATTTTGGTGCCAAGCAGATATGATGTATGCACCCGGATCTGGCGGCTCAACAATTCTGGCACAGAATTGTTATTGACCGTTGATGATCAGTTTCTGCGAGATGATGCTCAGCCAATATCGTGTCATTCGCAAAACTCCACGCAGCCTAGTTAAGTCTTGAATAGGTAATAATGTCGATTCCGCCAGCATGGACCAGTGTGACTGAAAAAGAGAATGGCTGGCACAGATGAAATGCTGTTGGATCGTATGCAACCATCTCTGCGCTGCAACCTCAGCTTTAACGATTAACCAAATCGCCTTTCGAGTCACTACACCCAAATTCGGAGCATGAAACTCCAGCCTTTTGAGAGCAGGAATACAAAATGTGTTTTCGATGTTTCCTTCGAACGACGGCAAGCCAGCACACACCTATGAGGTGTTTCTTGGTTGTGCGACGCGCCAATGCAGCCATAGAGACCTAGTATCGGTCGGTAGACCAACCAGAAACCACAATCAGAGACAAATTGCTGTCAAAGTGCAACTGTCGCGAGACAAGCAAGCAGGCTGACTCTTAGGTTTTAGAGCCAACTGTTAACCAATGGGATTGCCAATGGTCGTTTTGAGCTATGACTTGCGGTATAAAGATCAATGATTGTATGGTCTGGAGATAGTTGAAGATGGCTTTCTGTTGTTGAATCCGCGGATATAGTATGGAGACGGCATTCATCTAATGCACCCAACAAGGTCCAGTTGATGTATGTATCATCCTTGTGAATGCTGGATAGATGACCTCGGTACAGATTGCTGCACTGCCTGCCTGCGTGTGCTGAAGCTCCAGGATGGGCGTGGGGAGACAACTCGTGGTCCCACTGGCTGAAGGTTGAATGTATGTCTAAATTTAGACCACTCGGAAGCCCCAATGGTTCGATCCGTCAGACTTGCGATACGATCTGATAGTGAGTGACACTGTTCTGGTGCTATGAGTTGTCGGTATCATCATGGCTGTTTTCTCGTTGCATTTGTGGACAAGACAATTTTGTATGTTTTCTCTACCTTGCACCTAGTAAAGACCTGAGATGTGATTTTGTTTCATTGCGGCTTCCTCCTGCTCTCCAAGGGATAACGTTAAAAAACTATTTTGAGTTCCTCCATGAGCCAAGGGAAGGAGCCCTGGAGTTTTTTTTTTGAGAAAAAGGGGACATCCTTTCAAGGTAGCGACGAGACTGGAATGTTGCAACATTACCTAGGATTTAGAAATTGGTACGAAACATGAAGGAGAATCAGTGAGCCCAAACAATTGTTTGTGTCTATTGAGTCCTTTATTATTCATTATCTACCTTATATAGGGTATTTCTGTCAACTGAATTGATTTATAGTGAACCTGTTGAAGCTGATATATATTGACCCACTCTAGCCACCATCAATCGGCGTGGCTCGTGGGTGGCCGTGCCTTCATGCGTTCTGCTGACTGATTTCAGTTAGCTGACGAAACGCCCGATGGACAAGGCCACTTTCACATGTAGACGAGGACAGATGCTCGAGCTTCTTCCAACAAAATCGACGACGTGGAGATAACTCCACTGACAGGAATAGTCTCTGATTCAAAACATTCTAACTCTTGTTATTGATCAATTTTGTCCATCTATTCGCGACACTCTTTCCTTCAAACGTGCTTGAGGCGCATACGCAGCCCTGTCGTTGTCTTCCCATGATTGATATCGAGGTACCTTCAATACCCTCGTCATGACAGAGCATCTCAGCCCCGACTCTTTAAATACTCTCGACCCCGACGAACAAGACAGCCTTCGAGTTCGATCGCGATCGCCTCACCCGTACCATCACCAGAATACAGACCTTCCACATCTCTCAGATCGTTTTACATTGAGGAACCGCCAAGCGCAATCCGCCAAGACCGGTGACGATGCTCCCCACGAACCATCTCCCACGACATGGCCAAGTTTTCTCAAGGACTCGCCGCAGACGAGCGACAGCGGCTCCGAAGCTGACGATGAACATTACCTAAAAGGCTTACCAGCGCCAAAAGCAAACTTGCACAAAGGATTAAGAGGTCTTAATGAATCGCTCTCTGGCTCTTCAACACCTCTTCCGTCACCGGCGCTTCTTGATGGTCATACCATTCGCTCCGTGGACAAGCCGCCCATGCCTACCGAGACACCGGAAACCAAACGTCTGCTTGAAGCCCTCAAAAAACGAAGAAGAGTCGTTGTTCGACGCATAACTGAGGCTGGCATTGTTCTAGCGCTGGGTCTCATGGTAGCTTCAAATTCCCAGGTATTGCAGCTCATAAAAATCTGGGGAAAAGGTATGCGCATTGTCCTCCTTTCGATAGCTTTGGCTTACCATTTTAGATATCCTACTATGTGGTCTTGTATATGCGGGACTACTCGCTTTGTATCCTGTCCGAGTTGTCGCTTGGGCGTACCGTAACAGATCACCATCTCACCCAATACCCCTCGAGCTTCCTGCGCACTTCGACCCCGCTCCCATATTATACCCTTCGGCGATTACTCTTTATGTTTCGCTTCTTATTTCGTCAAGCAATCCAGCTGCGATTCTCCCGAACCTTATTCTGAGCCTTGCTTCCATTCCGCAGAGCGTTATTCCTAAGGTCGATCCTTATGCTACATATGATGTACCAGCATGGGGCCTAACTTGCATTCCATTGATCTGGAGCCCAAAGCAGCGTGAATACTTCGAAAGCAAGCACCCGGAATCTTTTATCTCAGGAGAAACAGCTATTCTCCTATATCCTCTTCACCAAACTTTGTGTGTGACATTGCACTATCTCACTACAACTAGTCTCTTGACGGCTGAGCTCCAGCTCCTGTCCATCGCACTTATCAACGTTTTGCTTCTAGCTTCTTCACCCCAGGTTCTGATTCTTAAAGCCCTGTTGTGGGGTGGCGGTCTTTCTCTCCTCTTCTTTTGTGGACGTGTCATAAGCTGGGGAATTGCTTTGGCCAGAGTGCCGAAATGGAGATTTCGGCGAGTGTCAATCTCCCAGCGGCCGCCACTCTGGAAGAGCTTCAAACAATTCTTCTCGTTACGACGGCTGAGGCACGAATTATTAAAACCAGAATATGAGGATGCTGTCTATGACACCATTGGCTCATCCGAGGACGAGACAGGCCCATTGTTCAAGAAGCCCACGCGAGTTCGAACCTTTGGACCAAGCTTCCCGAACCCAGCAGAAGCTGATAGCGCTCCCTCTTCGCCCACAGCTGCAGATGGCTTTGGAAACTGGTCGTTTGCACGTAGACATACCTTACCACACCTTGATCCTGGAAATCGACGTAACGCGACGCATACTCCTTCAGGGCGCAAAAAGCGAGCAACTTCGATGTCCGTCCGGCCCTTCTTCAAGCTTACTCAAGAGCAAGCGACTTTGAGGAAATGGCTTTATGCCGGATACGTCTACTTGAGTATCATAACTATCATCCTTGGTGGCATTCGAACCTATGTACAATGGTATGCTCTAGATGGCAACGAGCCCATTGGTTGGGCTTTGGGATATCTCTTCGGCGACTGGTCTTGGTTCCGATATCAAGTTGTCAGTCTCAACTTGGAAAGATGGATTTGCCTGCCTCCACGAATCGACCCTACAGAAGACAAGCAATGCCACTTTGGCTGGGTACAGCACGTTCGCCATAACGACTTTGGCGAAGCAAACACCCGACTTCTGTTAAGTACTTACTGGCTGGGCATCTTGATACTCGGGCTCATTATCGTCTTCCGTCTGAAGGACATCTACGAGGTGGACACACGGCGGAAGGTGTTCCACTTTATGATGGTTGGCATGTTTTTGCCTGCAACCTTTGTCGATCCCACGTATGCGGCTCTTGCCCTGTCTCTAATTCTTGCGGTCTTCTTGATCCTGGATCTTCTGCGGGCGAGTCAACTACCTCCACTATCAAAGCCTATTGCCTCATTCTTAGCACCATACGTCGACGGCAGAGACTTCCGTGGTCCAGTTGTCATCTCTCACATCTTTCTTCTAATTGGGTGTGCAATTCCTCTCTGGCTGGGCCTCGCTTCCCTGCCACGCTCTGGATCTGGCTACCTCTCTGGTTGGGAAGTCACAACTCGAGATGTCAGTCTTGTCTCCGGAGTTGTCTGCGTGGGCTTAGGAGACGCTGCTGCTTCTCTTATCGGTCGTCGATATGGACGCCGGAAGTGGTTCTGGGGAGGCGGTAAGAGCCTTGAGGGCAGCGTTGCCTTCGCTGTGGCCGTCATGCTGGGCCTCGGTGCCGCTAGCATGTGGTTAAGATTCGGTGGTTGGCCTGCTGCAAGTGAACAGCCTGGATTGATTGCTGGCACTCGAAACGCTGCGATGTGCGCCTCCATGGCGAGCTTAACGGAGGCTGTTCTTACCGGCGGAAACGACAACGTTATCGTGCCAGTGGTGTTGTGGACATGTGTGAAAAGCCTGGGTGTTTGATATAAAAGTACGTTGAAGGCGGCGTTCCGGTGGTTTCTTTAAGGCGGATGCTTGATATAGAGAGCAAGACATGGCAGACGGCTGTATAGACGACTTAATGTTCATGACAGACTCGATAGTCTCAATGTAGGGTATTTATTTCCCTACATGTTTTATTATACCCTTTTGTCAATGACAATTATGTAACTCAACTCTTGTTTGATATCTTATGCTCTCCCGACACCAGCGCCAATGCACCTTTGTTATGCTTCCGATTCTATATGTTACACTGATTTTACATTATGACATGAGATCCTCCAGGATTGCCTCCAGTTCGTCTTTTCTAAACGGCAAGCTCAACAATTCTGTTCCTAGAGCGTCCTTCATACTCGTGATTATTTGATGGTCATGGAATCTAGTCTTCGTTAGTCGTGATTGTGTAACGGAAGGTGTAAATGAACTTACTCTTTCAGCAGGGTTCGGAAAGCCATCTCGGAACTGCAGATGAACTCTTCCACGGCCTTGTTGTACACCATTCGATACTCAACACCAGTTGGCTCATCGCCACTGCCGCCCTCCTCCTCAATAGCAATGAGCACCTCGCCCACCAAGAGGCGGAACAGATTCTTGGCGTTCTCGGGCAAACTTCGTAAAACGAACGCAACACCTTCTCTACCATTGACTCGGTGAGCATTCCGTCCGAGAAGCTCGTGTACCTCATCCACGACATCCAACTCGGCACCATACGGGGCAAAGGTCGTACAGTCGTGGAACACCATATTAAACGCAGATCGCACACCGATGTCCCATAGTAGTGCAAAGTCTGGTGTATCAGCTGAGCACACCAACCGTATTTGAGGGTGAGCCGCGAGTTGCGCCAGAGCCGACTGAGAACCAGATTTACGAAGAGGCGCTGCATCGATTGAGTTGACAACAAGAGTCAATATTGAAGAAGTTGTGGCGAGGTGTGATAGAATGGCAGGGACCATGACGGCAGGTTGTGTTAGAGGAATGCGGTGACTTGGATCAACAGCTGCACCAATTGTGCTCAATACCTCGCGCATAGTACTATTGTGGGCGTATCCATTGATCATAACAATTTTGTCCCCCTTCTCGTTCCTGATGGAAGAGTACAGGTGACCTGCAAGCTTATGTAGTAGACGTCGCTTCGAGCCATAACCATATAGACACAAACTGAACCCTTGCGACAACTCGAATGCCCATTGGGGGAAAGATTCGGCATGCAGACTCTCCAGAAATTCGATATCGGCCTCGTGATGATCCTGAGTTTCTCGCATAATAGTAAAGTATTCGTCGTGTGTAAGTAGGGCGAGCGATCCCAGAGTATTATTCGAAGTCTTCGCCCGCCCAGGTTTGTTGTGCGCAAAGTATAATTCGTGAGGAGGCAAGTCGCGAGGAGGACTAGGAGATCGAGCTGGTGCTTTCCGCTGAGCTTTTCGGCGAGGTGTTGCCTTCGAAGGAGTCGCAGCTTCATCTACACCCGATGCTTCTGTGGGAATAGCAGTGTCGCCCTCGAGAGCTTCTTCGTCTTCACTAGATTCGTAGATTTGCTGCGCAAGGCCATCATATTCCTCCTCGTCCGTAAGGTCGTCGCCAACAACATGTTCTATGAGAGCTCTCGCACTCTTTCGCTTAGCAGATCTATCTGCTCCTCCAGGTGTCGCTCCATTCAGAGCAATGGGCGTTTTCTTGTTTGGCGTTTCGAAAAGAGCAGTACGATTTGCTTTCGGTGTGGGAGTTTCGCCATTCATAGCTTTCTTTGGTGGTCTCCCTCGTCGTTTTGGTGCAGGTTTAGGGGTTTCATCTGGGTCGACTCTCGATAATGATTCGGACGAACTAGCATCACTGTCTTCGATCACATCTCGGCGAATGCTTTCTGTATGACCATTCGTTCCGGTGGCGACTGTCGGTGAATGATGAGCTGAACTTCGTTGTCGCTTTATAGGGGATGTTTCAAGGTCGCTTTCGGGAATGGATTCAAGATCTTGGTGGCCTCGTTTTCGCAGGGATTTTGGAGGTTCTTGTTGAGTATCAGGCTCAGGTACTGCCTTTTTTCGAGGCGGCATTTTGTGATTGCTGAGGCTGATGGAATCACTTGAGTCCCCCAAAAGCCGACTTTCTGTAAATGTTGATGTTGTTCTGGAATGGGTAAAATGAATACAGAGTCCAGGCGCGTGGTAACTACTAGTAACGCGCCTGCTAAATTGGCCGTGGCGCTTGTGGCACCCCTGCACGTGGCGCGAGCTTCACTTCACTTCCAACGACATTATTCACATGCTCCTTTGACTTAGAGGAATTCCATAGACAACGGAACGATGTTGAATCTGAATCTATCAGCCTCATTAAATATTACAAGGCTTATATTCAAGCCGAGTCTGTGCTTACCTCATCACACAGTCTCAACTTTCAATGACTTGCCGATTCCTCTAGAAAAAGGCTTGCAAAAAGATGGTCGAAAAGTAGAGATCAAGGCTGTTGTTCTCGACAAAGATGATTGCTTTGCTTATCCCGATAGTATTGAGGTGTATGAATCTTACAAGGTGCCTATGATTTGCACTCCACCCGACACTCAAGATTGTCTGCTAAATTGGAGGATAGACTCACTTCGAAAAGTTAAGGTTGGCTTATCCTGGTCGCAAGTTACTCGTGGTGTCAAATACTGCTGGCGCAACATCATGGGATAAGAATTTGAAGCTAGCTGCAGAGGTCGGAGAGAATACAGGAATCACTGTGCTCTCGCACTCGGTCAAGAAGCCAGGATGTGGCCAAGAGATCATGGAATATTTCAAAAAGCACCCAGAGACAGGAGTGACAGACCCTGCACACGTTGCGTTCGTTGGTGATAGACTGACGACCGACATGATGCTTGCAAATATGACAGGCGGGTGGGGTTTTTGGGTCAGAGACGGAGTAATACCTTTCGAAAAGAAGAGCATCGTGAGTCGCTGTCACCCCCTCAACAACAGACGGTAACTCTTCATAAGGCAACTACTGACAACACTAGTTCTCGAGATTGGAACGTCCTTTAGCTTCTTTCCTCTTTGCTAGGGGTATTCGTGCTCCTGAACCCCGCAGCATCTTTGAGGAGTAGCTATGTCGGAAACTGTCGAAGGGAAAAGTCAGAGTCAAACGGCTCGTCTGAACTTCTCCGTTTACATTGAATCACAATGGGATCTGCTCTATTGTCCTTCATTCAGTACCGGCACCTGACCTTTCATAAGCATTATCATGGCTTAAACAGACAATGCAAACGGGACTGAATCACTCATCTATTGTCCTGAGAGTCTATAAAGCTGCGTTCGTGATCTTCATTCTTTACTCTTATCCTCTTTCCGCACTACGATTCGATATAGGCATCGTCGCTTGCCTTATAAACTCTGTGCCTCTTGTACTTCGTTATCGTCACCTTTTTATATACTTGCTTCTTCACTCTCCTCTGTTCTTTGGTCCACCCTAATATTGGGCCTCGACCATGGGTGGAAAGACTTGGTCTGTAGACGAAGAACGAATGCTCTGGGAAGTCGTTGTTCCTCGCTCAGTAGCTGCTGCTAACCCTGCTGATCGAGGCATGAGCTGGGACCAATGCGCCCAATTTATGAACGACAATGCTGGTGATATCGCCCAACGCAACTATACTAAGAACATGTTATGTGAGTTACCTATGCGCTTCCAATACCTTCTAGAGCCCTGCTGACTCTCGATAGACGAGCATCACTACCAGAACATTGTCAAGGGTGGTTCTTCCCCGAATGCCGGTCCATTTGTTGAAAGGCACCTACGCTTGATCGGTTAGTCTTGCAAAATATCCCCTTCCAGCCCGCGACTCTAACAGATAACAGAATGGTACAAGAACCATAGATCCCCTCCGCCGGCTAGCCCTCCTCCAGTTCCGCGTCCCTCTCAGAACCCTGAACTTACCGCACTTTTGAGCGAGCAGTCGAAGCCCAAGAGACGACGGGGCAAGAATGCAGCCAAAACTCGAGTCGCGGAGTATCGAAATGTACTACCCTCTATCGATGAGTCTGGACCTGGACCTAGTGGCTCAGGTACATCCAGCGTGCCATATGCTCGTTCGTTCGCTCCGTTGGATTGGGCTCAGCAGCAATCTTTGGGAGAGAACCAGGCACCCCGCCATGATCCGAGAGCGAAATATGCACTCGATTTTCGCCCGCTGCCCAGAACGGTGCGTGCCGCCAGACCTGGAGGCAACTTCTTGAGCCGGCCCATGGAGCAAGTTGAAGGTGGACTTTGGCGCCTCGTACCTGAAACTCGAGAGAATGAGAACCCCGGAGAGTCAATGTCCATGGTTTCGCGAAATAGCAATATCCAGGCTCGACATTCCAGGACGCAGGAGGAAAGCTCATGGTCTCGGCCATCTACTGGACCTTCTCAGCGAGCCCCTCAGGGACCCCAGGGAGGGAGCCTACCTTCTATCCGTCAAGCATTTCCTTTCATCAATTTTAAGCAGCCTACAAACTCTACCCCCTTTCATGAGACATCATCTCAGACTGGCAAGCGCGGCTACAGTGGTGGCCAGGACCAGAATCAGGCCCCTAAGCGACGAAGACTTCCTGATCACCCTGTCCCCCGTCAAAGCAACCAGCAGCCACCCAACCAGAGAAAATGAATCATGGATGATTACGGACGACGGTTTGGCTCACATTATGGCAAGAGACCTAGACATTTGGACGAGGACGACTGAGAGATTGAAAGTGGGAAAGAAATTGTAGTTAAGGGGATGCATGAAGATACCATTTTTTTGAGCTTTGAAGATTTGTGGCTAGGAGGATGATTGCTGAGGCTTGACAAGAGGAAATGTATTATTAGAGCAACAACTTGAGGACAAGAGCTTGTTATGACAGCCTGGTTGATATTTGAAACTACAACAATTATGCAAACGCTGTGATTCATCGTCACAGAATTTAGTGACCCCGACTTCGTTTGCTCGTTTGCTCGTTCTTCTACGTCCTCTGGCTTTTGAACAATTAACCAAACTGATTGATTGTCAAGCCGGGCGGGCCCGCCGAAGTCGGCAGGGTGGGGCCGGATCTCCGACAACGCCCCCGAAAGGCGGTGACCCTTGGCAGAAATAATCCTCCCGAAAGATTTCCCCAGAGAATCTCAAGTCCATCCGGCCGCAGCTAAACCCGCCCTCCCACTATAACGACCCTGTCCTTCATCCCATCACATTGCGACCATGAACTTCCCAGGAATGACACCTTCAGGCGCCGCCGCCGCACCGCCTGCGATCGGCGGACCTCAAGATCCCAATGTCAAAGCCGTACGTGGACGCGCAACTTGGTCGGAATTTCGCGGGGCGCATAGCTAACTTTGAGAAATATAGGTTCAATCTGCGATGGAGTCTTGTTTTGGAAAGTCAGTCATGTCAGGAGTTATGGGATTCGGTATGGGTGGTTTATTCGGAATGTTCATGGCTTCTGTACGTTCTGTCTCGAACCTCCAGCAACTATCACAAGCTAATATATCTCTGCCAGATGTCCTACGATACACCGTACCACACAGCCGCTCCCGGCAGCCCGCAAAGCACGATCACATCGCTCCCTCTCAAGCAACAACTCAAAATCGGATTCAAGGATATGGGAACACGATCATGGTCTATGGCCAAGAACTTCGGCAAAGTGGGGGCCTTGTACTCTGGCGTAGAGTGCGGTATCGAGGGTTTGCGAGCGAAGAACGATCTCACAAACAGTGTCGCCGCAGGATGTTTGACGGGTGGTATCCTGGCCAAGAACGCTGGTCCTCAAGCCGCTGCAGGTGGTTGTTTGGCCTTCGCAGCCTTCAGTGCTGCTATTGATGCGTACATGCGATCACCACCCAAGGACGACTAAATGCTGCCAGCCGATATAAACAAAATTAGGGTTCAAATGAGCGGGTTATAAGAGATGTACAAATATGCTTGGCTTTTCTACAGACGTGGGAGTTTACGGTAATCATATTTCTGAGAGCATAGGGCGGCGTTGGGAGACGGACTCTCTCCTCTTTTGGAATCTTCGCCACTGAATGTACGAGGGCGGTACTTGGATAGATATGGAGATGATGATATGGCACTTGTACTAACAGGTATGTTAAGACCCGCACTTCATAGAGGAGCTGCTCATGCAGCATCCACGAGTCAACACTGTAATTTTAGCAAAGAATTTATGTTTGCAATGACTGCCTATCTCATAAATGCAACCTGAAGACCCCCTTTGTTCTTAACGCCGCGCTTTCAAAAGAGCAAACAACACACGGTCTGCTTTGGACTTATTGAGACTCAGCTTGCTTGGTATACTTGGAAAGTGCCAAACTCCCAGTAGGCATTCTCGAATGCTTCAGGATGGTTGGCGACAAGATCAGTGCAGTTGCCCGAACCTGAGAATCGTCAATGCTGTTCCCTTACAAGTATATAGGCCAACTTACATCCAGATTTGTCCCAGACGTGATAGACGAGACTACCACACAGGTCGATATTGGCAATGATACTCTGGTTCTTGAAATGCGTGCCAATGTTGCAGTGTGTGTTGGGGAAGTCGGCCACGGCAGTGCCCCAAGTGTCGGGCTTCGGGCTGTTTCCTTTAATATCTGATGGTATAGAGTCTCGGCCGAACTGCCACATGCGGATGCCTTCATGCCTCCATTCGACTGCCATTACACCTCCTCCATTCTTATTGAAGACGGTGCCGTATCCCGCAGGCTCTGACAGAACTCCACAGCCTGCATTATCGTCCTTTACGTGGTTGCAGTTCTTCTGCAGTGTCTTGCCTGTGTCTTTGCGGCGTACATCCATAGAGCAGTCACCGGTAGTGTGCAGGGTCATCTGATTCCCGTCTTCGGCTTTGTTTGTCGACTCCATCACATCAATTTCTCCATGATTCGGCCAGTTTGAAGGGTCAGTGAGCCAAAGGGCTGGCCATGTGCCACAGCCATAGGGAGTATGCTTGACGTCAAAGATGAAAAGACCGTTCTCGTATGTCTTCTTGGACTCGATTCGAACAGAGAAGCGACCGGTAGATGCATCAGGCTTGTCGTTGGGGCCGACAGAAGTGTCGACTCTGATAACGGCAGTGCTGGGCGAAGCATATGTGAGATTCTGGAGAGTGTTAGCTGAACATGGGACTAAGTAATGCGTTGTTTTGTGGCCGGTAGGGTTTTGGTGCTTACAAGAGACTCTGCTTGCTCTTTTGGAACGTAATGGACGAAGCCCTCGGCTGAGAAGAGGTGTCAGTACTGCAATCCTTGAAGTGGGAGATAGCTCTTACTGGGGTCGTATCCTGTGAAATAGTTGAACTGATCAAAGAAGGATTCGCCTCCATCTGGGCAATGGTTAGCGGGTCTTTTAACCCAAGCTAAGGATGATAAGCACTTACATGTATCTTTCAAGCTGTAGGATAGTGATGTGTAATCAGGATATATATTCTTCCTAGCTCTTCCCACAGCGACAGCAACAATTATTATCACTATAATAATGATGACTATGATAATAGCAGCCCAAACTCTCTTTCGCCAGTATCGTGGATTCCACCAGGGCATTGTTGAGCTCGCGTGACGGACTTCCTGACCTTTACGAGCCAGCATTATCTCATCATAAATTGGAGGTATCTCTCCAGGCTTGACGCCAGATGAATATCGAGACATGTTGATGTAGTTGAAAGTGGAAGAACTGGGGAAATGGGAGAGTGAAGAGTTAGAGTTGCTTGCACCAAGTGATGAATAACAAGAAGAGAAGAGAAGTGAGTTGGTGATAGATAGAATGGAATGCAGTTGAGATGGATGTTGATGGAGATGGATTGTCTCAGCCTCAAGCGCACCCTCTCAGAAGAATATGAATCAAGTTTCTTTTTGTAATCACAGGAAGGAGGAAGCGAGGAATTCGCGTTGAAACATTTGAGGGAGCAAAGCAACTCTGCTCCTTCCTTCAATAAGGTACTGTACTGCAGATAGTCGGGCGCACATCTAAGGTAAGGCAGCCCGTGAGTGATTCACAGTCCCTTTCTATAAGACTACCTGAGAGATGGGAAAGTTTATTGAGCATTTGGCGTAGGTATCATGAGCAACAAATCAGTATAAAAAGGTACTTAACGGCATTCGTCCGCCCATGGGGCGTCCCCCACATGCCGTCTTTCCGATCTGCCTACTCCCTAGCGCATGCATCTTTTTGGTGTGGGCTGAACTTCGATGGTGATGATGATATCCGCGTAGCCGTGCAGCCGTGTTAGCCATGAGAGGGTTCAGGGGCAACACGAGAGACCACAAACCAAAACCACTGATAAGTCGGAGTCTCAACAACGTTTTCGAAATTATCACAAAAATAGCACCCTTTGATTGCATCATTCACCTGTCTCAAGGGATAGCTTAAATCGGAAATGGCTGCTAAGAGATAACGAGACGCGTAATCTGCAGACCAGTAACTGACAAAAGCGTGTAAACTCAACACTACCATGAATCGATGACCGGAAATACGGCCTGACAACGCGTCATTTTACTGATCTCTTTATTTATAATCTCCACTGAAAAGAACGAACTCGAATTATTTAAGTTCAAGAGCTCAGTGGACATTGTCTTATTTTGGTGACTTGGTCAATTGAAAGTCAGTGCGGGACGTCAACCGCCATCCGACGCTAATAGAAATTGAGGATAACTTACACGGGCATGAGACGTATGAGACATGCCGTGAAGCCGAGAGCCGCTTACAACTTGTCTGAGGGGATAGAAAAATGATGTTGTCGCGTGCAAGGGACTCGGCTACCATTGTAACATAACTACAGATACTAGTAGCTACTAAGAAATATCAAGGGAGCGTTTAAAATGCTACCGAGTATCACGCCTCGCTCATCGTCGATGTAACATATGAAGATCCCTGATTCCAAATCCTACTCCGTGAGTAGATCCTCCCTCAACCACTATAACAATAATTTTCATACCAAAGCCTCAGGGAGCAAGAAAACTTCTGGCCCTCAACTTGGGTGCCAAAAACAAGTTATCTAAAGGTCTACTCAGTCTATATTAAATTTACCAAAGTATTTATCTCACTTAGAAAAGAGGTCCTAAGTTTTCTTGCCTCCCCTTGACTTAGACAGTCAAAGTCTTTGAAATAGCCACAACAGCACAAAACCATGCTCCAAGATCAGTCGTCAACATCCTCAAGTTATTAACAGCCAACCATCTCTCCAGCATTCCAACATTATCCGTCCCCTCAACAGCACAATTATCCTCCCACAGTGCCCTGAGCTTCCACGCTACAGCAGGCACATACGCAAGATGTCCCAGCGCCAGCGCAGCAGACCAGCCGTACCATGATAGTGAACCGCGAGATTGGAGCAAAGCGCGGTCAGACCAAATACTAGCAATCGAAGTGCTGAATGTTAGGCCAATGAAAGTAAGGACCGCCCATGGACCTGAACCGTAGAAATTATTGATGTAGCCTGGGAGAATCTCATTGGCCTTCTTGCGCTCAATGGGAGACTTGGTAAAGAGGGTGAGGAAGAAACTTTGGTCACGGGCGAACCAGAGTGTGATGCTTGATGAGACGAGGGGAGTTGTTAAGAGGAGGACCCTGGGGTTGAAAAATGCCCCGGAGGCCATTTTGACGCAAATTGGATTGATTAAAAGATTCAAGACTGAAATCAACTGAGCTGTGAGTCTCGATACTCAGAAGATGATTTTGCTAAGCTTTCAAAGGTCGATTTTATATAAATTAGTCTTAGTAAAAGCCTCCGAAAAACATTGACTTTATGCGACTCTGGGATGTTACTGTTGCTTCTCTGATCATGGCGATCCTTCAAACCCTCCCCACGCGCTATTACAACGCCAAACCCTCCGATCCTGCAGAAACTGACAACCGAATATTTTTCAAACATCTGCCTTGTCGTATGATGTCGGAAAATCTAGCATCGCGTTTCCTGATTATTTTCTTGTCCCAAGAAATCATATATTCCATTTTTGGTAATCATTGCTAATTAGGTACCTTATACAGCCCATATTCTACTCAACCTCCAACCTGAGTGCATCATACTGGACATACACCGATGTTGGCAGCACAGCAGACTCATAGTTCGTAGCGTTATAAGGCAAGCTCAAGATGATCTCATTCTCGCCCTTCTTCAACAACTTGGCATGGAACTCGAACTTGTGAGCGATATTGTAGCAGCTCACTGAGGAGCGAACAGCACAGGAACTGCTGTGATCGTAACTTCAAAGGGTTAGCATGACTCATATTCGAATACTTCAGGTTCAACTTACGGAATAACCCAAGGCTCAAGATCCTTGCCATTGATGTTCACGGTATACTTCAGGTTCGAGTGAGGCTCAGAAGCATTGTAGATATCCGTGTTTCCAGCAGCAGTCTTTGCACCCGCAAGTTGAACTGTGAAAGTCGCGTGCTTCTTGCGCTTGACCTGTGACTCCTTAAGATCGAAGGCAATAGTCCAGTTGTTGACATTGCCGTCACCAACATACTGCTCTGGGCGTACTGAGTTACCCTTTCCGCCAAAAACACTCCAGTGGACGTAGTTGAGATCCTTGCCGACATCGCTCTCGCCAACCTTGAAGTTGACACCGTCAGGGAAGTCCTTGACAAAGTCCCAGTTGGCCCAGTAGATACGATACTGTTCCGGCTGCAGTGGCTTGGATGTATCGGGCTCGAAACCATGGCGGTATTCGCCAGAGGTCTTGTCGGGAGTACCAATTCGCCAGAGTTCCTTACCTGCGGACTCTTCCCTCCAGCGAACATTCTTCTTCTCAGTCTTGCCAGCCTTGATTTTGACCTTGTCCTGGGTGTATTGTCCAAAGATGTTATCGGCATAGACGGTAAGACGATATGTTCCGGACTTGACTCGAGGAATAGTAGCTCGGCCGCTCTCATCGAGGTTAGCCCAGTACTGGTAGGCCTTGGTGTCGAAGACATTGTCTTGGAAGTCCACGCCGCTCTGTGCGAGAACAGCAATGGCATTCTTTGCCCCCTTAGGAAGATCGACCTTCACCTCGAAGGATCCTCGGGATTTCGTTGGTATGTAGTTAGGGACGTGCTTTGCAATCGAATCGTAGAAGTCGGCATTCCATTCGGGATCAGCGTATTGAGCTGCATCGGCCTGGGCTTTCAGGATGTCGGTCTCTCCAGGGAAGCGGTTGAAGTGGAAGTATTGCTATGAGATGTTAGAGAAATTTATATCCCAGATGCTTCAGATAGACTTACAGGTCCAAATGTTCGGTCGAATCCATTGGTAATATTAGGCTACACAGGTTAGTTCCAGTCTTGATAGAGAAGAAGTTGGACTAACTGTTTGGTCTCCATGGTGGTTAGAGCTGATATAGTTGTACAAAATACCATCCACAACCAGATCGGAATGCAGAGGTCCACCAAAGTAGGTGTCTTTGGTGTTCATGACAAGCCAAGCACCATAAGCATCTCCATCTTCGGTCTTGGAACCATCAGCGAACCTGTCATATGTAAGTCAAATATCCTACAAGACCGAGACACTTCAAACTCACAGTCCGTAAGCATCAATGTCGCGCCAACTGTCTTGGAACGTATACTTGGTAAAGTAATCCGCTTCCTGCTTAACATAGGGATCATTGGGTGTGTTTCCAAGGTACCATGTAGCATCTTGCACCACGACCTGCTTCTCTTTTGCCTCCTTGCCCGGGAGAGGCGCATACTGCTTCCTATTGGTCAAGAGATGAGTCCAAATGTCGTTGTTCGGTCGGAAGAGGGTTCGAAGCTCCTGGAGGTTACGAAGGAAGGGCTGCTCCTCATTATGGTACGCGACTCGACTGAAGGTATGGAGGCCAGTTTCTCCATCTCTCAAGAACCAGTATTGCTCCAGAACCTGACCTGTCTCAGTGTACGTGTCGGACATGACGATACCGCCATAGTCCTTACCCTTGGCATCTTTACCCTTGAACAATTTGTACTTGGGAGTCACAGAGCCAGGCGTCCAAAATCCCTTGGGCGTGCAGTAGCAATCAAGGTAAGGTCCAATGCCTGTAGAACCAGATGGGCTACCGAGAAGGTTCGTTCCGTCAAGGGTGAGCTTTACGATGGCGCCGCCCTTCTTCTGAACAGCCGCATATAGTCGGTCGTTTGAAATCACCAGCTGTGTATCGGTCTCGGTCGCATTGAGAGCCGCAGCTACCAATTGAGGTCCCTGGAGCAAAGAAACGAGTAAAGCTGCCGAAAGCTTGCGGAACTTCATGGTGAAGGATAGAATGGGTGTAAATGGCAGAAGATATCGATCAACAACTCCAGGACGATCAATGCGACCTCAACTCTCTTTATAACTACAGAATTTTCCCATAACCCCACAAACAACCCCCAACAGTCCTTGTGGGGGATGAAGCTTCCATGAGAAGGCGAGGGTAGCTTGGTCATGTATTTCCCCATGGGGACGTTGTCGATCACATCTTTTCAGGCTAAGACCGAACTTTAGCAAATTGTTCGGGAGAAATCACAGCCCCTTGCTCTCGGTTTTCGGGTCAAAGATCAGCGAGTATCAGGGGAAAGCTACCTTCACGAGGGCAAATGACCTGGTAAACCTGGTCAACACCATGGTGATTCTCCAAAGGTTGACAATTGGTGACGTTTACCCCGCAAACAAGCCCAAATTGGTCACATTTCCGAAATGCGGAGGGAGATGAGATCCCGGGGATTCCATGTATTGGAGCTGGGGGCTCCCCCAACGATGGTCTTAGCATTGAACGGTTGATATCATGAGGCAGTTGAATAAGATTAATTCGCCAAGCACTGAGGGCTGTGCTTTGATAGTGTCTTGGTATTGTAAATATGCCTCTTGTGATCCAAAAACTGCTGATTGACGCCTGACGGAGTCTAACTGTATAATCACTACTTCTTTGTACAATTTGCTGTTTAATCTTCATCGTCGTCAGGGTCGACTCGTGGTCGTTTGGATTGCCTGCTGTCTTCATCCTGCAAGCCATAACCTCGCTTAGATGATGAGTTCTGGTCCACTTCAGATAGAAACTTGTCAACGTTGAAAGGATCTCCAGCATCTTTC